TGTAGCAGTGCGATGCAGCGAGACCAGTGTTGTCAAATGTAAAAAGGTTATTCATCTATGAATATGCACAGCTTGTAGGCTACATCTTACACTGACACAAATAAAACAATATCTATGTCCATTGACCTAAGAGAAACTTTTGAACAGAATCGTAATCATATCATGAAAAACACGGAGTCGAATAACTCTGCATTGAAACAGAAAAAAAGCCCAGAGTCAACGGAATCACCACAGCGGAGGGTATTATGAGAACGTCAACACTAACCAAACACGACAGGGACCGAAGACCAGATGGCAGAAACAAAAGAAACAAGAAAACAAAAAACAGGGAACTTAGAACGATAACTCCGGGATCTGCTAGATGCCACCCTCTTCTCTCTCCACCTACAGTACCCAAGCCCAGTAGACAAGGCAAAAAAAGAGATACGCTTTACTGTGGAGTAAATAGTTTATCTCTTCTTGCCCCATCCCGAGCGGTTACCACCCCGAGGAGCGTTTCCTTGATTGCGACGCTTCTCAATGCGACCACCGCCAGGCGCACCAGAAGTCTTGGGCGCACCAAGACCACGGCGACCAGAGCTCTGACCGGATCCAGAGGCGCGCAGGTCCTGCTTCAGGTCGTCCTCATCGACGTCCATGCTATCGCCAGCATTCTTCTTTGACGACTGGCCCATCTTCACCTTACCTCTCTGGCCACGACGGACAGCGTCGGGCCCACTAACAGCAGCGAGGTAGGCGTTAACGCCACCATCGCCAGCACCGGACATCTCGACATCATCAGCGACGACATCGCCATCATCGCCGAGGACAAGACGGCCATCAGCATCGACCTTGGCGGCGCGCTGCTTCTTCTTCGAGCCGGGGCCTGTGTTGAGGAAGCGCTGGCTGGGCTTGGTGGTGGAGATGCTGGCCAGAGCGTTGGAGCCGAGCAGATCGAGAGGATTGTCTTCAGGGGACATCTCGCGGATGTACTGAGTGCTTTGGCCTGCATTTTTCTTGGAGTTGCGGCCCTTGATTTGAGCGACATCATCGACATCGACGTCGCTGTCGCCGTCGTCCGAGTTGTCAGAGGAGTCAGAGTCAGAGCCGTACACGGCCTTGTCGAAGGCGTTGCCGGATTGGGGCTTGGAGGCCTTCTCCTCTTCGTCTTCGTCTTCGCCTTCGGCACCCTCCTTCTTCTTGCGCTTGCTGCGCTCACGGGCTTTGCGGATATTGACAATAAGCTTGCGGTCTTCCTCGCCGACAATAGCCTCCAGGAGGGGAGCACCGAATCGGCGCACAAGTCGGTCGATGATGCCCTTCACCTTGCTGCGGAGACGGCCCTTGTGCTCCTTGTTCCAGGCCATGAGGCTGGGGACCATGGTGTTGAGACGAGGGCGCAGGGTTTCGTCGGGAAGAACGACGACTGCAACCTTGACGAAGCCAAGGACGGAGCGGACGATCTCACGATTGTTGGAGGTAAGGAAGAGCTCAACTGTCTCAACGAGTTCCTTGAGCATCTCAGGCTGAAGCTGTGTCTGGAAGTCGAAGAACAGGCGCGAAAGTGCAGTGACGGTGGCGCCCACCATGTGAGGAGCCGAGCCAGCCAGACCGGCTGAGACCATTGTGAAGAACTCCTCGAGGGTAGCGGGAGCATCCGGGGAATCGTCCGCCACACCTGGCACAAGAGATCTGCGGATGACAGTGCCAGGAGGGTTACGCTCTGAATCGGTTGTGCGCTTGGCCAAGAGAATCAGCAGGTCAAAGGCCGCTGTGCGTGCCTTCTCGTTACTCTCCTTGCAGCCCAGAACCACCTCGGACAGGATTGCCGGGATGAAGTGAAGGTCTGAGGTGGGAAGGTGGTTGATCATCTCAGTGATAGCGAGCATACGGTCGCGGCGGCCAGAGGCAGGGGTGGTATCGGTGGTGGCAAGCATGAGAGTCTGCAACTCTCCACTGCGCTCCTGGAGGGCGGCGCGGCCAGTCTCGGTCGTTCCAAGTCGGGGAATCAACTTGTAAGCCTTCTTGATGAGTTGCTGATCCGGGTTGGGGGATGAGCTGTTGAGGATAGCTGCCGCCATGGCAAACAAGCCACTGAAGCTGGAGCGAGGGAGGTAGATTGACATAGCGATAACGAGGTCAATCAGGGTGTGGGAGGTCGGTGGCATCTTGTCGGACGAGCTTTGAGCCTGAGTACTCTGCTTGGTTGCTGTCTCTTGCTCGGTAGCCAAAGAAGACTCGAGCATTGAAGTAACGCGGTTGAATGTGTCGTTCAGCTCCTATGAAAGGTGTTAGTCCGTGTTGATTTGTGTACAAAACTAGGGGGAAACTTACATTTTCAGGGGTAATGCTCAAGTAGGCATTGATACACTGAAGAATGTAGCCGCGGTAGTGAGGAAGGGTCTGACTGTAGACGTTGAACAACACAGCCAGCAGATTGCTCGCAAGACCACCGAGATGAGTGAGGTTCTTCTGTGCAGCGACCTTGGTGATACGTCGTTGCAAGATCAGATCATCCTCATCGTTTTCGACTTCCAAGATAGCCTGGTTAGACTCAACCAGGTTCTGCAAAGCACGGCAGACATCGACACGCAATTCGGTCTGCTTGTACAGAACGTTAGACAGCAGCTCAGCGAATGTCTGATCAAATGCCTCCTCAAGATCAAGCGGCAGCTCGCAGTAGCCGGGAAGGGTACCCCAGGTCTGTTGGACGAGGGTTTCGAAGATCTTCACTTCCACGGACTTCTCAGCGGCACCGAAGTTCACCACCTTCTGGTACAGTGCCTCACTCAGGGGAACGAGTTCGGTACGGAAGTGGCGGAGGTTCGTGTTGGTTACGCTGTCACGCATAATGGGCAGCATCCAGACACGGCCAGGTTGACCAGCCTTCTGTTCGATAATGTTGAGGGGAAGAATCTCCAATACTGCCTCGGGGCCCATTGCCTCGATGGCACTACCAAGAACGGCATCGGCTTCCTTCTTGCCGTGGAAACCGCCATTGCTGCGCAGTTCACCGATTGTGGAGACAATCTTGACAAGATATGGGCTGGATCGCCACTTGAAGCAATCGAACAGGGCAGAGCAAACATTGAACACCTCTTTCCAAGCAGTCTGGTACTTCACCGACAGAAGGTCAACGGCTGCACGGGACAACTTCTCCAAGGTCTTCTCATCATACACAGAAGGCTCCACAATAACAGTGTTGGGGATACAGTTGTGTAGGAATGAGATCAGACACTCAGATGCGGAAACGCGGATGTTGCTGGAAGGCGAAGCCATGAATCCAGAAATCAAGGTGAACAGATCCGGCAGCTTCTCGAAGGTATCCTCGGGAGTGATTTGCGCGGCAACGTCGTAACCGCGCGAGAGCACTGCAATCCAAGGTGGGAGAAGCTGGGAGTCATTCTGCGCAGGCTTGAGTTCGGAGATAGCATCCAAAAGACGAGGCAGCTTTGAAGACGAGAACTCATCAGCCATTCCTTCGAAGATGACCTCAAACACCTCGAAGGCACCCATGGTGATGTACTCGTTGCTAGAGCGGGAAGCGTTCATGAGAAGTTCGCTGAGCGGTTCGATCTTCTTGCTGGGCCAGCCACCTGACGCCGAGGCAATGGTCTTGATCAGCTGCAACGAGTGAATGATAAGGGGCTCGTGGTTGTTGGCCTGAGCATCATGACGACCCTTCTTTTGCTTGTGAGCTGCTGTGATGCTATCACCCAGAGTCTTCATCGCAGACTGAGCGCACATATCCGCACCTGGGTGGTCCAGAGACGGGCTCGGCGGGGGCGCTTTGAGAACCTTGACAAGAGCCTCCTGGGCACGTTTCCGCACCTTAGGCCGGTGGTCAACCGAGAGACTCAGCAGACCTGCCATTGCGCGTCGCGGGCCGACCTGTGTGTGGGGGAGATTCCATGATGCAGCATCCTGGGCAATGAGCAGAGACTCAAGACAGCCAATTGAAGGACGCAGGAGCGGGGCTTCGACTTCGGGGAGAGAAAGCGCAGGTGCAAGGCCTTCGAGAATCTGGGAGAATTTGGAGCAAAGGATTGGGGCGGGGACGTAAACGGTTGTGATGTCGAGAAGGTAGACAACGGATGTCGCTAGTTCCTTGTTGACAATGCCCTGGGATGCGGACAGCGACTGCGAGAGCAGTGCAAGAAGCGCGGCAAAATATGCGGTAGGTGAGAAGTCTGCCTTTTGATCACGGAGAGTATCTTCAACTGCAGAGAGCACCACAGCAGTCTGTTCACGGATCAATGCGTTAGCGTTAATGGATTGGGTATACAGTGGGAAAACTTACGTGATGCTGGTTCTGCAGCTTGGGAGACTTAATCTTCTCAAGCTTCTCCGCCAGAGTCGCCATGATGATTGCGGACGACGAGGTGGAGAAGAGTCAAAGAAAGCAATGTATTGGGATGAGAAAGAGGGCTGTTTGGCGGTGATAAAAATCGTAAAGGAAAAAAAGTAAAGTCCGGCAAATTTGGAGGCGGTCAGACAGCCCTGGAGGCGGCGGGGCGGAGCTGACTAAGATTGTTTTATATTCGCAGATGAATTTTGTTCACTGCTGATAATTAGAAACTACTTGTTTAAAATATCCATTTTTTCTTAATAACTAGCCATATGAAAGGAGGAGAGATAAAGTCTATTTAGGTAGCTTTTAGGCTGGTGACGGGTTTTAATTGCTTTCAATTGATCCGAGCCCTTCTGGTTCCATTTTTATTATAGTCATGCCTAACAGAATGTAAAGATCAGTAGTTTAGTAGATATTTTAGATAGTATAGAATAGTATAGATTATAATAATTTTTTTGCGAAGCGTTTTGAGCGCTGGAGTGTTCCTGCCTCAGATATGTAATCCCGTGGACAAAGAAGCCCTAAGATTACACTATGACCACTAGGAACCACCAGATTCCACGCAAAGAATATAAAATAAATGAGACGAGATGAATCGGACAAGTATGCTTGGACGCATAATAAATTGCAGGTTACGTACTTGCTTGTAATGAATGCTTCTTGAAAATGATCACAGCCGTGCCGCTTCATCAATGATTGTCTCCCGCACGGTGTTTTGGAAGGTCTCGCCATCTGGTTGCCATCCTAACAACTTTCTTGCCCGCGAAGCTCGACCTTGACCATTGGTACCCAAAAACACACTTCCATTGGGTATCACTACGTTGGCCTCTTCAAGATTCATGGACTGCACCGAATCAGGCGAATCAATGTAACCGAGGCTATGCGCCTCTTTGGCGATCACTGAAGCGACATCTTTGAAGCTCTGAAAGAAGAAAATAAGGTCAGTATGGATAAGTTGGGGCATACTAGCATATGAACCTACCTCGAAGCCCTTTTCCGCAAAGAAAAGGCCGTTCTCATTCCAGATAGGTGCGGAAGTGGCGTTGACAGCATGCTCCACCAATTTGACGAAGAGATTAGCCAATTCAGAGACATGAACAATGCCCCATTGACTTAATCCCCTGCCAAGATATAGACCAACATGTTGCAGCAGAGCGGCCCGGGCCAATGAGGGAACCTGGACGCTGCGTTGATTCACGGGACCTTTACCAGTGCCAAATATAATGGGAGGGAAAATAATGGCGGTTTTGGGGCCACCTGATCCCAAGTCGAGAATGTAGTTATCCACCACTCGACGGTCTTTGTACGCCCGAATTATGTCCCGGAGATCAGCAGCGTTATCCAAATCGTCAATTATTTGATCGGAGGGCTCGCCATATGAGTTGTTATCAACCTCAGGGCCTGCCAGAACGCTAGCCCCGGTAACTTGAATGTAATAGGCTGCAGTTGGACTTTAATTAGCGAAAAAACCGAAAGAAGATATGTAGTAGTAGATGGCGTACCATTCTGACGTCCCGCCAGGCCATTTGCGATCGCTTTCACGCTTTCGAGATGCTTGTTACTGGCAGCATCTAAATGGAAAAAAAATTAGTGATAGGTTATGCTACCAGATGTAAATTGACTCACGGATGACAATATTGGCTTTCCGCGATTCTTCTTCAATGATTTCGACATTATCCAAATCTGCAAGAACCACACGGACCTGAGGAAATGCAGCCAAGACTTTGCCGGCCTTTTCCTTATCTCTGATCAAGGCAGCAACCTCGTAATCAGGATGTGCATGCTGCAAAGCGTGGAGGACTTCGCCCCCGATATAGCCCGTGGCACCGGTACTAGAATTTGAGTCACGAGTTAGCAAAAGATGGCTCATGCTCTATCAGAAAATGGAAGGTCCCTTACAGGAAGATCTGTGTCATTTTTGAAATTGAGATTAGAAACTTTGAATGTTTCAAGCTGGACAGGAGGAGGCCCCGAGTTTAATATACATCCCCGCGCACCAGGATAGGAAAGTGATTCCGCGGAGAGATTCTGCGGGGTCACCAGCAGATTTTTGGGGCCATCACGACATGCTGGTTTTGCATTTCGTTATCGTTATTTTTTATGTCTTCTTTCTCTTTTAATCGCAAGACTGAAAGCAATTGGCCTAAATCGCAAACCGTGAAAATATACAGCAATAGCTCATGCCAGGCAAAAGTCAACACCCTCCAGTCCACCTATTTAGGCAATCCCTATGTAAAATCGAAGCGTACATGTCATCAAGTCTAGAAACGTGAGCATTGCTAAGATGTAGCGTACTAAAAACCTCAAAATGCCAAGACCAAGTCTCAGGCAACAGTTCGGATGCCTTGGCTAGTCCCTTTCGGGAGAGAAAAAGCTGTAGTTTAAATAAACCTCCCTTTCCACATTGATAGAATATGAGCAGAAACCATGTCACTTCTCAGTCTGCCCCTCGAGACTCATCAGCGGGTCATCACATACCTTCTTTCCCACCGTGACGTGGCCGCTCTATCAGTACAATGTCGAACTCTCCACTCTCTATGCGATATGGCAACGCGCAAGAAGTATCACCGAATTAGTGTCTCTTCAGGGGAAGAAGGTATCGACAAGCCATTCGCCTTGCTTATGGATATCTTGAAACGACCTAGCTTGGGTAATTACGTGCGCCATATCGAATGCTGCAAAGCAACATCCAGGCATATGGATTACAAGGAAGCCAATTCTCAACGGGATTTAAGCAACGAGGAGATGATTCTCTTGCGAAAAGCGGCCAGAAAGGGTGGATTCAAAGGCCCCCAAGGGGATCGAGTGGTCAATATGCTTATGCAGAGAATGGAACAAACGGCAACATTTGGCGACTATCGGTAAGAATTTCATTATCTTGGTCTCCGAGCAACTATCTAACTAGGTAGACAGACAGCGTGAGAGCCTTGGGACATTCATAACCCAAGCCTTGACATCTATTCTGATTGTGGTATCACCGAATGTTGTGTCGATGGCCATGACGCATCCCTCTGGCCTGAGTTCCAACCACTTAATCGACTTCCCGCTTGCCGAGCTCCTTCGCCAAGCTAATGCCAGTCCCGAAAACAAGCCTTATCTTCGCAACCTCCGCAGTGTTTATCTCATCAATAAAAGCGATGATCGTTGGTCTGATAGCCGTTTTTATCTCCCAATGGACTTTTCTGGCTGCTTGAGATTATTTGACAATCTCCTGTCAATTGAATCCGTCCGCGTTGATATAATGGAGGAGGATCCGAACGGAAATCTTGAATTCAAAAAGAAAAGATCCAATATCAGCAAGATCTCCATCCATCATTCGTCTGTTGACTCGCTGTACCTTGCCAGTCTGATATGGTCGTGCAAGGTCCTCAGGGAATTTCAGTATTCTATCGGAGGTAGAGCGAGCATCGATGGGTGCTCTTCTACCTTCAACCCCAAAGCATTCATCAAAGTGCTTTGCGCGCACAAGGAAACGCTGGAAATCCTTGATGTCGACGTGGAAAATGAGATTTATAGGTTCGAAATCGAGGATGAGGAAGAGAGAGACGACCAATTCAATCAAGACGGGGGCCCCTTTGAATACAGCATCAGTGATGAAACCTGTACATTCTACAAATTGATATGGACATACGGTGGCTCGCTGAAAGAATTCGTGGCCTTGAAACGGTTGAGCTTGGGAATAAACTTTCTGTTATACTTTGCCGCCGGCATTAGCGGAGAACCCTACAAGAAGAGGGATAAGTTGGATCTGGTAGACTGTCTACCAGTTGGACTAGAATATTTGTGTGTTCGGGGATACGAGAAAGGCGAGAACAAGGAGCACGATGAGCAGATGGATGCGTTGATGGCGTTTTATAAGTCTGGGTCATCCCAACTGAAAGAGGTCAAAGGAATCGATGAATTGATTCCTAATGCCGAGGTGGTTCATGACCCAGATAATGACGATCATTTGCTGTGGTCGTTGGAGGAAATTGGATATGAAAGTGATTAGAAGGTTGTGTCCAAGATGACATACCAGACTATTGACGATAGTGGTTTCCGGTGCATCTACTCCCTTGACTCTGCGCATGTCTACTACAGACCAACCATTCTCGAGCTCATGTCTTCTATTCAAAGCTATGCACATGCTAAGTTGGACTTCAACATAAAAAAGAAAGAATGCATCTCCATTAACATTGCTGAAGCTTCTAACTAGGAGAACTTGCGTGATAGAGTAGCTAATGATTCATGGTACAGCCCCGGCGCCACCCGTTGCCGACACGGGCACCCTGGCGATCGATGTCTTCCAAGATTTGGGGCCGTTTTGACTGAACGTCAGGATGTTAGCCTGAGGCCAGGTTGCTGCCTAAAGTGGTTAGCCCCCCCCGGACCTGATATCTCTTCATTTCCTCTTCTTGATGCGTTCCTGTCTTCATCCTTTTCCTTCAATAATACATTATGCTTAATCTTTCTATATCACCACCCCTTCATGAGAAATTTGGAACTTGGTTGGCCAGACAAGGTCTTATCATACTGCGCCTGGATGATGGCATGGGTGCAAAACCATCGAGGCGCGGGGTGCGATAAAAAAGAAAAGAAAGAAACGCTCGGGCCATAGAGAGGAACTCCTCCTTGGTCAGATTGCGATTTTCCCAACTAATGGAAAATCACAGCCACAGTTCGTAGCTGTCAGACCAATTGGAGGTAATGGGGCTCTTCTTCACGTAAGCCGTTTTCAAGGCACCCGAACATGCCCTGAAGGTGCGCATCCAGTCACATCTCAAGAATGAAATTTTCCATATCATGCCTGCGCCACTGCTCGAACTGCCCCTCTCAAATTTTTTGCTAAGATCGCCAATCATGGTGACGTGTGGCGCTGGGGTACGCTCGGGTGAAGGAAAACTCTGCCAAAATGCCGCTCAAGGCACCCAGGGGTCATCGCAAACCCTTCAGCATATAAGCCGTAGATTCCCCAGAGCTTTCCCCGCATTTTTGTGTAGGTCCCTCTCATCGTTCTCGTCCTATATGATACTCGTTAAGCTTGGTCTCTCCCGCTTCTGCGAACTGCAATCTACACCATGACAGAACTAGTTGAGCATGGCTTGTCATACCTCGAACAAGAGGGAGGAGATCAGTGGAACGAAGGTGATCACCCGTTCTACATTTTCGCTGACCACTGGTCCCCTCTTGTCGACAATTTTCCATATGACCCTTTTCTCGAATCCCTCTCCGCTCCTCTCGCCCCTGACCCGGCGGCTTCCACCTCATTCGGTGCTCTCCATGAGATAGCCGATAATCAATACAAGAAGGGCTCCCCGGACAAAGATGGCGCCGCTGCCGCCGATACTCCGAGCCTTGACCTTCACGACGGGATGTCTGACATCACCTCTACAATCATGTCCACTGCGGACCAAGAGCAAGGACCGATCACTGTTGCAGATGATAGTGTCCAGAAGCCTACATCTTATGGCAAAGTCTCGATGGGTGTTAAGTATGTTCCTTTTGGGATACCTCTCTGCTCCTCTGGAATATCCCTTTTAGATATGGGTTCTAATATTCATCTTGCACAGACTTAGCCGTGGCAGTCCACTGAAGTGCAAATGGAAGCACTGCGAATACACAGGTGGATTTTCTCAGATGGGAGCCCTGCTACGCCATATCAAAACAAAGCACATCTCGCCTGGCTTATATGAATGCCCCGAAGGAGAGTGCATGAAGTCGTTCAATCGAAAGGACAATTTGATTGCGCATATCCGGAATGTTCACCGCGCAATTGTTTAAGGCTTGTTTTGAACTGATCCTTGAATCCGGTAATGAGTATCGGAGTTATGGCTGGAGCTATGGTGTATGGTTATTGGTGTATGGTTATTGAAAAGTTATGTTTATTTTTTCAGTTTTTGTTACAATACAAAAGTCTTCACTTGTTTTATTATTTAGAGGGCATTGTAAATAGGACAGTGATTCTAGTATAAAAACTAGATATGATAAGTTCAAGTGTCAAATGTACCAGATAAAGTCTGGCACTCGAGCCTCTTCGAATTGAAAATGCTTCACCACGCATAGGAGTTTTGGTATCTTGTTTTTTAGGTACGTTCGGGGTGATAATAAGGCAAAGGTGGAAGGCTACTTTTGATTATATTTATATGCTTGCTCCGCTCTGTCACCGCTCTAAGGTGGTATATTATTATTTTCCCTTCAGCCAATTTTGCACGTATTTCATCTTCTCTTTGTCTAACGGTCTCATTCCTGCCCTGAACCGACACTGAACCATTATGGCTTGGTCATCAGTTTGACAAAAGAGGCCTCTGTTCTCAATCAGTCTATGTATCCCCTCCCCAGCCACTTGGTATCTAGCCACCCATCTAGAAAAGCACCTTAGAAAGATCCTTGTTAGACTGCACTTTGATGTTCCTCATCATAAGCACCCAGGCAATTGAAAGTCCCATTACCGCAGTACCGGCAATCATCATGTTTCGCTGACTGAATGCATACGCATCCTGGATAGCAATGCGAGCAGGTGAACCAACCGCATAACTCAGCTGGACGTCCAGCGACTCGTATATATTCTCCCACTGGTCCTGCAACTCGGCTGGCAGATTCTGGCGTAGCTTGGCAGGAAGCGTGTTTGTCCAGATAGCGCCTGAGACACTGCTGCCCACTGCACCACCGATGTATCCAAACGTGCTGAGAAGTGCCAACATGGCGGCATAGTCTTCATGCGCGGCCGCAGCAAGCACAGCAACCTGCTCGATCAGAATAAATGTTCCGCCACCTACTGCGAGGAAGATTTGGCACATGCACATATATCCTATGTTGTGACCCGGCTGGCGGAAGTAGATCATCAGACCGCTTGCCAGGAGGTAAAGAGGCACAGCGCAGCAGAGGAGCCACTTGAAGCGACCGGTATGTCTGATGAGAAAGCCACAGCCAATAAGCCAAACCGGGTCCATGAAATCAAAGATGGCGCTGATGTAACCGGCCTGCGTCAGGCTTGTGTTGTAGACCACTTGGAGGTAGGAGGTGAAATAGCTGGCCCAGCAATAATAAGAGACCTGGTAGGTAATATCCAGTAGGCATGCGCCGATGACAGTGCGATCTTTAATCAGATGGAATGGAATGAAAGGCTTCGGGGCCAGCCATCGCTCGTAACTGACGAATGCCACGAGAACGCAGAATCCCACAACCATCATAGCAATGATCTTGGGCGATTGCCATTGGCCTTCGGTGTTGCCGGCAATATTGAAAGATGTAAGGAAAAGAATCGTGCCGCCTATCATTAGGAAGATTCCGATGACTGTGCGTCGCAAACAGGGGTGAGTAAAGGTGTAAGAAATTGATTTGAGAGCTTTACTGACCATCGAATTCCATGGCGTAGTACGAAATGGTTCCTTGCCAGGATCGCGTTGTCTTCTCCTTGTATCGTAATTGACCGTTCTTGCCGGCCTTTCGTTTGGCCATTTCCCAGGTCACAATCAAAGGGAGCGCAGCAATAGGGAGAATGATGCAAATCGTCCCGTATGCCCATCGCCAGTTGGTTTCGTGGAATTGATTTGACAAAGGTGAGCCCGCAAAAGCAGTGATCATGCTAGGAGAGGAGGTCAGCGCATAAGCAAGACCTCGATCACGAAGCGATGAGGTGTCTGAGGTTATCACGTCAATGCAGAAAATGGCACCGGTGAATCCGACAGTATAAAATGCCTGTTGATTAATTAGCAATTTTGACCTAGCGCCGTGGGGCGTATGGGTGATGCAAACACACCTGTGCAGCACAGTAGGTCGTGATATTGTTACAAGCAGCCATCATGATCAAACCCATAATTGCAATTGAAATCATGATCACGAATCCGACAGTTCGATCAAAAAGGTTCAGGACTTTGGCTATGGGCATCAAACACGCAGCACCCATAACGCTGGTTACCACTGAAATCACGGTCAACAGCGAGTGTTCCGAGAAGCCACTCGTAATGTAAGCGGAGAGGTTTGCGGTGAGACTGCTGTTGAGATTGTTGACGAAATACACCAGCCACATACTATGTCCGCATTAAACCTGACATTTAGGAACAAAGTCTTATCCTTAGGTTGCTCACCTAGTATAAGCGACAATCAGATGCTTCCGAGTCCACGTAGTTGTGACTGCGTCGGCAATTTGAACACCATCTTGCTGGATCTCGTTATCTGGAATCTCCGAATCCTTCCTGTTCAATGATTGCGGGCGCTCCGTGGTGGCCCCTTTGATGGCGTCCATGCTCTCCGTATCTATAGAGATTTGAAGCGTCAAGTAGGTTGCGAAAGCCTGTGTGATCGATACAACCCAGAATGAATGGTTGGAGGGGCGAAGATCTTTTTTGAACTCTCTCTCTCTCGGGTATATATTAAAAATTGGACCGTTTCTGTTCAACTAAGCGAGAGTGGCGTCGCCTGTAGCACGTGGGTCCTCTAATATAACTAATGTTTAGCCCCCTGCAGTAGCATCCCGACCTCGGGAGGTCTCAGATAGCTCCTCCTTAGGTAGTACTCCGTAAATATCCATGGTTAGGGTGGGGGCCGGGTTCCAAGGATTCCTTCCGAGTGGCGTGATCGGATCAATTGTATGATCAGATAAAAATTTCTGATCAGATAACTTTTATGATCAGATAACCTTGGAAATCTTACAATCAGATTAGTTTTTCGATCAGATAAATTCGATCAGATAATTTTAATTACCAAATCTTGTTTTTTTGATTTCCATTGGGGGAAAGCTTGGCTACATCTACAAGCTTTCTGGGTATGGCTTGGAACTTCGAATGCTCGAAAGATGGGTTACATGCGTTGGTTAGCTGATTCACTCTTAGCCCTGTTCACTAAGCGTTTTGCGCTACTGACTTAGTTAAATATACGCCTTGGTGCTCCTCTATGTTTTTTTCAGGCTAGGGACTTGATGAGGTGTTGCTGGTATTTTTCACGCCTGTGAACTTTTCATTAAGATTTTGCAGATGGAAAATCTTGTATGGAAAATCTTGTAGGAGATTTTCCCTGCTTTTTGCTTTCCTAGACGCGATGTCATCGGAGTGTACGGAGTAGCAGATAAGGCACCAACATTATCAATTATCTGTCCACATGATTGGGTAGCGCTATGGCAAGTTGGGGGCCGTGCAAAAATGTTTCACTTGGCTTCCCACCTCAATGGTTGGGAAAGAGTTTTCATTCTCCACAATCTGGCCCGAGTCTCGAAAGTCTACGGAGTAAACAACAGCCAATTTTCTACCAGCCACTCACAGTTGGGAGGAACTCTCAAGGGTTCGCACGCTGGCGGGTAAGGCGGGCACATATGAAAAGGTGTACGGGAGAACCCGGAAAATCCGGCACAAACATACTCCCTGGCCTGGTTAAACCCCTTGTTATGCAAGTCATCTGAATTCTGCTTGTCACCGCCGTATTCTACGGTTTTCAACTAGTATTAGCCATCTAAAAAGATTGACAGAAGTGGGCTTTGAAGCACCTCATATACAAGCCTGAGAACACACAGCCTTGTGATTCTGATATTGAAGCAATATAGTGTTAAATTCAAGATGAAAAGTTGTAAAAAGACAATATCGAGGTCAAACAAGTATCTCCAGGTCAATTCTGAACAGGGGTCAGAGCAACCTTTGTTCCATTAGCGTTTGACAAGGTCAACCCAAAATGCTCCGTCCAGGGATTCGGATCTCGATTTTCGATTGCCTCAAACTGTTGCATAATTCTAGTAATAGTGTATCCAGCTTCCGTCAGCGCGAACTGCTGGCCTATGCAGACCCGAGGACCTCCATTGAAAGGGAGGTACGCCCAACCAGGCCTGAGCTTTTCCCATCTCTCCGGGCGGAACACATCCGCATCGGGTCCATAGACTTCATTTTCCCGGTGCATTGTGTATACGGTGAAGAGAACCTCGTGGCCCTTGGGTACGTGAACAGGGGACTTTCCATCCGGGCCACCGCCGACAGGAAGATACGTGTCTCTGTTGGCCTGGCGTATATTGAAGGGGACGATCGGGTACATGCGGAGAGCTGTAGATTATTTAGCAGAGCGCATACGGAATATTCGGAGCTGGAAGTAGTGTTGCTTACTCTCGTTGAGAACCCATGTCAGGTAAGTCATCGATTTGAGATCATCGAATGATGGCTTTCGTCCGTCTAAAGCGAGCACTTCTTTTCGAAGTCTGGTCCACACATCAGGCTCTCTAGCCAAGATGAAAAATACAATGCTTAGTAGGCTGGCAGTGGTATCGCGACCAGCAAACATAATACTCAATAGCTGATCTGTTATTGTGGTCTTGTCAAGTGTTTGCTTCGACAGCTCGTAGGAGAACATATATTGATTTTCAGTCAACCGCTTGATGTCTTGATCAACTTCCCGCCCGCTGTTGGCTGCGACACGATAATCGATCGTCTTTTGTACAAACCTTTCGACATAGGCGCGGGCATCTCTAATCGATTTCGTGTATTCCTTCCTGAGGTAGAACCTCCCCAAAGATCCGAGTCGGAAGCGCATGGCAGTGATGTATTGGGCTACATCGAAGGCTTTTGCAAATTGCGCACCTGCAGAAGACCCTTCTCTGCGCAGAGAGTGAGCGGACTCTCCGAAGAGAAACTCGGTAGCGGTGTCGAGAGTCTGCTTTCGGTCAGTCGTATACTTCGGGGGATATCAAGAATGCCAATGTACCCACCCCCTTGAGAAACAGCGGAAGTAAATCGACGGTTGATCCGTCACGCGGAATCTGCTGGATGAGCTCGGCAACGTGGTTCTCATATAATTCAGTGTCGTTAATCCGAGTGCGCGAGAAGTTCGGCCTGAGGAGAGCCCGTGAATGTTCCCACTCGGCACCGTCTACGCCGAAGATGCCCTTGCCCAAGAGTGGACGGAGTGCGTCTAGTCGAGCTGAACCCGCTCCGAAGTCTTTGAATTTCAGCGCGAGGACTGTTTGAATATTCCGTGGGTCGACGGTGAAAATGATATTTCGATTGGCGATTCTCGCCTTGAATGTCGTACCGTAGCTTCGATGCCAGCCGCGAAGAAGTTCAAGAAACCTGTGCTCGGGGCCGGCTTTGGCTAGTTCCATGAGCATGCCAATGCCGAACAAGCCATGGGACACAGAGTGCGCTGGCGGCTGGCAGCCGTTCTCACGAACGTACTTCCATCCTGTATGAGTTTTCAGTCTGAGTGCTGGTTCACTGTCAATGAGGAAAAATTACGTACTTTGAAAGGTTTGTACAATTTTCGCCAACGATAAAGTAATGATGACAGCCCCAGCCACAAGGCCATAAAAGGGAATCCGGAAGAGGTCGAAAGACACTGGTGCCATAGCTACGGTGGTTTGTAAATAAGATATCTTGAGATTGTTAGAATAGCGAGCCGGCTTATATTGATATTTGTACTTGAGCTGTGTGTGTACTTCCGTCGCCACCTAGTATGAAGGGTCATGGTATACAGCCTGTTTTGCTCTTAGCCAGCGGGGTAAATCCGCAATCTGTTGATTTTTTTCACCACATATGCTAAACATGCAGTACCCACGGATTCGCTATAGCTGAGCTCATTTGACTGGTGACTCCGGAGATATAGTTCCATTTGGGCATAGGGCGAAGCACAACAGCCTGCCAAGGGACATGACTCGAGCTTGAATAATCTCGTCTCGCGTGAAGATTGAAGATGAGCCCGCGCGTCGAAAAATTGGGACTAAGTAGAGCTGCCATAGGCTAGATGCACGAGGCGGGATATCGCGTAGAAGCGGGCAGTTTGGTGTGCTACTCTTTATATCTGCAGGGATTTCCTTTCCCCGATTGCATTAGTCAAGACTTATTGCTCAATGCTTATTGGGTTGAATAGTTATCTGAGCTTCGATACATGTGGAGGGATTTACAGCGGTCCTGCAATTCGAAAAGAGGGGACATGCAGTGGACATCTGTTATGCATGAGTGGAGCTTTTTGGTCCATGTTTGTGGCCATTTTAAAGAGAGAAATCGTGACATTTGACGCTGCCAAGATGAAGCTGGATGGCATATGATAGACCGCATAACATGAAAACCCGAAGGTATCAAAAGGGTAGATCGGCGTGTATGTACTATTAACAAGAGGGCTTGTTTATCATTGGTGCATATCGAGTAGCGAGTAAAAAATCAAGGTTACCGAGGCCGAGAGGTGATTGTGTTATCAACCTGCTGCATGAGTATCACAACAAGACCCCGGGAATCAAGATGCAAAAAGTAAGCATGCAGCCACTACTGCCGGTACCTTTGTTTCGTCACTTTCCTCCGCTATTTGATTGGTTTCATTGCAAGGCTTTGTAGCGGGGTAGGAATCGCGACAGCGGCACGCGCACGAAAGGGTCTAGATGCAAATTCTTGCTTTTGCCGAGTTTCGTGATCTGCTCATTCGTGCCTAATCTTCACCCGGAGAATTGAGATGAGACTGACTATCCCGTTGCCAAGCTTTTAGTGACGTTTCGGGCCAGGATTGTCGTTTGTGTGTCGCTTTGAAGAGAACCAGTGGATAGGCTCGACTGACGTCTAATCCCAGTCCTTCTGGCCTCCAACGGTCTTTCCTGAGATCCAGTCCTCGAGATCTACATCATGATGTCCGGATCGAGCACTACGCAGGTGATTTCCCATGGCCCGGACGAAGTCTAGGTTGCGTATAGAAAAGTGTGGCCCCAAGAGACAAAATGGTCGACACTAAAATTGACCATAGGGAGACCTATTTTACTCAAAAGCAAGCTCCATGGTGCAGCGTGAAGTGTCATGGTGTGCATATCATTATAAATAGATCAAACGGATGATCTAGGCAGGTTGATCATCCTGTTTTGTCATGGCCTCTCCTTATCTTAGGAATATCGACGGTATGTAATTGGCTTTGGCGTCGATCAACACTCACATGTCCACTTTCCCCTCATTTCGTACGTCCTTAGCCCTTCGGCTGGATCCGCCACATTGACAAATCATGAGTCAAACCCTGAAGTCCAGCACTCAGACAGTATGTCCCCGTGTTGGTGCATTAACCCCCTAAGAGCCACACCACAGGTCTGTGAGCCGCCAATAGTAACGTCAAGTGATATTAGCCCTTTCATGAGAATGTCGATTTGTCGGTCCCAGATCCCGTCCGGTATTAAAAACTGCGCGTCGTCCTCTGATATTGAATCATCACACCTAGAGTGAAGCTGCAGGTCTATCACACTCTCAATGGCCCGTTGAAGGGCCGTGACAGCCAAACTCGGAGTGACATGATAAGCGGTAAGTGGGACTTCGGCGCCGAGTCCGTTTTGGAGGTTGAAGGCCTCCTCGGCGGGTAAGTTGAGTACGCATTCAACTACCTGTGCCATGCACGAGGCTGCGTCACGCTGGTATTCCCAAACGGCTGGCCCTATTTCTTGTTCCATATCGAGATCAAGGTCTTTGGTCACCTTTCTGAAAACTTCGGCGAGAAGAAAAATGCCAAGGTTCCAAAACATTACGAGGGAAACTAAGGTATAACCTGTCAGTGAGATGCCGATGATAGCATTGCGGGAGAAAGGACGAGTAAGCGAATCGGTAGGAGTATAGCTTACCAAGAGATATCCTAGGGCACGTGGACAGACAATCGAAATTTCTGATGCACTGAAGGATGAAAGGTTGAAATGATTGGCTGAACTCACGAACAGCCTCCACGCTCAACTTTATTGCTTCAATCGTTGATGAGGATCGTTCATTGATAGTGCCATGTGCCTGGTTAGCAACGGTTTTGACATTTATAATCTGCCTCCAGACAATAAATGTTTCCGCACTGGCTTTCCGGCAGATGGGTTGAATATTGATATCCAACTCTAGTATATTTTGAGAGACTGCCAATGCTGCCACGGCCTCTTTACCCGAGAGGACTGTGCGGTTTCAGTTTAGTTGCCATGCATTTGAGAATCCCCCTATGAAGAGCACTAACCTTTTGTAGTACCCCACAGATCTGGAAGTTTGCATTGCCGGTCCATCGCCAACGCTGCGCCTGTGTCGCGGATATATGCAGTCCACCGTACAATGCTCAAACTTGCTTCAGCAAGAGCGCCATATGTAGATGATGATCCCAGGTTCGCACAGTACTGCGTGACAAGTCCATCTAAGTAGGATAACTTTTGCAAAGCTGTGTCAAGGAAGTGATTTGGTACGAGATCCTCTCTGTCGGTTATTTTAGTTGGTGTAACGATCCCAACAAACATGAGTGTTGCCAATACAACTCGAAATGATCGAACATCGTGCGCATCGTTGAGAAGTGACCTTGCCCGTACCCACGCATCAATGAAAGCGTTCAAGGAAGAATCATCTCCTGCCTCTCCGGACTTTGAATTCCGAGGAAAGTGATCATAAGCTGAGCTCGCTCCAAAAGAAGGGGAGCTCGGCAACCATTGCATCGAGAATGCGCGAAGGACCGCTTTGAAAGTCTCGTCAGATTTCTTCCGCGCAGCTGAGTTCAGTCGATTGCCATAGAGGTCGCCCAAATGATCAAGGAACCGAACACTTCCCAGCAAGGAGATTTCATAAGGCATTGCTTGTGATGATACCGGAAGAGCAAAATGGGGTGAAATAGAGGTTGAACCCACGGTTGACCCGGCAGGTGCCGATCCATTTGAGCTCCCCGACTCACTGTCCCCTAACCGGTAGCGACTCCCAGTCGCATAGAGATTGCAGTCATAGTCCAAAAACCTGGACGCACTGGCTGTTGCGATTGCTTCATAGATCCGAGCGAGACGACTACCAAATATCTCCGCGTCTATCCCAGAATTCAGCAGGTAGATGGGACTGTTGAATGAAAGGCCAACCGTTGGTCGGTGATCAATTGACGCGAGATTTTGTCCTTCGTGTAAGCGAGTCAGTTGGGACGTGGTAGCCGTAGCTTGACCCTCACGCTGGCTCTCTGCTGGAGCTATGTACTCAGAACGAAGCGCATCGAATGATTTAGAAGGTTCGAGGTTGGTTGGAAAAGAGTTGACGCTATCCGCGACAATCTCATCATAATCAAGATTCAGCCAAGCCGCCAGAACATCTTGGTCAGCGATAGAGCTAGCATCAAATCGGTTGCTCGGGCTTCCAGCAACTTCCTCAATTGTTGCATCAAAGTCGTTCAATTCATTTTGCGTTGTTGATCCACTGGTTTCCCCGTAGTCGCGCTTCTGTCGTTTGCGAGAGAAAGGACTACTGGACTGGGCTATAGCGAATTGAAATGTACATTGGCGTCTCAGGCGTTTGCAATTTGTGCAGATCGCATCGGGAATCCCGTCTGGATCCGACTGCACAACACAGCGTCGCTTGGAACGTCTGCATGGATCACAACTTGTGTTTTGGCGCCGCGGTGGATTCACGGGAGATGTAGACGCCTTTGGAGAATTGAGGTCTCCCGGCATTCCGCGTCTACATGAAAACTACAAAATAACTACAAGATGAGGTAGCGTCGCTGGATATTGCTGACGGGCGGCTGGATTGCTTTTCCGTTCCGCGCCACTATTGATGCCTTAAATGGTGCCTGAAATATGAGGCAACAGTTCAAAATGTACATTCGAAAGAGAGGAGAATCTTCATATAAAACATAAAAACCCAATTATGTACACTTCCCAGGCTCAGCTATGTTACTGGAAAGCTCTGGACACGACGAATAGAGAGGGCAACAGGGCATAGTCAGCATCTTCGCATGCCTAGACCTTCTCTCCAGCAGCCCTCCGAATACAATCGACGATGAAGCCCGGTTTACTCATGAATGGGGAATGGCCCTCATCACATTCCTCCACCTCGAAATAGCCCTGACCTTGCGCAATCATCCTCCGCTGGAACGGTTCCCGCAATGCCTGGTCATTTTTGCAAACAATGTATGTACTCGGGATCTCACGGTACGCGGTGTATGTGACAGGAACGGTTAACGGGCCCACGGGAAATGTGCCCAACAGCTCCACGGCCCTATCGATATCCTTCTGCTCGCAACGGTTATAAAAGACGAGGTGGATACTCTCCTTCGGGAGGCTGATTGCTCCGTCCTGGCGACAGATTAGCATTGAAGATATAGAAGCAAAGACTGATGTCCATACCGCTGACACATCTAGCCCACCAAACTTTTCTTCCAACTCCTTGCGTTGACGCTCGATCTCTTCTTCCTCGGGCGTCTGCGGAACCAACTGGCCGATATGGGTCTGGCCTTCTGGCAACGCCATCGCGCACATGTAGACCAGCTTGACAATTCCGCCTTTCAAACCCTGTGCGTCTCGGTCTTTCTTTCCTAGACCCTTGGCTGCCTCGGACATGGCGATGCCGCCAAATGAATGTGCGAGCACGACGACATCCTTCCCGGCATCCAGTTTGTTCATAATCACTTGTCGGACAGCTTGAGCATCTTGGTTCCAGCTGGCCAATGGGGGACTGGAGTCCACTGAAGGAATGGTCACAGCCTCTGCATCGTAGTTGACCTTTGCGAGCTCATCAATGAGGCTCTGGAAGTGTGCAGGTCGGTGCCATGCGCCTGGCACAATGACAATTGAGGGAGTAGCCATAATAGAGTTGTATTTAAACAGAAGAGGAATAAAGAACAGGTGATGATTTGGGGATTGAGGTAAGATGGAGATGAGCCTTTAAATATCTGGATAAACATTTGATGCCCAGGTATGTCCCCACATCGGAGCCGCCTCAAAGTGGATCTCTTGTTCGGAGCCGCCCCGATCATTTCACGGTCGCTGATTGGTCAGATCTCGCCGGCTCTCCAGGGCTCTTTCATCGTACATACTAGTAGAGAGTAGTAGATGAGAGATGCGGTTCCAAAACCTGCATCTCGGAGTGTTTTGGAGATTTACTGTATTGTCCACGCAAAGCTTGCGTGAGCCACTATTGGTGTCAACGATTAGACCTATGCCTTGTGTGGATGCTAATGTTTATTGCCATTGCGGCCTTGAGAAGAGGCCTATCGGCAGTGGTTCTAGCCAGTGCCTAAAGAGGTCAGAAAAAAACCTAGTCTTATCTACTACCCAGATGGGTAAGATGGTGATAATTACCGAGAACATCTGACATACAATCTTTGGATATTGGAGCACATCCATTCTTCTGACACTCCAGGGCTACTAGACTGTCCAATCCCCTCGATACTTGCAATATGCTATTCTTAACAGATCCTATCTCCCAGCCATGTGACAAATTGTCCCCCCTTCACACTTCAGATATTTATCTCCACCTAGGCACTCCCATGTTGACACAGTCAGTGTTGTGAGACTCATAATAGAAAGATAAGAATGACCCACGAAGAAAGAAAAGACCACCTTGGTGGGAAGATGTGGAACCATAAAGGAACCCTCGAAAAAACAAATGTCCTCAGAAAATTCTTCAGACAACAGAGAGCTGTCTCTGTATAAAGGTTCCAAAAATTAATGTCGAAGGAGATGAGAACAGAGCCCCTTCCTAGGTTGGTTCGGCTCCTGGCGGACAACGGGAGCACCCAGACACGTACAGTCTGTATCCGCAGCGGTCATAGCAAAGCACCTGAAGCATCCGAAGATAGCTGGTAGGTAGCCCGCATGTACATGCTTCGTGCCATTCGCAGCCTAGCCTGGGCCGCCTACAGGAGCCCGCCAGAGTCCTCAGGATTTCACCGATCACTGGACAACAGCAGACATATGTTGAATATGACCCTGAGGCTGAACCAAAGGTCAAAAAATTGAAGGATACTCAACAGAAACCACGATGTGCAATGTGGACCCGGAGTGGTGTGAAGAAGGAAGAGAGAAGAAGAGAGAGAAATGGGGAGGGGGGTTATATATACCCTCCTAGTGGCTTAAGGCAATGGCAGGTACTTGGGTAGGTGACGATCTCAAAAGGGAAGGTTCTCTACCTGGGTCGAGACTGTCCATCTTTATGTCTGAATTACCTATGAGTATGAGATTTGGATTCTGTTCGATTCTAATCTTATTCACCCACTCTACGAGGGATCTTGGTAGACGATGTAATTGACATGGTCATAGTAGAGGAAGCCATTCAGTTTCCTATGTCAACAAAATTCGCTGTCTTTGTGAAGGTCGTAAAATAAAAGCATCTACGGGTCCGCTTCTTTGTTCGAAATGTGTTCAGACTACACCCGAGTTGCATTTCTTTGATTATTTTTAGTTTATTTCTTTGACAGTCTGCGCAGTCGAATAAACCGTGGCTAGGTTCTCCAGGTGCCCTTGTAGTCCACTATCTTCACTCGAAAGGCCCGGGAGGACAAACGAGTTTTATCATCCCAACAACGCAGGTAAAAGATGGGATGAGGTGACAATTCCCCATTGCATTTAAGCATCGCAAACTTTTACTCTTTCATCTCCATTCTCTTTACCTCCATACTCTTCATCTCCATACTATTTCATCTCCATATTCCTTCATCTTCATCCCCGGCATCTTTTATCCTTGTTTATCCATCTTGATTATCCCGCTATCCTTGTCTCCTTCATCCAATCACAGGGATGGTACTCGACCAAGTCCGCGTTTCTACGCGGCACACGCTTAACTGCGCCAATGAGGCAACAGTAGCCACACTCGAGTCCCCTTTCAGCCTAGGGCCGATGGACCATACTGTGCCCGCTATGTTAACTATCGAAGCTATCCTTGTCTACAGAAAGCCAAAAATACTACCCGACGAGAACTTCCTTCCAATTGAACGCTTGAAGGTGGCTGCATCCCACCTCCTGGACTATTACCCGCACTTGACTGGCCGTCTCGAGCAGAATCCAGTCAGCCAAGCTCCCGAGATTGGTAGCCTGGGCGCTGGTGCTGAGCTTTGGGAGGCGCAGTGCCACAGAAAGCTCGCGAGCATCGCGATTTCTGCTCTTTCAGCCCGTATCTTGGTATGCAAACTACCAGACGATGGAAATGCACTTCTTCCAATCTTTCATTCGACAATGGGAGCTGTCTCCCACAATCCTATCTTCGCTATCCAGCACACCCGATTTGGCTGTGGTGGGGTCGCACTAGGCATCCGAGTTCATCATCAGGTCTGCGATGCCACTGGCTTTATGCAGCTCGTGCGCGATCTCGCTGAGATCTACAGACAATTGCGCGACTCTTCTCCGCCAACACTCGTCTCTCCCCCTGAGATTTTCTCACACTTTCGAGAAACGAACAGTACATCGCCTAGCCAGAAGGAGAAAGCCCTTGCATTCAACCCTCCGACATTCTGCCTGGACGAAAACACCACGACTATGCCTCAGACTTCATCCCCTCCCTCTGTCTGGACTTGTTCGTTGCGTTTCCAAGGTCAAGATCTGATTTCACTCAAGAATGCTGCAACCGACCCCAACGCCCAGGGACCGACCACGTTCACCAGATTCGAGCTCATTTCAGCTTACCTCTACCAACGCATTTATCAAGGCAGAATTCAGGCTTTGCGTGACAAGGGGATCTCACCAGACCTCGACTCGCTACAATCACTTCGCGATTTTTGGACAACCATGGACATGCGTCACTCCACCCGGCTGAAGCTCCCCGCACGCTACTTCCCGAACGCCGTCCACTGCCCTTCAACTTCCGCCTCCCACGAATTACTCGAAAAGGGCGCGCTCTGGCAGGTTGCACAGGTTATCCATGATGCAATTCACTCGGTTGATATGAACAAAGTCAAGCAGGAGTTTGAATGGGTTGCCGCACAGCCCAACAAGAGTCACATCAGGTGGAAGAAGATGGTTCCAAATGGTTGCCTCGTCGCTACCCAGTGGAGTAGGGGTAAGACATATGTTGGGGTTGATTTTGACGTCGCTGAGAATGGCAAGCGCATTGCCCCTTCTCTGGTGTCGCCGGCTTTTAGCGAAGGTTACCGGGTTGATGGCTTGGCAATTATCATGTCTACCGAGGAGGAGGTGCCTCGAGGCCAGCGTAACAGACGTTCGTTGGTTCGTGGCAACGTTCTGTGCGCTGTCGATGTGAATTTGACTCTGGATCGGTCTGTGTGGGAAGTTCTTTTCAATGACCCCTCCTTCTTGGCTCTCCTTTCCTAGTTTACAATTCTCACCAACCTCGTTTTGACGCGAGAGGCTGAAGTCATGCTAATTTTTTTGAAGTGGCTGGTTTTTTTTGGCATTTCTGGAGCTGTCATTGTACGGGACAATTTATTTTAGGGGAAAAAAGACGGAAAAAAAGATGGAAAACTGAAACGATGAAAAGCATGGGAAAAGCCTACTAAACCAAAACACAAACCTGTAAGTTAGAACGAATGAATATAAATTGTTAGTGTAGTAACTTGAGTCCATCGTTCTAGTAGTTGATTTCATGACCTAGTATTAGATGTCTTGCTCCTTGGCCCAGTGGCCACCAAGGAAGCTATAATGATCTGTTGCAGATAGCTTGTCAAGCTGTTTTACCTACTTCTAGATATAGATCCATGCAGACGGAACATAGTGTCGCATTCCACGATAAGTTTAATGCCCGAGCCACGATGTCTCTCGTTTGGCTTCGAGGTGATCATATGCTTCTTTCAAGATCGGAGATATCAAGATCCCCGCGAGTGAAATTTCTGGTTGTAGCAAGAAAGATTGAACCTTAGAAGTTTGTTGGAGGCCTTCACTCGGCAGAACTCCCCTGGAAATGTCGTCATATGGCTTCTGTTCGACAACCCGTGGACCTGTGATTGGCCTAGGGTAATCACGTGGCCCAACCCCGGCCGGGGATCCACCCGTCCCAGGCCCAGAACCATCAGAGCTACCATGTGTCTTTGGTTGTTTTGGGACCACCACCCCTCTTGATATACTCCTTTCTTTTTGAAAACTTTGGACGCTTCATGGGATTTTGAAGATATTCAACTCACACCCATTTGTTTGACGAATATTCCACATCGGAAAGATCTCTGTTCTCCCCGCGTGTGATGTCATCGGGCTGCAGCGATGGAACAACCACCGCGCCGGCCTTCGACGCTTGAACGCAACCAATTTACTCAGGATGGGACAAAAGTTCAAGGTGGGAGCGGATTTACATCTATGACTCATTCGCAAAAAACAGCGTGCTAATTTTGTAAAGATGATGGTCGAATTGAGATCGATCTGGACTCCAAAGTGGGCAGGGAAGTGTCAAAGTTGATACCATTTCTGCATACGGAAGAACATATACAATCACAACCAGAGCCTTCAGGGGATGCCGGATGCGGTCTCGAGCTCAACATCGTGATCCAAGTTGTTGGCAGTCGAGGCGACGTCCAACCCTTTGTCGCACTAGGTAACGAGCTTCAGCGCCATGGACACCGCGTACGACTAGCCACACATGGTGTGTTCGAAAAATTCGTGCGCGAATCAGGTCTAGAATTTTATTCTATTGGAGGAGATCCCTCGGAGCTGATGGCATACATGGTGAAGAATCCAGGACTGATACCACAGATGAAGTCCGTCCAAGAGGGTGATATTCAACGCAAGCGTGTCATGGTGGGGCAGATATTACAGGGATGCTGGCAGTCCTGCGTTGAGGATGACTCCGTAACAAATACGCCCTTTGTCGCCGATGCTATTATTGCGAACCCTCCAAGCTTCGCCCATATCCACTGCGCTCAGGCGCTTGGCATCCCTCTACATATGATGTTTACCATGCCGTGGACGAGCACAAGATCATTTCCTCATCCCTTGGCAAACTTGAAATATTCGACCACAGAGCCGAAAATGGCGAATTACCTTTCTTACGGGATTGTCGAATGGCTTACATGGCAAGGGTAATAACCAGATACCCTCCTGCTAATCACTGATTCAAATACGCTGACCTCACAATAGCCTGGGCGATGTTATTAATGATTGGAGAAAATCCATCGATCTAGAACCTATATCAGCAACCGAAGGTCCTCGTCTAGCAGAGACTTTGAAGATACCCTTCACATATTGTTGGTCCCCCACATTGATGCCCAAGCCAGTGGACTGGCCGGCACATCTCAACGTCTGTGGCTTCTTCTTCCGCTCTCCTCCAGACTTCACTCCACCTCCAGACCTTGACGCGTTTCTTCAAAGTGGGCCTCCGCCGGTGTATATTGGTTTCGGGAGCATAGTAATTGAGGATCCCCCAGCCATGACTGCCACACTGGTCAATGCAGTCAGGTCCTGGGGTGGTCGTGCAATCATATCCCGTGGTTGGAGTAATCTCGGCGAAGCACAATCGGACGACCAGATCTTTTATCTTGGAGACTGTCCGCATGAATGGCTGTTCCAGAAGGTCGCCGCAGTTGTGCACCATGGAGGAGCAGGTACCACAGCATGTGGTTTACGATTTGGAAGGCCCTCTCTTATTGTACCATTCTTTGGAGAGTACGTCATTCCTTGCAAGCCTTTTCCACTTCTTTGCTAACTTCTCACAGTCAGCTGTTTTGGGGAAACATGGTTGCATCCCGCGGGATTGGACCAATGCCCATTCCACACCGGTCTTTGAACGCAGAGAATCTAGCAGAGGCCATCCGCTTTTGCCTGCATCCTGATACCCTTGCAGCAGCTGGTGATCTTGCTCGTGAAATGAGCGAGGAAGCTGGAGTTTCTGCGGCTGTTGCATCATTCCATCGCAACTTACCGGTCGATAAAATGAAATGCCAGTTTATCGATTCTGAGCCGGCTGTATGGCAGCTAAAACAAAACGCCAAGTCCCCTATAAATTTGTCCAAAATGGCAGCGGGGATCTTGCTTGAGAATTCTCGCATTGATATAAAGGACCTGAAAGCGTGAGATCATCTATCCCAATCATCCTATTTCCATATATCTATACTAACACACATCTTGAACTAGGTACGAGAGTAAATCGATCTTCATTCAAACCCGGCGATGGGACCCTATCACGGGCGGCACATCGTCTTTACTGGGCATGTACAAGGATATCCTCACCGCATCAAGCGATGTCGTCATTCGGCCCTACAAAGAGTTCAGTCGCGCCCGTCAGCAGAGCGAGCCAGAGCTTGTAGTCATCGAGTCTACAAATCCCCAATCCGAGCGAAGTCCATCCGAAGGCATCTCACGTACTTCCGGAAGCAACCAGATGGATGAAGACTGGAGAGTTACGGGAAAGGCAGTGGGGGGATCTGCCAAAAGTGTGGGGAGGATCATAGCCTACTACTACAAGGGCGTTCTGGTAGACATACCTGGGGCAGTGAATGAAGGCCTGCGGGCTGTTCCCAGGCTCTATGGCGAGGAGGTGAAAGACTACGACAACATCCGGGACTTTAAGTCTGGGGTGGCTGCAGCTTCAGATAACTTTGCGCATGGATTCTCGCATGGACTCACTGATATCTTCCGACAGCCCTACGAGGGTGGCCAAAAGGATGGTATTAGGGGTGCAATCAAAGGATTTGTGAAAGGACCTATTGGAATGGGAACGAAAGCTGCATCAGGTTTGTGACGCTCATTATAGTTACACGACTAGAGGGATTATGCTAATGGATCATCTCCAGGTGCTTTGGGTTTAGTAGCCTATCCGGGGCAGGGCTTAGCCAAAAGCTTGCATTCGGCTATCCACTCCAAAACTCGGAAGCAGCTCGTCAAAGCACGATTGACAGAGTCTGAATATTTGGCTAGACAATCAGCCAAGGCTCAATCGAGCTGCCCCGATGTCATTGAGGCATTTGAAGCTCAACAACGGCAGCCTGCGAATACTGCCAGCTCCACAAATTTGGAACGAGCAAGTTCCCAGTGATGAACATAGCGAAGAGGATTAGCAATATGAAGAATTTCAAGAATATATATCAAGGTCGCACAATTAGCTCCATTTTCCCAGCCCCGCATAGTTCGGTCTTCTCCGCGATAGGCTGCAGCGCGCCCATCTCCGATGACGACTTAGCTATACCACACCCTCCGCTTTTCTTCTTTTCGCATTGCGTTGCACTGTATTTGCATTTAAATATCACTGGAGTTTGCATCGCATCCTTAACTACTGTTGGACCACTAATCATCATGTCATCCAAGTCCCATGCAAAATCCTTCCCACGCCCAGCAGCGGGGTATACCCAGTCGTTTTGGCGCACAAAACCAGACCCCCTCGACAACCATCAAACTACACCAGAACTACCAAAAGAAACCGATATCTTAATTATTGGTGGCGGGTATGTCGGAGCCTCGGCCGCTTATCGCCTGCTTGCAGAGAACCCGCAAAATCCAGCCCCGCGGGTGGTGTTAATTGAGGCCCGGGAGCTGTGCTCTGGTGCCACCGGGCGCAATGGTGAGACACACCGAGACATGACCTACAATACAAGTATACAGACTTGGCTCACAGTTCGACTTTTTGCATAGGTGGTCATTTGAGACCAGATATCTATTCAGCAACAGCTTTGTTCACCGAGCGCTATGGGATTGAAGCCGCGACAGAGATCGTGCGGTTCGAAATCTCCCACTTGAAGATCATGGAGGAGCTGGTCCGTAAAGAGAACATTGATTGTGATCTCACTTTCACCCGCTCTTATGATATGTATCTCGATGAGGATCAGCTCAAGAAGGCCAAAGCCTTCTATGACTTTTTGGTTGACCAGGGATTGGACTTTATGGATGATGTTGAATACATGTCTCAAGCTGAGACCCAAGATGTGAGTTGAATGAGCTTTCGGGATACTATGTCCATCTTCGACATTATCTCTGACAATGATTGGATTAAGACGGCACATGTTCGAGACGCCAAGGGAGGCTTCAGTTTTCCAACAGGCCATCTCTGGCCCTACAAACTCGTTGCCCATCTCATTAAGGTCGCCGTTTCCCACGGGCTAAACCTGCAGACGAATACACCGGTATCTGAAATCGGGGAAACGCCAAACGCGGATGGATTCTGGCCGGTAACCACCAGTCGTGGGATCATCAACGCGCGCAAGATCATTCTCGCGACCAACGCATTCACCAGCGCCTTGGCCCCGGAATATTCCAAAGCTATCATTCCCTGCAAGGGAATCTGTAGCCAGATCGTTGCGGCACCCGATGCACCCCGCCAGGAGCTGCCTGGTACTTATTGCATCCGATTCAGTCCAGGAGGGTATATTTATCAAATTCCCCGGAATGACGGCTCACTCATTGTCGGCGGAGCGTCACATCTTTTCAAAGATGATCGGGAGGAATGGTATAATAACCCCGATGACGGGAAGTTGATTAAGGTTGCTGCGGATTATCTTGATGGCTATATGCAACGTACGTTCCTTGGGTGGGAGGATAGTGAGGCGGAGATCAAACATGTCTGGGCTGGTGGTATGTAAAATTCCTGTGTAAACGATGCCCTCGATTTGAGGGTATATCTTCCTTCTGCTAACTCCGGTCTCATTAATAGTCATGGGATACAGTGCAGACTCGTTGCCTCATGTTGGTAGTATTCCGGATAAACCGGGTCAGTTTATCGCGGCTGGATTCAATGGCCATGGTATGCCGGTGGCATTCCTTTGTGGTAAGGCTGTTGCGGATATGGCACAGAGCTCAGTTGCATTTGAGGATACTGGTTTACCCAGATTGTACGAGACCTCACTTGCTAGGCTGGAGCCAGTTTATGATGATATTTTAGGCTAGGTATGTTTGGCTGGGTCGTTCTCCTTTCCTGATGTTTTTTTACATTATACTGTTGTCAGGGGTTGTCAGTAGTTTCGCATGATCCGCTGTTTTCGTTATTTCTCGAATTGAAATCTATAATATGGACTAGTTGCCGACATAGAGCCTGTCAAGAGAATACATAGGAACAGCCTCATTGGCACAGATGATGCATTAATACATAATTCGGACTTTAAACTATCAAGACACGAACATAATGATATAACAAGTTGACCTAAGTATGTCATAAATATAGAACTAAAGTCATATAAACACATGAACGTTAATCATTACTGGCACTAACACATGAACACCTGCACACTTCCCCTCCACACCTAGTATCTAGAAGGCCAGACACTCGCCGAATCATCTAATCTTGCGAAGCCCAATTGGAACCTCATCGTCGACTTTATGCTGAGGTGCCTCCTCATTCCAGTCCACGTTCCGGGTGGAAGCCTTTTGGCGCAAGAAACGATACTTCTGCAAGAGCCTTCTATAGAAGAACAGCAAGGCAATCCCAATACCCAATCCAGCCACCGAGCCAACCACAATACCCGCAATAGCTCCTCCTGAAAGACCAGAGCTTTTCTCGCTTGTGGTACCCGTGTCCTTCGCTGTGTCCGACTTTGCAGTAGCAGTAGAGCCAGCTGTAGTCGTGGTAGTTACATCGGTGAACTCGTCACTTGTCACATTGAAGCAAGGGACTTGGTATGTGAACTTGCTCGCGGGGATGTACGTGACGTCCGCGCACGCGTAGTAGGTTTCGTTTTTGTCGGTATCGAAATCCGAAGTGTATTTGATCTGGAAGGTGGCATTCATTCCCTCTTCCACATCAATAGATGGGTTGGGAACGGAGTAGCATTCGTGTCCAGGTTCGACGTCGGCAAGACTGGAGCTGTCGATGAAGGCCTCGAAGTCGGCATTGGTAGTTGGGTCTAAGGGGGAGTTAGTCTAGATATATGTGAATGATGTGAGTTAGCTTACTGCTTTTGTGGGAGACTGCAACCTGCACATTCCACGACTCGTCTTGGAGTACAAGTGCGAGCTTGCCATTGACTATAGTGTCTTGTCAGTATATGTGCTTTTTGAGTTGCGTGATAGATATGCTCTTACTAAGTGGAAAATTTGTGCGGTTCACGGCCCCGGTTGATGAGCCACATGGGGCATTGTTGTCATATGCTGCACCCCAGAGACGATCAGGTGGCCACAGAAAGGCAGCCGGGCCCATCTCTGTGCTCGCTTCGTCTCCATGAGCGCATAATCCAACCGCAGAGAGGGCGAGTAGTACAGCGTAGCTCTTCATAATTATATTAAGAGACTGGATCTGACAAGAGGAAGATTTTTCTGAAAGGGATCTTAAAGGGAAAAAAAAGGAAACCGAGACATCGTCGTTTATAAACCTCCAGGTATCCTCGGCCTCGCAAACTGTGACCCATATAAGAGATGGTCGAGAATGAACGTGTGTCGGCTTGAGCCGACTCCGCTGCCAAGGGCTTTACAAACTGCCAAGCACGTGGCAACCACAGTTTTCTGGATGTTATGGCCGGGAATGTTCTCACCGAAGTTGGACCACTGTTAGGGACCCATTGAGGTCGAGTCACGAGTCACGCGCCAAGATACAAATTTTGGTTCAATGGCTTGCCGATGACAGCGAATTAATTTATTGAAGCCGGAGGAACCCGTAGATAAAGAGCGTAGAGGAAAAAGCTCAGGGTCTGGATCAGATTAGATCAATCAGATAAGATGGGTGGGTCTTCCAAGGCTGTTTTAGTTGGTTCGCTTCCACATATTTACCTCACATCCTGGATCCAGCTGAGACATTGCCATAATTGGTAATCTCTCCCGAAAAGTTCCTACTTCTCCGAGGGCTCGTGCCACCTTGGATAGTGCTCGCTCCGAAATGACCGTTCAGCCAAGACATTGTATTGTTTTTGGGGGAACATCCACGGGTCAATAAGTAGACACTGAGCTGCCGTCACTTTGGAGTCTGCATCCTCAGTCTCTACAATTTCAGATACCAAATTTGTACCTCATTTCATTCGTTAATACCATCATGCATTTTGTCAACCTTGCTGCTTTTGCCTGCGCTGTAATCAGTGCCAGCGCATTTGAATTCCCGGACTTTGTCCCTCTGCACAAACGCCAGGATCCCGGAACTCCTGCGTACGAGTGTCACGCCAACTGCGGTATGTCTCATAACCTCTAATCCTACAAACCACGACCCAAACTGACAGACCAGGTGGCGTAATTACCGCCGGCCGTTCTGACGGATACTGTGATACCGACAATTTCAAGACCGAACTGACCGATTGCCTGAACTGTGCCGTTGAGTTCGACATTTGGAAGTATTACGGGGGTTCTGTGTCCAAGGCTGCTACTGCATGTGGATTGGATGCCACCCCGGTTGAAGCTTCTTCCACCACTACATCTGTTAGTGCAACCACTGCATCCGATAGTGCTAGCGCTACGAAGACTGCAGAGGAGACCATCAATTCCACTGTGACCACTGATGCAGCGACTTCCTCTACTGGTACTACGGTCGCCTCAACTTCCGTGAGCCCCCCGCGTGTTTCTGGTTCTTCTCGCTCATCGGCATTGATTCCTTCGGCAACACCTACTGGAAGCTCGGTTGGTTTCTCCTCTACTTACTAGTGGGCTCATAGCTAACTTCGCGTAGACTGCTAGCACTCCTTCCTCGTCCCCCGTCTATACTGGTGGTGCTATGATGAATACAGGCAGTGGACTGGTCTCTGGTGCCTTTGTGGGTTGTCTTATTGCAGCCTTCATGTAAATAGTGGTTTATAGTATTACTTGATGGAAGGAAGGGAGGTGTACGAAGTATTTGTGGATGGTGTATACATGTATTTAATCGTTCTTACGACTGGTCTTTTACCTGTCCATCGCACGAATGCAGCAAGAGATATTTTTCAGACTCGAGATCGACATCCATCCGTATTCTATAGAAGATAGCCTCAATTTAACTACTAGTTATCCATTTAGCCCACCGAAATTAAATTTGCGATCGAAACTTGCAATTTAAGAATACGACACACCCAGGAGTAGAACGAAATCGGAATGTATCACTAAGTGCGCCGATATAACGTACTGGTGACTGTCGGTTACAAGCACCCCAACCCGTTTTTCAACTAGGTTTCGTATTGATATAACCCCCTAGTATACTCAGGTACACAGCCTCCGTCTTGCAACCTTGGGCGTCCAACCTTGCCTCTCCCTAATTAGATACACCCTCATGAACTTGTCTCATCGCTCTTCCCGTCTAGTGGGTTAAGGCTGTGTCCCAGATTTAACCCACAGCCAAACCAAACTGCCCTTTGCCTTCAGTAATTTTGAACTGCCACAACTTCCCTTCATACTTTTGTCGCTTTTTTACGGTCACGGGGAAAGCTCCATCGACTGGACTCATGTTGAATGTGCTTGCCGAATTCATCCTCGGTGGTGCATGCCAGAGCCCATCGACTGGAGCAACGTCATATTGCAAGGCAATCATGGCTACGAGTGCCAATATCTCACTAGTAGCAAAGTGACGTCCCGGGCAGATCGATGGGGAAACACCGAATGCCATGAACCCACCGGTACGCCGGGGCTCCTTTTTCTTATCGCCCTTATTCTCGGTTGTTGTAGTGGACCTCATGAACCTTCGTCCGTCGGACTTATCAGCCGAATTGCCCCAAGTGTTCTGATCTCGGCCTAATTACTTCGCTGGCATGAAGAGCATGGTTCCGGATCTGAGAAGGTATTTGTCCGCTAGAACAACATCCTGCGTCACGAACCGGATGGTTACCATTGTGGTCCTTGTCCGTAGAACCTCTTGGTACATCGAGAGAAGAAGTGGGCAATTATCGCGAAGGTACCCCAGATTAATGATGTGCATGCCGCCAGGTGCAATATTGAGGGCTTTCTGTTCTATCTCTTCCCGTATCTGTTCCAGCAGCTGTGGTCTAGAGAAAAGCTCAAAGTGAACCCAGAATGCAGCAGGAACGGTATTTGCCAGTAATCCTACAATCAGGGGTATCTCCGCATATGCTATTTCTTTGTGAGTAAGCCCAGCCCCGAGGAATGATCTGTACCGCATGGATAGCAGTTCCGAGCCGTCCTCATGACCTCCGAGGTCGAAGTAATCTTTGAACGCAGCACACAAAAGCTTGCGTGCCTTCCAGGTCTTGGGGGCAATTAGCCATGGCACAATGTTGGCCAGTAGTAGCGCCACATTACGTTCGAGTTCCCTGCCTTGATATTTGAGGGATTCTATAGCCAATTATAGATCGGTTAAACTTACCAGAATGTGTCTTCAATGTGCCGGATTTTGAAAGGGTTCAAATTGCCGTATGTAGCATTTGTACTGATAATGGTAATGGCATGCCGAAGCCATCCGTTCAAATCGACCGTATCGTAATTGCTCATGTCACCAATGATGGGTAGTAGCTGCCGAAATATTATCCCGTTCATTCTGTCAAGGGATTTTCCAGCAAGGACAGGTGTCGTATCATGCACGATCCTGGAAAGAAGGCTCGGACAATGGTCTTGATCACACAAATGAACAAGCTTATCGCGTTGAGCTTGACATAGACGCTTCTGCGTGAACTTCAACAACGGTTCCAATGTAATGACTGTGGGGTGTTTCTGAGCAGCCCGCATGATGGCAGGTGAGGAGGTCACAAAGAGCTTGAAGGAGAATATGCTGACTGCGAAGATTAGATTGTACAAATACTAGGAATGATAACTCGCCATAAAATGCCAAAATATCCTGGGCCATGTTGGATGAGGCCGATCAGATGGCCCACAAATGGGATTTTACTCGAGACCGAGGGAGGGTTGCGCCTTTGACTGTGGAGCATGGTATAGGATGCGTATAAACCCAACACCACCACCACGCCCATGATCGCCACATTGTGAGGGTCTAGCATGGCCAACATAGCTCAAGAAATCTGAGTCAAGTAGAAGTTGGGGAATCGCTGGTGATGCAAGAAGTAGTGTTAAGAATTGATGACGGATATGCGAAGGCAGCCCTGCTCACTAAAAAGCTTTTATCCCTCCCGAATAGGTAGGTGCTGGCCAAAGGACGTTCCAGAAACGAGGGAAAGCACATGTTTTCAACTGAGATTGGCAAACCCTCCTATTGATACAACTTCATTAATTCCGAGCTTTACTAACTATATGTAATCCTGTTAGTGAGAGAAAATGGCGTCTAGTGAGTTTATTCGTTCCGATAGTTCATTAGTTCCTAACGCGTCGCCTAGTATAGTACGCTACCCTACGTTTATATATCCTCCCTATTTTCGGCGCGAATACCTCTATTGTAGACTACGTGTGCCTACTATACCCCTCCTAGTAGACGATACCGAGCCGTCTATTATAATTAATACTAACAAGTCCGCATATCGTAACGAAGGGACTACGGTATGATCCTCGATACGTGACATGTAATATTAGTACTTCGAGAACAGTGGCAAGGATCCCTCGCACTCAATCTGCGGCGCTACTGTATAGAAAACTGATTTGGGAAGGAGCCGGTGAGGAGAAAACGGCCCCCGGGGCCATAATTTCCAAACACAAGAAGGGACAGGGGTGCGTACTGGAGCCCCCGGCAAAAAGAATTGACGACCGTGGCCGAGAGAGGCATAGATTGGATTGAGAGAGTGCAGCGTATGAGAGAGATTCGAGCCGCGTATGATCCCAAGTCAACATTTTCCAAGTTGTACTGGGGTGGATTCAATCAAGCTTGGCTATTGATATTCGAACGAGAAGTTTGAACGCATTTGATATACACGTATGACTAGGTCATTCTTAGAGAAAACCCTGCTTTCATTGGTGTAACTCAACATTAATCACATAATTTCTTTCCAGCATTAGAGAAGAGATATGTTGTTGTTCTTTTATCTTTGGAATTAATTGAAACAATGCGAAAGGATACGTGCCATAATTTTCCCCATCATGCCACTATAAGAAACTTGCATATCTACAGCAGTATTTGCTTGTTTGGCGCGTTCTTCAATGGCATTAAACGTTACCAACCGGAGGCTCTCTCTGTTTGTGGAGTGATGGACCTTGCTCCGAAAATATCTTTTCTGTCGTATTTCTCTGTTGAGCCTTAAAGCTTGCCCTGAATGATTCGTTTGTTTCTTCCTTTCCATCCATCTAACTCTCCCAGATCTCTCTGTGGCCAAGGGTGAGGCTCTTTGCCAGTCTTAGGCGGGATTTGTCCGAATCTCCACTTCCATAAATCCGCATACTCCTTACTCAAAGTGCCCTCGAGCATGTCCACAACATATTTGCCAATGATAGGCATGAACTTGAATCCATGCCCAGAGCCGGCAGTGGCAATGTAAAGGTTTTTGCCTTCGGGGTAAGGGCAGACTCGGAAGTTCACATCCTTAGTATCTCCATCCCTGTTCAAACATGAGTATATGATGATTTTGGATTCATGGCCAGCTAGTCATACCAGCACATCCTTGTCGAAACCCAAGGTCGATCAGCCAGATAAGGAATTATATCGCGCACGAAAGAGCGCATTTCTTCTTCAATCTGTCTAGGAACACCATCTTCGGGGTAATCGGCATGTGAGTGTCCAATCGAAGCTCCTGGTGTGAATGAATTGTAGTAGTTGGTGATAAATCGACAGCTACAAATCTTTAATAGACCGTTTTCGTCGGGTGGGAACAGAATTCCTGAGGATCTGTTAGTTCATGCTTTGGAAGATTGTTTTTGAATAGCTCACCTTGTTCAAAATCGTCCACAATCGGAATATCTTTGTATTTTTCACATTCCTCGGGGGTCAGTTGAATAACACCGACACAATGGGATCGAGCAACAATCTCATCCTTCGCATCCACAAGAGTTGCTGTATTAGCGCCTGTGGAAAGGATGACAACATCGGCGAGGTGGGCTTGTCCATTCGCTGTCAGAACACCGATACAAGCCCCGTCGGCTTCGAAGAGAAGTTTTTTCGCAAATCCTGCATCTCCAGAAATGTACTTGACACCATTTGCCTGGGCTGCGGATGCAAACCGAAGAAGTGCTTCGCCAGAGGGAACCTGTTTCAAGCTTCAGTATCAGTCGGAGTTCAATTTCTCAACAGGGATAATTTCATACCCACCCAGCCTCCGGGCTCCACAAGTTCGTCCAGCCATCAAACGATCCCGTAAACTCAGGCCATTTACTCTTGGTCTCTGCGATACTCATCCACTTCACACCCTCACGCTTCTGCTTGACTCCACTTTCATACGCAGCTTTCAAAAAGTCACGAGTCATCTCATGGGCGGACATAATCCATCCAGTTCCGCGGAACATACCACGGAATAGTGAGTTTTGGTCTTTCCACACACTCATTGCCTCCAGTCCGAGCTTTGTGTAAAGCGGATTCGGGTAATCATAACGCACGATTTTGTTCAAATCTGTAGCTGCTGCATCCTTTGATGGGGCGGCGAATCGATCGAGAATGGTGACATTGGCGTATCCCCGATGAGAAAGATGATATGCAGTGGAGGTCCCGAAGGCGCCTCCGCCAACGATAAGGACAGATGGCTGTGACATTGTGCTCAATATTGATGGTGACTTGGATTTCCTTGATCATTTCAACTGTGCTTTATATGTGAACTTTTATTAGTAGGTACCCCCCATCCATCGGCCGCTACGGGAGTCAATCTGCGGGGAACGTGTAGTTTGAAACCATCCCGTAGATGCCGAACAAGGCAAATTCAAATCAACCTGAAATGGTCATAATTTCCAGGTGAACTCAGAAATCTTGATTACCAGAGGCTCCAGATAACTCAGTGAATGTCTTTCTGTGGGTTATCTTTTTCATTACCGCTGATCTCTATCCAGAATCCTCCGGCGGCCAATCAGAGTGGTCGGATGCGGCCGTAGCGGCCGGAAGATGATAAGACTTCAAGATATGCGGGGAAAGATGTTGTAGAACCTGGGGTCGTATAGTATACCAATCTTGATTCGTTGCACATGAATTGTCACATATCAATTCTTTCAATAGGGAGCAAAAGTATATAAATCATTATGTTTTCTGCAATGATTTCTCTTTCCTGCCATAAGTTCTATCTGTAACTTTCTATCTTCTCTATTACCACAACTTCCTTACCAACATGGAGATGAAAAAACACGAATCTAGAGACTTCGATCATCATACCCCCGATAAACTGCAATGTGGGACAACGATTTCTCTTTCCCACTTGCCCCCACTTCTTCAGGACATTGCAACCCAGGAGCTAGAAGCATTAGAAAAACGATTAGTGAGAAGGCTCGACATTCGGTTGATGCCCATGTTGGTTTTGATCTACATATTGAACTATCTGGACCGGTACGTTGCTTAGAACCGATCTAAGTGCTCTTTTACTGATCAGCGAACAAATATATATATGCAGAAATGCAATCGCAGCGGCCAAACTTGCAGGCATAACTGAAGACCTCGAGTTATCATCAGTCCAGTTCCAGACTTCCGTCAGCATCCTATTCGTGGGGTGGGTTTTGATAATCAAATGGCCTTGTTTCCGGCTAATGTTTGTTTAGATATATTCTGATGCAAGTTCCTTCCAACCTCTTTTTGAACAAAGTGGGTAAACCTGCCATCTATCTTCCTACATGTATGGTTATATGGGTAAGTCAATACAGACGGATATCCCTCCTTCTGAGCCTCGAGTTAAGTATTATTCAAAGGGCGTTTTATGCGGAGCAAGCGGAGCAGTCCAAGACTTTCGTGGTCTGGTCTCATGTCGGTAAGTGCTGTTTCCGCTTCTGCAGCGACATATAGACTGAAAAATCAGTTTTCTTCTAGGCTTTGTGGAAGCTGCCTATTTCGTGAGTTTCGAAGTTTCAATGCCAGATATTAACTAACAGTAGCAAGCCTGGCTGCATGGTGACATTAAGTGCTTGGTATACACGCAAGGAACTATCACTCCGAACTGCAATCCTCTATTGTGGCTCCCTTCTGGCAGGGGCCTTTTCCGGGCTGATAGCTGCGGGAATAACTGACAGCATGGATGGGTATGTCTTTCCCATTCGTATTAGTATGATGAGAACAAAGCTGATAAGTCTTTTAGTGTGCGTGGGCTACGAGCGTGGAGATGGCTCTTCATTATTGAGGTGTGTACTGGATTATTTGATCATTTCGATCTTGATCTTTGGGTCAACTGGCTAATCCTTTCTTTCAGGGGACGATCACAGTTGTTGTCGCTTTTAGTGCTTATTTCGTCCTTGTCAACTTTCCACACAACACGCCGGGTATATCGGCCCAAGAAAGGGAATTGGCTTTATGGCGCCTGCAGAAAGATATTGGTGCCCAGAACGAGGGAGCGGAAGAAAACCCGAGTTTGGGTGAGGGCTTCAAGCAATGTGTGGCTGACTGGAAGGTTTGGTTTCTGGTAACCTTAGTCTTTGGAGCAACATCTAGTGGCACCATCAATAGTTTCTTCCCAACTGTTGTGGAAGGTCTGGGCAAGGACCGGATTCAAACTCTTCTATTGACCGTCCCGCCTTATATCCTCGCCTGCATTGTCGCGATGCTGGTTTCTCTCAACGCTGATCGATCAGGTGAACGTTACTTCCATTTCACTATTCCGCTTTGGGTTTCTTTCTATCGCGGGTTTCATCATCTCGGCCTCGACAACTCAATTCGGGCCAAGATATTTTGCATTCATGATAATGCTTCCTGGGGTCTACACAGCATTTATCATTGGTATTACTTGGGTTGCGAATACTCTACCACGCCCGTCTTCGAAGAAAGCTGCAGCACTTGCTTTTGCCAACGCGATTGGAAACTGTTCGTCAATTTATAGTCCATACCTTTACCCGAGCAGTGGGGCTCCACGCTTTGTGCTTGCTATGAGTGTTAACGCTGCAACCTCATTGCTGTCCATTGCGACTGCGACTATATTCAGGTTCCTCCTTCAGAACCTCAATAAGAAGTTGGAAGGTCAGGATGTTGAGGAATGTGAGGAAGGCGGCCGACGCAAGGAGAGATTCCGTTACCTTTTGTAAAGAGACAGAAAAGTTTTAGTCGCATACTCGATTCAAAGCTTTACGTTCCTTTTTTATCCGATTTCCATTGTATCCGTAGCCAAAATCTAGTTTGTTGCATTTGTAATAAAATTTTCCGGTCCAGGGACTCTAGATGGATTTACCAAAGACACACTGGAACAATCGTCTAACTTGGCCACATAGTTAGTTCTTGTATATATACTCGGCCCATAGGGGGCTAGTGACGACTTTCTTTTTATCAGCAGAGGTGTCTATCATTCTAGATACAAATCTTTCGCGTACGGCACATAATTCTAGCAGCCACAATCCCACTCACTGACTGTCAAAGAGCTCCCGAATCTCATCGTTCTTATATCCCGCACTAAGTGCAAGCTGAAGCATGATTCGAGCCTTTTGCGGGCTCAAGAACCCACTAGTCATTTGGAATGAATAAATGCTGTCCCCTCCCGCAAACCCGTCATTTGTCCTTCGGCTGAAAATCATTGGAACGCCCGTCCGGTTGTACATAGTTTGGGCATATTTCAGACCGTCAAGGCTCCAACCACCTGCTCCGACGCCTGCAAATATGATCCCCTTGGCTCCAGATTCAATCGATGCTCGGATAAGATGAGAGTTGGAGTCTTGATGCCCGTAGAGAATGTCAACTGGCGGGAGTGTCTTTTGGCGAGATACATCAAAGTATGTCTTGTTTCGAGGCTTTGATGAAGTGTCATAGAATTTGGGAACTTGGTTGATGAAAAAGCCTAGTTGACCTTGCTCGGTGGCGTGGAAAGTATCGAGAGAATTGGCGTTGTTTTTCGTGGATGTGTATGCGCTGCCGATCCGACTAGAGGATGTTAGTGGCATCCGGTTGTTCAGATATATAGATTACGCAAGGGGCGAAAGACTTACTCATTTAGTGCAACCATCACGCCTCGGCCGTATGCTACACTCGAGGCAGCCAACTTAACAGCCTGGTAAAGATTCAACGGACCATCGGCACTCAGGGCAGTAGATGGTCGCATTGCACCTGTAATCACCACGGGCTTTTCCGAATCCAGCACCAAATCCAAAAAGAAAGCAGTCTCCTCCAGAGTATCGGTTCCGTGAGTGACAACAACACCATGCACGGTTGAACTGGTCAGTTCCGCCGTCAAACGACTTGTCAAGTCAAGCAAGATTGTAGTGTTGATTGAAGCGCTGTCAACATTAGAAACCTGCATTCCAGACACATTTGAGATGTTGCAGATCTCAGGGACCGCGCTGAGTAGGGCTTCAATGCCGACGCCAACTCTGTAGTCTGTTGTTTGCGTGCTTGATGAAGCCTTACTGGCGATGGTCCCTCCCGTGGCGAGAATAGTCACATTGGGTAAGATTTCCACATGACGCTCGCAAGATTCCCATGCATGAGCAGCGGGAAACCAAGTACAGAGCGCCAGTGCAAACCAAACCAGAAACTTGCGTGGAAACATGACTTGTATATGAGAGGAGCTGCTGAGAAAATATGACAAGGTCGACAAAATGTAGCGGGCAACGAAAAAAAGCAAAAAGACGCCGCATCTGCTAATTAAACGAAACAAACTGTGTGGATCTTCAAGTTTTGAGAGTATAAATGCAATATAAATCTCGCGTGGAATAGTATGCACCGTTATCTTGCATCGCCGTAGCGGCCGACCCGGGCGGGTCTAAATCCAGCGACTCCCACCGTTGATTGGTCAGAGTTTCCCGTAGCGGCCGTTGCCCAAAAACTGCGCCGACATGCTGATAGTTCGGGTTCCAGTTCAGAACCATGAAAAGTCAGTTTCCTAATCGGGACGAAGAATCCTACTCTGCAACCTTGAATACCACTGTAGACTTTAGGCCAAGGGACCGAGAGAGTTTTAAGGAGCCGAGCATCTGCTTGATAGATTTGTTCTTGGACCACGCTGAGCTAGACGTGCCCTAGAATATGTTCTCCCGCGATCATGCCTCAGATGGGAATGGGTCAAATAGTTCCGCCCCCATGTTCCCATCGAGGAAGTCAGACCATCTGACCATGTCGTCGATTCCCTCCGGAAGGCTAGCATTCGTTGAATCGGCCTTGAACAGACCCTCAATATCTTGAATCATGTGCTCATGATCATTGGATGCAGCATTTCCTGCCCGAGCCATTTCCGCCAGGAGGCTTCGCACAGAGTCATATATTGTAATATCGGGGGAGTTAGAAAAGGCAGCCGGGCACTTTTCTGCCATAAACGTAATGATTACGTGGATAGTCAGACTGGAAAAGATGTGAAGTGATTCCCAAAATCCGAACTTCGCTATTGTGGTCTGTCAGTCATGGACCGACAAGGTATACTCAACTCCACTTACCAATTTTGTGACACCTGGAAAGTGCATGCTGGATCTTAAGATTGTCTGTCGCTGCACGCAAACATTGCGTATTCAAGCCAACAAGTTCTGCGTCTGGCGTGGGAGGGAGTTGTTCTCGCACAAGGGGGTAAAGTTGCATTAGCAACAAAGGCCGTAAGAGAAGAACAAAACACTAAACAGTTAGCCGCTGATTCTTCGGATAAAGCCCATATAAAACTTATATTTTGGTTGGTGGGAAAGTACCTGGTTATAACGCATCAACATTGAGGCAACCGTGCGCATCTCCGGGAGAGCCAAAGTACCATGCATAAACTCTATATCCTCTGAGAACCCCAGACCAGGAGAGAATTTAGTTCTCCATTGATGTAAAAGATGGAAACACGGTTCAACCAATGCATGTGCGTCGCTTGCATTCCCAATTCGGAGCTCCAGTGCTGTCTCGAGTATGCGATGCTTCAGTCGACACAATTCAATCTGTGCGGTCAGGTACATCGCATCAGAAAAGTCCTTTCTTCCGCTAGGCAGGTGAGTATCGTCGGGAAATTCAACACATGTATTTTCAAAACGATATGTAGGGGGCAGAGACAATTCCGTGCAAGTCATCAAATCCATACATATGGCGGTCCACCAGACCCGCTTCCCATGCTCATAGTCAACAAGGTCAACAGACGCACTTGGGGGTTTCGCAATTCCCAAAAGAGTACCAAGGCGCAAAGCCATTCCAGCATACGCGTATGCGGTCTTTCGGCGGTTCAAAGAATAGCAGTAAAATGCCTTGACTTCATCAGTACTTCATATCTTATCAATGAAAGCATAGAGAGATTCCAGACTCACTATGAGATTGAGAACTTCGATTTGACCAACCGTAGGCTCTTCATATGAAGGCTTGAACAATAAAAGTCCTTGCTCAAAGAATTCCACTCCCGGAGGAGACGCATGTTGTGACGTTGACAGTGTAGGAGCCTGTATTACAGTATCCATTCTGTCATGGAGAAAGAATGAAGGAGCAACCCTGTCATTATAAGACTCCCCAAGAGCTAGTACAACGGATAGACAAGAAAGCCAAGTTTTGTCGACCGAATGAGACTGAGGCTCCTTGTAAAAGGTTTCCATCATGGCACAAAAATGGCTTCTGCGGTACCAGTGATAGTCGGTCCCAATAAAACTCTCGAATTGGCCGAGCAGATATATGGCGTACGAATATGGGGGGAATTTGACAAATACTTTGCTTTCTGTAGGGCTATGTCAGTCGGTGCGAAGGATATGTGGATATTGTCACCAACGAGTGTTGTCCTGCTCCAAAGAAATGAATGTATAGCTGGTTTTGGTTGGACTTATTGGGTTTGTACCCAAAACACCAGTCCCGTCGATAGGTGATGATGAAGACTGCCAACCACGTTGACTGGTATCAGGGGTCGGGTTGTCGTGCACCCCTTTCAATTTTGAGATAAAGTGTTCTGTAGTTGAGTCCTCAACTAGCCGATCAGCTCTGATAGCATTCCGAGAATCATTGTTAGCCGAGGAAGAAAGCTCATGAGTGAGACGAGTTGAAGATTGCAGTCCACCCGATAGTGACTCTCTGAGCTGGGCATTTTCATTCTCTAGCCTGCGCACATAGCTTTCAGGAACTGTTAAGACACGTTCCCTGGACGGAAAAACACAGTCTCTTTGGGAGGACCGGCATTTAGAGCAAGGACATTCTGTTTCCCGACTTGTTAACCAACAACGGTGTATTGAGTCGGTGAAGTCATACCTCCACTGCACTTGACCTTTTGGCTCCGACAGTAATAACAGGCACTGGCGGATCTTCCCTTGAAGCGGGCCATCTGTGCTGGTTTTGGGCGAGACATATCCTGCCGGCTTCAAGAAAGTGAAAGGTGGAGAAGAGAGCTCGGCGACTTGATATCCTTGGCAAATGATGCCTGAGGCCACAACCTATTTTCAAGTCCACTTGTATACACCTGACGGAATGGTCTAGCGTTTCTTACTCTTTATATTGTGATTTGTAAATTCAGCGCAAATATAGTTTCCATTCTTCTCTTCAGATCGAACGAAGAAAACATCGGAGCCGACGTCGACAAAGAGTAAAAATCCCTCTTGCTCTTTGTTGTGCTAATTAATCCAAATGGCCTTATGCCGCGTGCGCTTGAGCTCGCTCAAGATATCCTCAACAACGTGAGCATGATGGCCATCCATCTGAATCGACAGCTTATATGGCGGAACACTGGTAACGCAGAAGGTGCTCACCTGGTGGATAGTCCACTGATGTATGACATGTTTGGTGGGAAGTACGACTGAGCTTACAATATAGGATTTCTGCTCAAATAATATATGTATGCTAACTTGGACTAGGGACCACCTTGAATTCAAGGCCTCCTTCTTTGAGAAACGGAAACCAGCGTTCATGGACGTACTGTCCGATAATGCTCCACGGACATAACCCTGGTGGGATAAGATGTCATTGCGAAGAACAGCCGAGGCGAAGACTCCACGGGACAATAAATTGTGACATTCTTGGCTTTGGATTTTGACTTTCTGACTTCCATGGGACGTTTCTGTATGTGGCTGGCCGTGATTTACCTCCTTATACACTTCAGGGCTGGAGTTATGCTGGCATTCAATGCCCGCGATTGACTCTCTACGAGTCGTGTCGATTACTGCATGATATCACAAAAGGAATCTTGGATGCCACGTGAAGTGCTCACATGAGTTGCTGGGGAATTGAAAATACGTTGTGAAATTAATAACTTAGTCAGAAACCATATTCAATCTTTTCAAGACTCATAACAAGGATCCTTACGGCCGCTGTAGTTCAGATCCAGTCTTGCCACGATCGATATATACATACGACACGCTAGCTCTTCAAGTCAGAGTAGGACTGTGTTTTGTCCAAGGAAAGGACCATGCAGTCCTAGTAGCTCGCCGCTTCCACGTTGTGGAGCACAAACAGTATTTCGACGCAGTAAGTTGCGCAATAGACACCGTCAACCTCAGCCAGACAGCATTGAATCGATTTTAATGAATCGTATCTCTGCTTTTCTCTGCCAGGAGTTTCAAAACATATCAACGCGGGGGGGCTGCCTGAGGCCAACGAGTAATGCAAACCCTCCAAACCCTTCGGGACGACATCCACTCTTCCTGAAAGTCACATGAACTCAAACGACCTTTCTTATAAAAAAGAATAAATAATAAAATTTTCCAATGACCAGGACCTTGCATGGCTTGATATAAGCCCACGAGCATTTCATAGTTGACGGTCTCAAAAAACGAAGGGCTTCTTTCCAAAGCATAATACCCAAATCGCAGAATCCATTACTTAGAGGCCAAGCGAAGCCAGGCGCTTCTGCCCCTTGTCGGTGAAAAGAAGAAGACCATTGTAGTAACCGACTGCCCAAATCATAGGGTAGCGCCAATGAAACCACATTGGATGCTCTGCTGCACCAAACCAACCGAAGTGTCGGTCAAGGGAATAGCACAGGTAGTTGCAAGTGCTAAGGAGAAGAAGCGAAAGAATACCCGTGAAATGTGCTGCCTTTTTCCCGTAGTAGTGGTCGACAATGAAGATGTTGATGAGTCCTCCCATTGCTCCACCCATGCCCAAGGGGCAGAAAACCAGTGTCCACATAACTTTGTAGAAGAGGTCTTGAGTACCGGTCATGATAAAAACTCCAACTGCAAGAAAGATAACCTCGGCGAACAGCGAGTTGAGCCAAAATAGCAAAAATGGGCGGAGATAGACGCTGCGCCGCTTCTCAGCTGTCTTGATGTCCTGCTCTCCAGTGATCAGGACTTGGTAGTTGGATGCTGTCATGGCTTTGAGTAAGATGAGAGGATGAAGCTTGGTGATGAATACTTACTCCTTCATAGCAGGGAAATTGGTATTTGAACCCCCATGGGGCGCATGACTTGTGCCTCGGTGCCAAGTTATCTTGACTGATCACTATATGTTTTTTAAGATCTAATCTGCGCTACCGAGGCCAACTTGCCTCGGTGATTACACTATACAATACTAACCGGGATGAAGCAAGTAAAAACAGCCCGGGGATAGGTTAAGGCCTGCCATTTCTTCGTTTAATTCGGAATTCACTATCCCAATCCCTGTTTCACATGGGCTTTGAAAATGCGCACATCGCTCAAGCTGATGATGCAGCGAAATGGTTATTGGCCTCGCAACGTGAAGGCCACGAGGGTGAATTATGATAGGAGAGAATGCTTGTCCCGTAGCATTACTTCATTTCGAATTATCGATCTTGGTCTCGTCTCCCTCGTTGCTAACAGCCACTGTGGTTGAACTTCCCTTGACCCTGTCACCACAATCTTTCAATAACATAACGACCGTGTTTCAACCTTGAATCCAAACAAATATCTGCAAAGAACATTCTACGATTTGTCCATTTAAAGCATTTGCACCGCCCATATCATGCTTTTATATCTGAAGGGGGTTACATTCAATTGGACCTTTGGCTTATATATGCTTCATTGTGCAATTAGGTACTTGTAATGTAAGTCTTCGGTGGTTGATGCTGCACCATCTTAGTGGCAAATGAAGCCGAGCTCATCCCAACCGCTCAAGTAACCAGTGCTTCAGAGCGCTCTCCTGTTCAGTCTCATGAAAATCTCCAAACAAAGGCCAGATAAGGGGTGCAACGTGACATTCATTTTTACCAACAACCAGAGTACTGTTGGGGTTGAATTTCTACCAACGATGTTAGTCAATCCATTCGCAATGACCTGCTTTGTTTCTTGAACATACTTCGAATTTCGAAAACCAAGCTTTTATTGGGTCTAGCAAGACCTCATGGGCGCCAGCGAGTACCAGGGTCTGTTCCACTTGAATCTCATCCCACCACTCCTCCGATGCAGCGCCTGGCTCGACAAAATTATTCGATGGTCGCCCGTTTAGATACAACTGGGACCATCGCGACGTGACATCCTGCGCATCGATATCTCTATTCTCATTAAGCATCATAGTTGGCCAATCATGGCTGAAGGATACCCAAGGGGATAGAAGAATCGCGCCCTTTAGAGGCTCATTTATGATAAGCTCAGGTATATCCCCTAAGCGATGCTTCAAATGCGACAGAATTCCCAAACATAGATTGCCACCAGCTGAGTCTCCGGCAATGAGAACCTCCCCAGGTGATCGTCCAATACCTTCCAAGATATGTCGTAGCGTTTCGACTGCTTCGCCGACTTGACTTGGGTACGCCTTATGTGGAGTGAGGGTATACGTACTATGGAACCATGCAGTTTCAATTCCGGCATCAGCAAGTTGTGATTGGATCTTCTGCCAGAAATACAGATATGGTTCTGTTGCGTCCATAGCAAATCCGCCTCCTTAAAAACGCGTCAGTTTTCCCAAGCAAATGTAGATGGTAGAAATATTACCGTGGAACTGGATGACAACATATTTGGCCGAAGGGTCTCCGATCCAAAATCCATTTACACCACGGGTGGTAGAAACAAAATTTGGCTTGTCTCCATGATTGTGGCAGTGTTCCACATAAATCTGGTCAAAGGTCTTGAACAAGTATCTGTGGCCTGATTAGATTTGTCTGCCTGAACATCCGTGAGACATACTGCAGTTGAAGATGACTAAACCTTGTAGTAAGCTTTTGATGATTAGCTGCCAGCGAGGGAGCGATAAAGACGGGGTATGTACTTTCTTAACTACCGCTTGGATTATATGGTGACGATAGGTGTCTGCTCCTGAGCGGCCGCGGAATGGTCCAGACACAGCGGCTCTCAATAAACTTGCAGCTGCTGGCTATCAGTAATTTGACTACATTCAGTCACAATGCACTGATTATCTTACCAACGGATAGCCAGCCAACATAGGCATCGATCCTCTCCCACCGTGATAATTGCCAAGACATTGTAATTTTGAGAGTAGCATACGCATACGGTTCAAGCGAAAATAGTTACGAAATTCAACTAAATCGCGCTGCTGTTATATAAAATATATGTAGATTCCAATATTGAAAAATACTATGGCCAAGGCCATCTCGTGGTATCCTCGGCACTTAATAAGTCTTGATAGTGTAATCACCGCAAAGCTCCTATGACACAAAATTTATTGGGGCCTCGGCACTTCCATATGGCAGGCTGATCTCTGCTGTTTACGTGAGATTCCTCAACATGCATTGCGTCGCGCAACCCAAACAATGGGAGCTGGGACTGTTCGATAGTTTGCATCGAACCATCCAGCGAAAAGTATCAAATATTATCCAGCAAATAGTTACGGTATTCTCGGGGGAATATTTATTCATCTGAGAGATGAATTGCCGAAGCTTACACTTGTTGCATGAGTATGCCGCAATATAAAGTGAAACTAGCCATTCTTTCGTCCCCTTAAAACAAAACTCTAGCTTGATTCTGACGGGGAAAAACTAACCTGATCCGATGTTTGTCTCCAAAACAGATAGATTAAATAATTATAGACACACATCAGCCTGGAGACGTAAATCCAAGTTCCTTATCTGCGGCTAGGTACTATTACTTCATACTGTAGCCACAAGCCCACTTATAAATGCTACCGATTCTAAGGCTTACTTCTGTTCTGGGATATCGGCATCGTATTGAGAGCACGCAGTTCGATATTTACCCGCGGTGAAAGCCAGAGTGCCTTGACAACACTCTCAGTCTACCATATTGCACGGAGCTTTCCCACCAAGGAATCCGAGTACGAGTTTTTCCAGGCGCTGGACGACATTCTCAGACCTATCCTCAAGCCAAAGGGCATTGAATGGGAACTTGGGATCTATGAAGCTTCTCGTGACTTGTGGAGAGTCAACGGTTTGATTGCGCCTGAAACCGGTTCTGCTACGGAGAAGGAATGGTTCGATGCCAATCGAATTGTCAACGAGGAGGGGTTGCTAAAGTCCAAGCCCATGCTTGAGGAACAAATTTCCAAGGATGGGAGGAGGTATTAGTCAGGTAGTGGCTACCCTATCACATGCGACTTCCATATAATCCCAGCCGTTGAGTCACCGTGTCGCCCCCGAAGTGATTTGCAATGTTACATATACTTGCTGTATACATTTTACATATTTAAACAGCGATAGCAAGCTCCTCATGCAAACGAGTTCGAAGAGACTTCAGAGCCTTCCGTAACATGTTAAAATAGCCAGAGTCGCCTTCAAACCTAGGAGATCCTACCTTACCCTTTTGAATGCAGTAGACAGAGTGTGCATGGTATCACCTTTGGGTCTGTAGAAGCCCTCCCTACAGCAGCAGAAAGAACAGGGCATACGCATTTGCGCAAGAACAAGAGTAAAACGTACACTTGGGTACCATTTGGCGTTTGTTTCCCAGTTTGCACTACTTGGATGTCTAATATGCTCTGGGTCCGAAGGGCTTAGTTTAGGGCCCTAGAAATGGGTCTAGGTCTGGGTCTGGGTCGGCTGGGTTAGGTTCTGGGTCGGAACCTTCGACCCAAAATGGGTTTTGCGGAAGTCTACTTTCTGAGGTTACTGTAGGACAGGTGGGCCAGTTGTGGCTTCTTGGGGTTTCTGTTATTGGTTTGTCCAGGTCTGTTATGGCGTCTTGGCATCTCAGAGGCTTCCGCAGCTCTGGTTGAGCGGCGTCAGTGCTGAGAGGGGTTGCGAATAGCTTCACTGAGAGCCTAAAGGGCTCATAACCTCTAGGCGTAGGATACGGAGAAGAAGAAGCAATATCAATGATGATGTTGATGATGGACAAAGGGAAGAAGTCCCTCTGCCGGATACTACTAGCTAATGCTCAGTCTGGACGGATGGTCACATGAGCACTCAACAAGTTGCAACAAATTAACCAAAGATCACGAGCCAAAGTTCATTGCCATTTCTGCAATGGGGTTTCCTGTTCCTCTGAACTTGTCACATAATCTCCATATGGCACCGCATTGTCTTCATCAATCCATTGTTGCAAGATTTCTGGCTTTTCCATTGGCGGGATCATGCCATTGACTCTCCAATTCTGTCGAGGATGCTCGTAGATGTTGTACTCCCATTTAACTCCTTTAGGAGCCAATATCGGTCTCACGATGGTGTTGATTCGCTGGATAACGCCAATCGAACTTCTTCTGTAGGAAATGAACGGGCGGCATGATCGATCACAAAGAATACTGCATTTGGTGGTGTTTTGCCACCGCTGAAGAAGCAACCAACTCGGTTTTCGTGGAAAAACACATTGACAAAGAAGGCAGGTAAACCTAACTCAACGTAGGTATCGGTCGGGCAATGGTCTGTTTTTCGGCAGCGGAGAGAGTGTCCGGGGTGAGTTCGAAAGTCCAACGAGGCATGTTGTAGAAAAATTGCTGGTGTCGATTGGACGTTGTCTTGAGGGCGTTGTTGTTTATTCCACAGTATATCCAGAGTATTCTAGTTAGGCCTGTCTCTGGGACGGGGGATCGAGATTATATACCTTCCAACTCATTCAGTCAACGCCGATCACCTATCTCCTCCCAGTACAGCGGTACCTCCATAGGCATTCAATTATAGCCGTCGCCCCGCAAATCCGCAAATCGTCCATTTTAGTGCGTCCTTTTGGAAATATAAGCACGGTCATCTCAGCCCAAGCAGATCACTAATCATTTGCTTCCGGCAGTGTTAAATATGGTTTTTGTGCTTTGTGCGCTACCCCGGTTCTCGATCAGTAATCACGAGGTATATCTGTTACCCGCGGTTGACAAATGAACCTCGATGTAGCACATAACTGCGCTGGTAAAAAGGCCACTGTTTTCGCCAATTCTGCCCCTCGTACAGCTCACTAGGTTCTAATAACCACATCACTTCTTTTTTTCTAACTTCTCGTCTGAAGTCTCTGTTTCACGATGTCATCGGTTCTTTGAGCCGACGTATATGTCTCATCTCGTCTTCCGATTGCTATTGAGAGAGCCGGTAGCCCGAGTGCCTTCTCCCCTATCTCGTGTACTCTGATACAAGGCGAATCAGAAGCCGTCTTGGTCGATACCCCAATTTCCGTCTCCCAGACTGAATCCCTGGTTTCGTGGATCAAGGAAACGGCTGTTGGCAAAGAGTTGAAATACATCTACATTACGCACGGACATGGGGACCACTGGTTCGGAATCTCGGTTCTCCAAAAGCACTGGCCGAATTTACGCGCGATTGCTACTCCTGCCACTGTTGCCAGCATGAAGGAGCAGCTTTCCCGGGAGAAATTTGAGGGAATCTGGCTGAAACTTTTCCCGGGCGACCAAATCCCTCAGCCTTTGGTTTTAGCGACGGCGATGGACTCGGATACATTTAATATTGAGGGTCATACCTTCCGGGCTATTGAAGTTGGCCATTCCGACACGCATGATACAACCATTCTTCATGTTCTGAGTATTGATCTGGTTGTAGCAGGGGACGTTGTGTACGGGGACGTCCATCAATATTTCGGCGAAGCCAACACCACCGAGAAGAGAAATGAATGGCTGCGTGCGATCGACCTTATCGAAAGCCTGAAGCCCCAAACTGTGATCGCAGGGCACAAGCGGGCCGGCACTGTGGACGGTGTATTCAACTTGAGAGCGACGAGACAATATATCGTCGACTTTGAAAACGCAGTCAAGTCTACATCAAACTGGCAAGATTTGTGGGAAAGAATGAAAGAATTGTACCCTGGACGCATAAACCCACATGCTATCCTTGCAGGGGCAGTGGCTGCCTTTCCAAACGAGGGGAAGCAATAAGCGAATTCGGTACACACAAAGGAAAGTGAGAAGGGCTTTGTTTATGTTTTGCGGGCCAGTGATATGAACTAAGAGTCCAATTTTGCCCAGTACTGATAACACCTATGTTGCTCGTCGGCGTTATGGACATCAAGTTCCCCGAAGGATGTCCAATCTGTACATAACATAATCATTTGAGTTGGTAATACACTGAAATAAGGAGAAATCGCTGGTTTGGGACTCGGGCTACAGTATGATTATCACGCAATTTCCCACAATCTGACTCTCCATAATGCTATTGACAACAACTTATAGCTTGCCACCACTATCCCTTCCCTTGATGTTCCGGGATGCGTCAACAACTAGTGCCACCTGAGTGCTAGTCGCCACCAAGTCACCCATTTGATCAAGGACAACAACATCAAGATCCGCACGACTACCCTGGACTTTTCTAGTCACCACGCGAGAGTAGAGCCATTCCACTCCCTCTATCGGGAGTCTCGTCTTCAAATCAATATTCAATGAGACAGTTGGAAACCAGAAACGATCTTTGGCCGCAGCATTTTCCGGAGCCTCCCTTTGCGGTACATTCTCGGATAAGAGTCGATGGGATTCCATTGCAGCCAACCGATCGAGGCCTGCTGGAAATATATCCACAAGGAACATAACTGCCTCATTAGACCAACGTGCCACCTTCCCGCCCGGGGTGAATCGTAACCATTGATCAACCACCTGCTTTGCACGAGTCTCTAACGATGCCGACATCAGCAAATTTGGTGCATAGACCTCCAGGTTCCTCATTGCAGCCATCGCAGGTGAAAGTGGTGGGAATTTAACCCATGCACTATCTCTTTTGTTCTTGGCTAGTGCGAGGAGATCAACCGACCCATCAGAGCGGGTTCCCGGTACTGGAGCAGGGCCCAATTCCCAGGTACCATTGTAACTGGGCCCACCTTCTGTGTCTGGCGGACTAGCGTTGATATATGCGGCAGCTTTGACCTCAAGCTTGCTATCCTTGCTGATTGCGCCAGACAGCGCAACGCCGTCTGGTAGCTGCAGAAGAGATACATGAATGGTGCTGACCCTCGAGCCGATCTTCGTATTTTGTATTTTCAAAATAGCTGGCCCAATGGTGGTTCGGCGCAAATAAGTTATTTGGAGTGCTATTGGCTGCGGGGGGGTTCGAAAAGCGATGAGTGAAGTTGTTGGCGAAATGGACCGCGGCAGCTCGGTAGAAGATACTAGCTGTGTACCCTCCGTGAGGCACTGCTGTGCATGTCAGCATCTGTACTTCTTCAAGAGACTTTCAACTTGCCTTGTCCAATACACCACTGGGGATCAAGTTTCGCGGAATACGTAGTCGAGTCGATCGGGGTGATGCTTATCGCTTTCTCAAATAGCGCAGAGTGGGAAGGTTCATCCATGTTGACTGCCTGATCAGCCTCGCCAAATTACCGCAAGGACCAAATTCAATCAGCCAGCAATTTGGCTGCTCAGCTTGGAGATCCGACTGGTCTGAGCCAATGCGGAGATCAAACAGCCCCGATTCATCGGTTGCATAATTAGCAACGGAATTGCGAACCCTAGCCTCAACGTGAAAAACACCTGTGGTAAGTCCTAACCGAATCAGACTGTTCCGGATGCTATCTCGTAGGGTCATTTGTTCGGCTTCAGGGAGGGCTGTGGGGTACATGATCTGAGTCTCTTGAAAGTTGCTCGTCTGGGCATTTGCGTCGGGTGCGTCTCCAGTGCAAGGGAAATCATCGGAGATTTCAAAAAACAAACACTCTCCGTCGAGCAGGATTATATTGGTATCTACTTCAGGTCCGTCGATATAGGGCTCGATAACCACACCGGTACTGGTGGAAATTGACCCTAAGTGACGGACAGAGGCGCGGTGTACAGCGTCACGGAGTTCGCCGATGGTCGTCACCCGTGTGACGCAGTCGCTCGACCAGCCTAGACAAGGCTTCACAATCAGCGGGAATGTGAGTGGTGGTGCATTGGGCCGTGTTACGAGATCGTCGAGCTCTTCTATACTTTGAACCCGGAAGCTTGCTGAGACTGGGGTGTCAGCCTCCTCGGCGGCTCTAGTTGCGTACTTGTCTGTTGCGACTTTCAGGCCCCCTGAAGGCATGGTGGGCAATCCGAGCATTTCGGCTGCTTCAGCTACTCCAACTAGATGTCGGTCGTTGGAGGTGATGATTCCATCTAGGTTGCGATCTTCAAACGAGCCAACGAACGATATGGGGCTGTTAAGTTATGTATAGCGACCGATCAATGTTCAATCCCGAGAACTGCCCATTCTTTATAGTAATTGCTGTATTACTATCACAAGAGAATTGCGGAATCGTAGACTATTGTTCACATAATCATCCCTGGTATGGGGATGAGCCTCGGTAACTCCAAACTTACGCCACTGGTGTACCGAAATCGTACGGTTAGATCCCCCCGTCCTATCTCTATGACTTATATTAAGCCGATTTGCTTCTTCGCTAGATCAGAAATCGATATTAACCGTAAGAAACTACTCCCTTTTGTTATCGGTAGTGAAAATCGTGCCAAGTACCTGCTGCTATTGGAAGGACTTGACAAAGCAACTAATGATCTCATGCTACCGATCTTGAACGAGCGTGCAGGATAGGATAGCACGATACATCAAGGGGCGTGTTCCTTCGTTCCATTGGGTCTGTGTCCAACTTGACATTATCCAAGGGCTCTCAAACCAAAGGATTCCTGATTGATTATTTGTTCACATACATAGCGATTAATCCGACGGCGTATCTATTGCCAAATTATATTGCTGCCACAAAGGTCATTGTCTAAAAAACAAAAGTCTACCTATAAGTCTACCAATCTATTGATTTCAAAGCGTACAGTAACTCGACGCTGTGTTTAATACTTAGCACCCAAAGCCCCAATACGACATCTCCATTTGAACGGCTTATTGCTGAGTCTCCGTCAATTTCACGCCCGATCCAGTAAAATGGCTTCTTGCTCTCAACCGGTCTCCATATTTAAAAAGGAGCCAAGGAATGGGTAGAAGCAGGATAGATAGAAAGCCAAAAAGACTCCCTGCCCAATGAATACCAAGATTTTGGTACATTTGAACCGTAAACAAAGGGAAAGTAGCCCCCAATGTATATCGTCAAGTGCCATTTGCTGCCAAGGCTATCATGTTGTTAGCAAGATGTTCTTCAAGAAGCTCGCGGAGAAGCAATTTTACCAGAGGCCACAGCTTCGGCACGGTAAACTTCGGCCATGTATATGATTGTGGATAGCTGGGGAAAAGGTATCAGTTTTGCAGTCTGTGGGGAATATATTAATGCGTAGACTCACGAAAAGTGAGAAAGCGCCCCATCCAAATGGAATACCAGCAGCGACTAATGCAGCCCAGTGAATTTACGGGCAATCTCTTACCAAAACAAGCCAATAGGCAAAAGAACGCTTCCTGCCATTGCTGCATACAGCCGATGCTCGGGAGCTGCAACCCCACCTGCAGCCTCCAAGGCCTTTGCGTACAAAGTTTTGTCAATAATGATGAACATAAGCAATGCCATAAGATATCCGATCATCACGCTGATGAAGCCAAGTCCCACCTGGCGCAAATAAAACCCATACTCCAGCTGCAGAACATATGAGGCACTACCAAAATAAGCGAAGATCATTGCATATGCGAAAGCAGTATAAATGGTCAAAGAGAGAACGATCACTTCTGTAAACAGCATCTTCACAGGCCGAGCCACAACTGGTGTAATCTTTTTGAATGACCCATGATGATCGGCTATTTTGTTCTCTTGAGTGTTCTTCCTGGCGCTTTTCAGGATCCAACTTTTAGAAGTTTCCCGCATGAGCACAGTTCCCAACCAGACCGGCCCCCCGATCATAAGGAGAAGGTATTGGGTCCACCTCCAGTTGTTGTTGTGATCGTGTAGTATGTAGGCACCCGCGAGAGGTCCGAGGCTAGGGCCTAAGAATGGCCCCAGAATGAAGCACAAAGAGACCAAGCCTTCTACCTTTCCAAAGGCCCAGATATCACCCAAGGTTCCGGCTCCGATTGCAACCCCTGCTGAGCCTAGAAATCCTGCTGGAAAACGGCAAACCAGCAGAGTTGCATAATTTCTTGCTGCTGCCGCACCTCCTGTGAAAATGAGGAGAGTTGAGGAAGTAATGATGTAGACCCATCTTCTCCCTAACGCTACTGATAGAGGTGCAATAAGGAGAGGGCCTAAGGCAAGCCCGAGTGTGTAGACTGTGAGGGAGAGAATGGATTCTGTACGATTCAAATTGAATTCGATGGCGATCATCTCGGTGGCTGGGACTGTAACCGATGAGATGTTCCGAAAGTACTGCAGGAGAGATAGAGTCAGGAAAATTTCGCACAAGCGGAGATAGATGGTGTGTCAAGAGAGATGAAAGCTCACATCCAGAAAGCCAGCGCGCATGGGATAAAGGTATGAAAGATCTTTAGCCCGACGTGCCAATTCGCCAGGTTTCTCTTCTCATTTGGATCGTCCCATGAGACACCCTCTATGTCATGGGAGCTGGAATATTTCTCAACATTCACCTCCAAGCCAGTAGCTGTTGTCACGTCAAATGACATTTCGTTGGCAAGTTGTCAACCTATATCAGGTAGGTAATTTGCTAGGTATCTCAATTTAATGGTGGAAATCAGCAGCATTCTGAAAATTGAACAAACGGGCTCTACACTTATAATGATAAAGTAGACCAATGTGGATCATCTAAGATAGTAAACTATAAATGTTGAGTAATCGCTCTGTTGTTTCCAATTTATCGTTCCACCTAAGCCCTGACCATTGAATTTTCAGTCGGCCCGTCTCGGCCAGTAAGACGGAGTGTCAACGGGAAGGCTCTGGACTTCTAAATTCCAGATTAATGATCAGTGCCCGTAAGCTAGAAGTCTGAGGGGAAGAGATGATTTTTCGAAGATTCGGATGAATAAACAGGACCCTCAGTATAGATTTCTCTCAAGTCATCACTCTTACAGTTCATCCCAGCAATAGAAAAGGTGGAATTCTTATCTAGTTAAGTTATAATAATCATAATAGAGAACCCTAGATGATAATAGTAATCTCATTTTCTGACAGCCAAGGAAAGCTCACTCCCAGGATTTACTTAACAGCTTGGTTGGATCTCGGCGTACCAAAACTTTCGCAGACTTTACCACGAAGCCGGTTCACCATTGCTTCGTTTCCGTCCTGAATCGCATCAGCATGTGATGGAATCCCAAACACCAACAATAAATGCTACAATTCCGAGCATGTTTCCTTTGCCCGGACGCCACCCTCACTCTGCCTAGGTTTTGACAACAATTCCGGGTATATTTCGCTCTAATATTATTTACACAACAAACAGGCCAAGTCACCAGACCATCTCGACTCGATCTATACAACCGGCTCATCGAGTGCAGCCTGCTCCGCTAATGCCTTTAACGACCTCTTCTCCTTTTCGATGCCATTCCGTCGCTGAGCCGTGTCACACAGTTCCAAATTCCCACATTCGCATTCCCCATCCCTGAGCCACCGATAAGTGATACTCCACCGTTTCCCGCGCGGCCTCACCGTCCCATCTGGAAGGGTATCATTCTTCCGCTTCCTAATACCATGCGTCCAATGCAGCCTCGAGTCGCCGCTCATCTGCATCATGCTCCGCGGGGTCAAGTCGACCTCGATGCGTTCCTCGCCCCGGCGGAATATCATCATCGCCGGCGCGCCAAGAGATAACGCGTAGAGCTGGTCATATGGTTTGTGTGCATCTACATGAGGCGGGATGCCCGCGCCTGGAGGATAGTACTGCAGACAGACCTGGTCTGGAGGTCGGCCTTCAGTTGTCGGGATGAGAGGTTGGAGCCATTGTGGGAATTCCTTGTATGGGATATCGGGGTCTATCCCGAATGTTTTATAGTCGAAACTGTAGCCGTAGTGGAGTGATATCCGGCCAGGGCGGTCGGGCCATTCTAGCTCGTTGGAAAAGACCGAGATGAGTCGTTGCTCATGTTCGGCATCGACAAAATCATCTTTCCAGAAAATACCGTATGGTTCAGTGGGCAGCTCGCGGAAATTGTTCCGATCTTCCATGATCCTTTTCGATCCTGTCTCGGACCTTGAAGGCGGGATTATAAAGTGTGTGGAAGCTTTGCCCGTGATGACTTTCAAACTCTGATTTTGGTGGGTGTATTGATTACCGGTATCAATACCGCGCTCTGCAAAGAGTTTGGACGTCATATTTAAAATGGGGCTCCATCAAGTGTTTTCTGTTGTAATATAAAATTACCGATTATCATCAAAAAGGCCCTGTGATTTGTTTCTTCAGCGTTGAGAGCGTTCACATCAAATAAGTATATTTTCTCTAAAATATACACAACAAGAATAAAAAAACATAGCACTTTATTATAAAATTTCCAATTGCTTTAATTCTATTCAATCTAGTATAATAATAGTGTGCTCGCTCTGCCAGCTTGCTTTGGTGTTGCAGGGAAACTCATCAAATACAAGGATCCCGGAATGTTCCAGTATTATGTAGCATGTAGCAGATTCCCGCCCGATATCACCCATGGTATACTAGTTCAAAAATATAACAATAGTATTCCTAGCATAAAAGTTGACAATCTACTACTATGATCACTTGTCATTGGCTCCAACCTTCCAAGGTTGGCACCTAGATATGAACCATTTTAAATTAGGCGGGTAGCCTTCCTGCGGTAACTAGTATCTAGACTTGAGGCATTGCAATTCAATCCAGTCCGTTTTAAGATAGCCTGCATTATCAGAGTAGCAGAGACTTTTTCCTCCATAGCAAATACCGATCTGCTCTTACTACGCGATTTTATGACGATTGAGGGGTTGGAAGCATTAGATGGTTGATCCATCTAATTCTATATATTCGTCTACACCGACATATCCACGCAAACCCAAATATTTTACAAGAATATTGATAACCTTGTCACAGCCTATTAAACTGTACCAAATGGAAGAATTCTGAACCAGGTCTAAAAACACCAGAATGGAAATATTATAGATGGAACTCCGTTGTGACATTAGCACTTGTGGCTCAACTCCGGTTGTACTCACGCAATCAAAACAAAATCAAGTACGATATCGTTCTTTTTGGAGCGACTGGAGAGTTGTAAAATGGTGGGTAGATGAAGTTTTGCATTAGACTAGTTTTTGCATTAGACCAGTGCGGCCCAACACCCGCTACTGGGTGTTGGGCCGTGCGTTGGGCCGAGTAGTGGGGGCTTGGTTACTACCGCATCATCTATTTCAGGACTATATATATGCAGCTAGAACTTCCGCATTACATTGTTTAAACTCAAAATACTAATTCGAAATCTTCCATTATGTCAGACAAAGTCCATGATATTAGCTGTGAGCGCCTGTTGGTAATCAACCATTTGCATATTGTTCTCATACATATTTCTCATATACGGACAACAGATCACGGGTGTAACTGGCTACATTGGATTCAAGACACTCACAATTGCCCTCGAAAGAGGATATCGTGTTCGCGCGGTCGTCCGAAGCGAACGCAACATCAACGAATTGAAAGATAAAAGCACGATCATCGCACAGAGTCTTGATCAGGAGCAACTCGAGTTTGTTGTCATTCCACACTTTCTTGAACCAGATGCAATTTTTGAGTCCCTTGAGGGTATTACTGCCATCATTCATCTTGCATCACCGTTAGCGCTTGAGGTAATGCATACGCAACGAACCAGGTGTTTCTCGCGACTTACATATCTTTCGGCAGACCGATGATTATAATGTTGGAATTGTTAAGCCAGCTATCTCAATGGTGACTACTGTTTTGGAAGCAGCCACTCGTGTGGCATCAATCCGCCGGGTGGTCTTAACATCTTCATGTATGCAATTCCTCGCCCTCATTTTGATCTAGGAAGCTAACTCCTTCCCCAGGCGTGACCCTGATTCCATTCGAATGGAATATTAACCCCGACAGCCAGCGACTATATATAGGTTAGTTTTCTACCTCATCCATTCAAAGTTGCATGCCAACTCATTATCTATTTCGACTTTCAGTTGAAGATGTGAATACCAGTGTTACTGGTCCTTTCTCTACTGCAATGGAAGCTTACTGGGCATCCAAAGCTCTGGCAAGAGTCGCGACCAAAGCATTTGTTAACCACGCGCGGCCGAAATTCGACTTTGTCAATCTTCTGCCCTCGGTGGTAATTGGACCAGACGACCGCCTGGACGCAGATCCAACTGCGACAGTCGACAGTCTGCTTCAGGGCACGCGAGCAGCGGTTCTTGCACCCGCGCTGACATCCTCACTCAACTCGTCATTTCCCTATGTTGGAACGCCAGTTCATGTTGCCGATGTCGCGCGCGCACATGTTGATGCGGTAGATGCTGGTTTGGTTCCTGGAAATTCTGAGTATATTCTCTCTTCGGATAGTCCGAATGGAGTGGTCTGGGATAGGGATGTTCAAGCTGCCTGTAAAAAGTTCTTTCCAGAAGAGGTGGCGAGTAAAAGGTTGCCGCTCGAAGGCTCTTTGACGGCAATAAAATGGAGGCTCAGTGCCCGGCAGACGGAGGAAACTTTTGGTTGGCAGTTTACCGGTTTTGAGGAGACAGTGAGACAGCTACTTTTGCAGTACTTGCAGCTCGAAGAAAGGTCACTCAAGTGACTTTAACGTGGTCTCTTGGGTTGTATTGGGAACTTTCAAGTGCAGATAGAACAAAAACATGATAAATTGAAAATAAATCACGCGATGGTTGAATTCAGTTGAGATCTTTTGGTACATTTAGTAAATATTAAATAGTAGACTCCGTTCATGTTATCCATAACCTCGAGTAGAAAGATATATCGCATTCAACTTGCGGGATGAACTAAGCTTTTGACGCGGCATGGTAATAAAAATATATGGATGTAGATTTTCACTTTTCGTAAAGATTAATATACCTTGAAGAGAGGAACGCTTTAGGCAGTATGCTCTCTGGCATACGGGTCGATTCAGCACTCGTAATTCAGCGTCATGCCAACCGGGGCATACAAAGAGAACTGGGACGTCAGTCCAAGAAGTGAATCCAGAGAGGTGTAGGAGTGTGTATTGTCAATCTGTAACTATCTGCTACTTATAACCTCTGTACATCAGTGCTTACATAACAAAACTGCAAAACCTTGGAATGGAAGGAAGGGCAGGCAAGGCTAATACGTAGTGAGGACTATGTCCCCTACTACAACATGCATTTACTTTGGAACATACACAGCCTCCACGTTGTTCCCGTCCAAATCAATTACAAAAGCTGAGTAGTACGGTTGTCGACTCATTTCTTTCCTGATCCCTGGGCCTCCATTGTCTCGACCGCCATGTTGCCTAAAATAGGGTTAGCCTTTAGTCATATACAATGCAAGTAATGTGTTATATCCTGGTGGCGAGGTTCAACTTACAGCGCCAGCTGGTAGAATTGATCCACAGCTTCGCGGCCTGATTTGCCTGTATTAGCAAATCTTCAGAATTTCAATAGCAGGCATGCTCACTTGGGGCATCGAATGCGATGTGAGTTGGCAAAGGATCTTTGTCTTCAGGCAGCCTTTTGAGCCAGAAATAAGGATAGTCACTGCCATAGCCGATGAGAGCATCGTTGTGTACACGAATCATTTCAGTGTACCCGATCGGTTGCAGGATGGTACCATAAAATGACCTCAGTGAGGTGTACTTGGCAGCGGAGGCCCAAAAGAAAATATGATTGACTGTCATGTTCCTGAAACTTGCTTGATAATTTAGCTGTGGTTTACATGCATGGGTGGGTGCGGGGCTTTATATGCTAGGCACTTCCCAATCTCTTGATAAGCAACTAGGCTTCCGCAAGGCCCCATAGGTTTGGGCCCACAAAAGCCCACAAAAGCCCACGAAAGCTTCCACGTGACCTTTTAAAATGACCTTATGTTTAAGCCCCGTTTTCCTATCTTTTAGTAAGGTAATATATAGTTATTATTAAAGAAGTAGAATATATATAGAGTTAAATTTATAAATTACCTATTAAATAATTATATAACGCGTTATATAGATAATTTCTAAATTACAGCTATTCCCTCAGAAAGTATGGTTCGTTTTGAATGCCGAAGTCCGCTAACCCTTCCTAGATCCGGTTGGCAGTCATACATACCTTAACAGAAAATATGCTTAAATTACATTGATATAAAATTTCTAACTAGGGGCAAATTCATCCTTGGCCAACGGCGCAAACCGCAGGTACGGCTTGACCACCTGCATGTTCGGGAACCGAGCCTTGGCATCCTCGTCATTAATACTGGAAGGAACGACCACATTGTCACCGGGCACCCAGTTGGCGGGCGTATTGATGCGATGTTTGTCGGTAGCGAGTAAAGAGTCAATTACGCGGAGCAGTTCCGCCGTGTTACGGCCTGTAGAGGCGGGATAGGATTGAATCAAGCGGATGACTTTGCTGGGATCGATGATGAAGACGGACCGGATGGTGTAGGCAATGCCCCTGGCATCCACATTAGTGATATCTTGGTGATCCAGCCTGTTCATACGCGTCAGTCTGTGGCTGGGGTGCATAGGTAGAAGCGCAAAAGGGAAGGAAGGAAGCCACTGACATGTCATAGGTATAGGCGATCAGGCGATCCTTGTCGCCGATGACGGGGAACGTCAAGGGACACCCCGCTATCTCGGCGATATCGTTGATCCAGCCATCGTGCGACTCGATGGAGTTGGCCGAGAGACCGATCAGCTTGACGTGACGCCTGGTGAACTCGGGCTCGTGCTTGGCTAGCGCGGCCAGCTCGGTGGTGCAGACCGGGGTGTAATCCTCCGGATGGGAGAAGAGAATCACCCAGTCGTTGCCCACCCACTCGTGAAAGTCAATGGGGCCGATGGTGGTTTCGGCTTGAAAGTTGGGGGCAATCGAGCCCAAACGGAGACTAGAAAATCGAAATCAGAGTCGGACCCCCTCTCTAAAAGTGCCCCCTCTCTAAAAGTGAAGGCAAAAGAAGGAAAGATATTTTGGGTTTGGTTTGTGATTGAAGAAATGTAGCAGAACCAGGACAATGGCAGGGATATACAAGCGCAGAAGGAAAATACGAAAATAGGAACTTGCGAAGACTTACGCGGTGGCCCTCGGTTCTTCGGGCATTGTGAGGTGGCGACAACTGTCTTCGAGAACCGGGATAGAAACCAGTTGGAAATATGAAAAGGAGAAAGAGGACTCAATGCTGAAGGGATTAATTTGAGAATAGATTGCGGATGGAGAAGGCAAAGCCCAGATGGAGGGAGGAGTCTGGAAGTTGCTAGCTTCAGAGGCAACCACTGATATGCGCTGTCAGATCCTTCCGCATTTTGTCTCCGTTCTCAATTGTGATCGCCATTCTAATCTGTTCGGTTCCCGAATTGCTTATTTTATTATGCCCTTTCCTCGTGCAAGAGTAAATATGAAAGGAAGTTTGAGGTTCGATGCTTTCTAGGGTACATGCCATAGGTCCCTAGCCAATGTCTAGTTCATTGGGTTACGAAGAGCTGTAGGGGCCAGGGTTCAAAACTCCTTTGTAGGGGGATTTTATGCCTGAATGCCTTAATTTAGAACCCTATGAGACTGGGTACGGGAGGAAACCGGTTTTTCTGGAACTTCAATAATGGCTCTTTCTCCTCGCCAAGCTCATTCCAACTTTAACACAAGTAAACGAAAACATACTTGGTTTCATGCATCATAGGTGGCCGGTTTCCTTTCACTACATTGCACTTCATTTTTAATTTACGTCTGAGACCTGGAATACCTCATTGGAATCTCGACGTAACCAACAGAAATTCACGATGACCGTGACACCGGCCGACAGTTGATCTCCCCGCTCAGTCCTCAAACCAACCCCTTTCCCCCCGGGAATGCTGGTAATGCACGAAGAGGTGCAAAAGATTCCGGTCGATCTGATAAAAAAATTGGATCGCCTGGTGGCATATACCTGGGACGAGTCGAGGCAATTTCGCTCAAGCTATGGCGTACGGTGCGTTGGCCAACCCCCAATTTCCAGACCGAAAGAAAGGCCCATGCTGAGGCCTGTCTTAGGCATGTTTTCGGTACCAAGTACCCTGACCGTAGCATTCGTCCGGATAATGCGCAGACCACTCGCCTCCGAAGTGCCTCTTCTGCCAACGATTTGAGCGCCTCGGCCCCATGTGGTCCTGGCAGTGACAGCAGCGTCGGGACCGAGGGCAGAGGGTCGGAGAGAAAGATCGAAGTGGTGGCGCAAATTGGTGAGAATCTGGTGTCGGAAGAAAAGATACACGAGGCCTATCAGATGCTGGCATCCGCCACTGCTTCCCACCACAAATATTTCCTGCGGCCCGTAGAGATGCAGCGCTTACCCAGCCTCGATGAGGACCACGAACCATCGCTCCTAGTCTGCATTTACGAAAGCCCCGGTCCCAACGATCTCCTGCGCTTCGTCGATTGCGGCGCAACGTGGTATCATATGCGATGCGAAGGAGACCAGAGTGATGAGGTGGGCTTGCACCGATCCGATCGGAGCGAGCTCATGCCATTACAATTATTTCTGGATTTTGCCATCGGCGCGGCGGAGTGCATTGAATTGCTGCATAGCCAGCGGGTTGTTCATGGCCAGATCCGGGGGGATACATTTCACTTCAGCCAAGAGACCGGTCGGGTAAGATTGATCCATCTCGGTTTGGGCCTCCAGTTCCATGATACCGGACGGCTGAGCGGCGGCTGGCCTGCCCTGGCGAACCAGAAAGGTGCCACGACGAACATCTCCTATATGAGCCCCGAACACACCGGCCAAGCGCCGATCCAGCTGGACAATCGGGCCGATATATACTCCCTCGGCGTCCTGCTATGGAGCGCTCTAGTCAACGAGACCCCGTTTGGTGGTAAGACTCCCATGGAAATCATCAGGGAGGTTCTTGGACAGGAGCTCCCGTCGATTTCGACCTTGCGACCCGACGTGCCGAACACAATTGCACGGATTATCGCCAAGGCGGCGGCAAAGAATGTCTCGGAGCGGTACAATTCTGTTGGCGGTCTGCGACATGATCTCGTGGAAGTACGGAGGTTGTTGGCAGCCGGAGATATGGCTGAAGTGGAAGCTTGGGAGATCGCCAGCAAGGATGTTTCCCCGTTCTTTACGCTCCCACGCACGATGGTGGGCCGGACGACCGAGCGGGATGCCATCGTCGAGGTCCTGGATCGTACGTTCCGAATGTACCAGGATGGCAAAGGACTTCACCTATTGTCACTGCCGGAGGACCAAACTGCAAGGTTCGCCGTTCCTTCCCCACCAGGCGCTAGCCTGGAGGAAGAGGAAGCCCGTGACCTGGCCGATGGATTTTTTAGCCTGCCGGGGTCCACCAACATGACCTCCGCTGGTATTGCTCAATCGTATCCAGCTAATGTGAGCCGCGTGCGATCCCCTGGAGGCTCTCAGTACAGCTCGAATGAGGGCAGCGAGTCCGGCCGCGTGGACTTAGACAAGAAGGGGGCAGAGAAGCGATCGTCGACTCTGTCGTTCGACAGCACCAGCGGCGGGGGAAGCTCCCGATCTAGTGAGAATGCTAGGAGGACAGCTGCGCATCGCGCGATGGTGCCGAAAGGACGATGTGAGATTATCAGCGTTGAGGGAGGGGCCGGTTTGGGCAAGTCTCGACTCATCTCGTCGGTACAGATTGCAGCCCGACGAAGAGGCTTCTTTGCCAGCTCCCGGTTTGATATCGCAGTCAAAGAACGTCAACGTCCGATTTTGAATCTATTTTCCAGTCTATTCGAGCAGGCCTTTTCAGAAAATACAATTGAACCTAGTTTTCTGCCAATGCTACGAAATCACATTCGGCCTGTCTGGGACACTCTGCACAAGATTCTAGGCCTTCCAAAATTCCTCCTCGGATCAGGCCCCAATTTTCCAGAACAGGTGCCGCATAATGCTGCTCGTTCGACCATGTCATTACCCTATCGGCATCCTTCCGAGAATACTGGAACGGAGAGTTCCCAGAAATTTCTTCGAGCCGGATCCTCGACCAAGTCTTTGCCTCTTGTGCGGACGTTGCTGGATATCCTGCGAGCCTTCACGCAATACAAGTTAGTGTATCTCTGCCTGGATGATGTCCATTTGGCAGACGAAGAATCGTTGGAAATTATTGCCCAGATCGTCTCGGCTAGGATAGAAATGGTGGTGATCTTGGCCTACCGACCGGAAAATGCTTCATCGGAAATGATGACGAAGATCCTTCGCCTCTCTACCAATAAAGGTATTTCCCACACTTTTTTGAAGTTCTTGCTGTTGTATCCTTTCGGGCTGCCTTACTATGTTGCATCATGCTTACCAAAGTAGAACTTCGGAAGGGAAGAGATGTAGGTATTACCAATATCACACTCTCTCCACTCAGTGAAGACAGCGTGTTGCAGTATTTAGCAAGCACCTTGTGTTTGCCCGTCCCTGTTCTCTTGCCTCTGGGGGCGCTCTTTCAATCTAGGACGAGTGGAAACCCATTTTACGTCCGTGAAATGTTGAACGAATGCTATGAACATGAATTCATCTGCTATGACTACCACAAAATGATGTGGTCTTTCGACCTGAGCCGCATATCCGATCATTTCAAAGCGGATAACTACAACGACGCCATATTCGGTGATTTCTTAACGAGGCGCTTGAGTAGCTTAACGCCTGTCTCCAAGTCAATCCTAGCCTGGGCATCCACTTTAGGCATGACCTTCTCGTTCCAGTTGGTTCAGAAGCTCCTCAACAGCGATGAGATGGTTTCCGAGTCTGGCTTGCCTGAGCGGGAGATGATTCAATGCCTGCAAGCGACCATTCAAGCCTACGTAATCGTCCCCACACAAGATCCTGACGTCTTTTCGTTTACATATAACCATTACATGCATATCGCAGCGTCATTCCACATGAGAGACCATGATCATGTGGATTTTATTAAAGCACAAGTACTGTTTCGGTATTACTCCCACGATGACAGATATCGCAACATGTTGGCATCGGCCATTATCCAATCAGCACCGATAATCAAAGGCTCTGTGGTAAGCAGGAAGCCTCTCAGAAAATTTTTATTCGACTATGCGAAAGCTGCAAGCGAGACCGGCTTCCGCGCGGCCGATATCAAATCTTACTCAAGTTGCATCCTATTGCTCCAGGAGGACATGTGGAACGATGATGCCGAGGATGTTAGCTACGACGAGACGCTGCAGATACTCACCTCCGCTGCTGAAGCCTACTTGTACCGAGGACAGCATGCCGAAGCTAGTCTGTTGCTGAACTCTATGATATCTAATGCTCGAAGCCCAGTAGACAAGGCTCCCTCCTGGATATTGCAGTCTCGCCTGCTTGCACAACTGGGTGATTCGTCTGGTGCTTTCAATGCGCTGAAAGAAGGTCTCTCAACTCTGAAAGTCACCATTGATGACGTCCCAAACTTTTCCAAATGTGACAAAGAGTTCCGTCGGCTATGCGAGGCCATTTCCGCTATTCAGATTGACGCCATTATCGAGAAGGCTCCCGTTGAGGATCCAACCTTGGCTGCTGTAGGCGCGGTTCTCGTCGAGGCCACTAGCGCGGCTTTCTGGTCGGACACGCTGACCTTCTACCAAATGACGCTGGTCATGGTTGAAACCTATCTCTCTCGCGGCCCCTTTCCCCAAGCGGGCTTGGGACTATTGCAGTTGGCCGTGATAGCGATCACTCGCGACAACGCACTCACCTTTGCAAGTCATTGTGCGGAGCTTGCTCTGACTTTAAATGAACAATGTAAAGACCCACATACCAGGGGACGTGGCATCGCGTTATACTTGACCTTTATCGATCACATCGAACATCATGTCCAGTCCTCAATCTGTCAGTTGGAAGGGGCTTTGGATTTCTCCATCCACGCTGGTGACCGAACCGCGACCATCTTGAACTACGGGCTACTGGCCACCATGAAGTTCTTTTCCTCTGACAACCTGGCCGAGCTGGAGAGCTTCTGTATTTATAGTTGTCAGGACATTCCCAACTGGCAATCAGACACACCTGGCGGTACGATCCTCATCACAATCTGCCAGCTTTGCCGTGCTTTGCAAGGGAAAACATATACGCATGACTCAACAGGGGTGATGAGCGACGAAGAACACAATTCGGCCACATACAAGTATTGGCTAGTAAGAAACATCAAGAACAGTGACCGGCCGCTGATGCTCTATGAGAGTATGGAAATTGCTCCGTTGTTTCTGTACGGTCACTACGAGCGAGCGGTTGTGCTGGGGAATTCTTGTCTGAAGAAAACAAATGCTATATGGTCCGCACGAAGCACGCGTTTCCTCATGTTCTTTCATTCTTTGTCTCTAGCCGGATGCGTGTGGATTCGAAAGCAGCAGCAGCTTAATCCCGCATATCGCGCATGTTCTTGTGAATTGGCGTCCGATATCAATGGGCGATCCCTCGAGGCAACTTTCGAGGAGGAGATGATCAACCTGGCCAAGATGTTGAGGTATTTCAAGCGCAAGATTGAACAGTGGCAGGTCATCACGGATGTGAATTATCTGGCATGGACAAAGATTCTGGGTGCTCAGATCGCTGAGATGGAACATGACCAAACGGCTGCTTTGCATCTGTATCAAGAGGCAATAGACCACGCTTCGATGCATGGATTTGGTTTCGAGGAGGCATTAGCCAACCAGCTATTAGCTGAACATCTGATGCGTGAGGGCTCTTCGCGACTGGGTACACTCGCTTTGAAAGAAGCAGTTAGTCTCTACCGGCGAATGGAGGCCACCGGGGTGGCCAATCACATTCTGCGTTTGCATGGTCTAGAGCAGAAGGCAAAGAGTGTGGTACGAGAAGCCGCTACTCAAACTGAACCAGACGAAAGCGTTTTACATATCCGCCCTCAAATATTCGAATCTGGGTACGATGGAATTTTGAGCGCAGAAGAGTCCCGGGCAGAGCGTGTTCTACACATTTCAGATCTGACCTCCATCCTTGAACGGTCACAGGTGATATCTAGCGTTCTAAGGATTGAGGATCTGCTTCGGACAATGTGCACAATTATCATGGAGAGCTGCCATGGCGTTGCCACTACTACGGCCATCATCACCGAAGAGGACCCGACCATCGGGTGGGCCGTGGCAGCCAGTGGCGATGCAGCTGGACGCATCAAAGTACATCACACTCCGACGCGGATTGGAAAATCCACTCTGGTTGAAGAAAGAATTGTGAACTACTGTGTGCGCTTTCGCGAAGCAGTGTATTTGCCGGACGTCATGCAGGATCCAAGATTTAGCCACGTTACCGAAGCGTGGGTGGCCCAGAACCCGGTTAGTAAATCGATAATGGCGTTGCCCATTTCCCAGGGCGGCGATGAGAGCGAACCCCTTGCGGTGTTGTATCTGGATGGACCGCCCAACGCATTCTCGTATCTCAATCGTGTCGTGTTACAGCTGCTCGTCGTCCAATTTGGAATTAGCTACTCCAATGCACTGACCCTCAAGGAAGTGGAACGGGTATCCGCCATCAACCAAGCTATGGTAGACGTGCAGAAGAAGGCCCTAGCGGAAGCGATGTCGGCCGAGCAAAAGGCGAACACTGCGAAGGCGGAGGCCCTGCATCATGCCCAGCTAGCCGAACAGGCTGCCAAGGCCAAAAGCAGCTTTCTCGCCAATATATCTCATGAGCTACGAACGCCACTCAATGGGGTTATTGGTAATTCAGAGCTTCTGCTCAGCAGTCCACTGCTGGAGCAGCAATTGGAAATGGCAGACTCGATTCGCATGTCAGCGAACCTTCTTCTCACCGTGATCAATGACATGCTTGACTTCTCCAAGATTGAAGCAAATAAGGTGCAGTTACATATTGTGCCCTTTGAAGTCGATAAGATGGTTCGGGATGTCGTTCGCTTGATGTCGACCAACTTCGGGAACAACCGACAGTCCAACAATATCCGCATTATTCAGGATGTCCAAGCACCCCAATACCGCGTATATGGCGACCCCATGCGTCTGCAGCAGGTTTTAAGCAACCTATTCGGTAACAGCCTTAAATTCACGGAAACGGGGTCCATCACAATAGGATCCAGGGTAGATGATGAAACTGAGGACTCAGTTCGTCTGTCCTTTTGGGTGTCCGACACTGGTATTGGCATCCCCGCAAACCTCATACAGCAGTTGTTCAAGCCATTCATCCAAGCTGATGCCAGTACCGCGCGCCGGTTCGGAGGCAGTGGTTTGGGACTCAGTATCTGCAAATCCCTCGTACATCTGATGGGGGGCACCATCAAACTCAAGAGCGTTGAAAACGTCGGCACGACTGTTTTTTTCACGATCACCTTACCGAAAAACAATTTCGGAGGTTCAGGCACTGCTGCTCCAATAGAATCCACCAAAGACTCACTGTGCCTGCTCGATAAATCAGTCCCGAATTCCATGGATCTGTCCCAAATCCCCCGCTCACACCTTCGCATCTGCATCGCGGAGGATAACCTCATCAACCAGAAAATCACGTTGCAGTTCCTCAAAAAGCTAGGGTTTGCCCAAGTGGATGCCTATAACAACGGTCTAGAAGCCGTGAACGGAATCCAGGAGAAGGCCGGTGCCGAGCAACCGTATCATCTGATATTGATGGATGTTCAGATGCCCATAATGGATGGGTATGTTGCCACCCGCCGTCTCCGCCAGGATCCTGTAGATGCTGTGAGGCGCATTTTGATTATCGCTGTGACAGCCTCAGCGATTGAGGGTGATCGGGAGAAGTGTCTGGATTCGGGGATGAACGATTACCTGGCGAAACCGATTCTTCTCGCGGCGTTGAAAAACAAGCTTGATAGATACCTACAACCCAATTGATCTGGTCTGTTGTTCATGTATATGATCTGATTACTATTACCTGCATATTTGTATCGCTATGATCCCTGTGATGCCACTCATCTAATGTATAGTACTATATAAAGAATAGACTAGGGTGTGCTTCGCTATTCCGGCCCCACGTAAGAGGAATCATACAATCTAAGGTAAGTGCAGCCTGCGCATTTTAGTGGCTCTCCGTCCGGGTTCTTGAGTCGCAGCTGTGCTAGAAGGGCTAGGATCTTGAGACGCAAGAAAATGAGATTTATCTTGGCCTACTCATGAGCTCTTGGGAGTACACGTGGTTGGTTTCTAGGAGCCTTAGGGTTCGTATCGTTGTTCCTGGGAGTGATCACAGCCACTCTTATGGGGCCCTCCCTTGCTTCTAAGAGCCGAATGTGCCTAAGAAACATCTTAGGCACCTAGCGTTGTGCTCCTGTGAGAGTATAAAATATGTATTGAAAACACTGATAGCAGTATCTCTAGCCTTTCTCGTCACTTCAGCTAGAGATGCTCTTATTGAACGCTCCTAGGAGCGCAAAATCCAGTCCGTCATAGCAACATACTCGAAAGCTTCTCACCAAAGAAGTTTAGATAGTTTTGTTGACCATGGTTGCAATTGAAATTTTAATGGTTTTTTGAGTGTTGATTCGTGCAACCGGATTGCCATTCATGGGCCCCATATCAGAATTGAGGCCCGGAGAAAAAGAGCTCAACGCGTTCAAAATCGAACTCATTATTTCTGTGCATCATAAAAGTGCTTTCGACGGACTTGGATTCGGAAAACAGAGGCTGTTTCGTGAAGATGATGCTAATGAGCTCAGAATGGGTTGATCTCTCAAAGAGTTCTGTCATCTAAAAACGTGCCGTGGAAAGATCTGGTAGGCCCTGCAGCCATGTGACCCCTCACCATGGCCCACAAACATCAACTGGGGACAAATAAACCTCTAACTGAAACCTCCCGAACTCTCACCCCTCATCTTAATCCGAACCGGCATTCCAAGCTTCGGATGCCCAGTAATCATACCAACCTCCATAACCTGATACGCCTTCTCCCCAAACACAACAGGTGAGTCATCAGGGAAAACAGTTTCAATATCCATTTCACGCACCGTAAGCGCCAGGATCGCTCGCAGCTCAATCTGGGCCAGCTCCTGGCCAATACAGTTCCGGGGGCCCTGCTCGAAGGGCCGCCATGCGTTTTTCCGTACATGCAGCGGCTCGCCCTCTTTTGCGAGCCAGCGCTCGGGCAGGAATTCCGTGACTCGGGGCCAGAACTCCTCTGCTCGCTGGACGCCGAAACTCAGTCCGAATAACATGAATCCATCTGTGGGGTACTGCTTCCCTGTTTCTGGGTGGGTTAGGTAGAAGGCTGGCTGGCCTTTGCGGATTGTGCCGACGGGTGGGAACAGGCGCAGGGTTTCTTTGATGACGCCCGATGTGTAGGGGAGCTGGTTGAGCAGGGCTGGGTTGGCGGCGATTTGGGCTCGGGCTGTGCTTGTATTAGGGCCGAGCACGGCGTCATGTTCAGCACGGAGAGAGGCTAGTGCTGATGGGCTTGTGTTGAGGAGGTAGTAGGAGTATGAGAGAGCAGTCGCTGTAGTGTCGTGTCCCGCGAACAGGAAGATCTTTATCTGGGCAATGGCGATGTCCATGAAATGTTCGTCCGCATCGACTGTGTTGGTCTTGGAAGAATCTTGTTCGGAGAGGTAAGCCTTGGTGGCTAGAGAGTTGATGGTCTTGTGTCCGGTTGATTCGCCATTCAGATGCTCATGTATTCCTCGTTCGATATGTGGTCGGAGATAATTCTTGATGACCCTGTTGTTATTCCACATGCGAAAAAGGCGTAGTGGGTTGAGAGCCATGACTAGTTGATCGGGGGAATTGCTTGTCCACATCAAGGCAATCTGTCGCTTCAATGTCTCTTGTAGCTCGTTCTTGCTCGTTTGGCAATGGAGACGAATGTCACTATCGAGGTAGGCTGTTAGTGAAGGTTTAAGTAGGTGATAAGTAAAAGCGCGCGCATACAGGATAGCCCGACCGATGATATCGATCGTGCAGCTAATGGCCTTATCTTCAAGCCTAAAAACTTTCCCAGATTCTGCAGCACCCTTAAGTTGATCAACAAAGACATCAATCTCCTCAAGGAAGGCGGGTACGAGTGACAGAATATTCTTGACAGAAAATGCCGGATTGAAAATGCCTCGCCACGTCTTCCATGTATCTCCCGACATGTTGAGGAGGTCATTGAGTTGCGTAAGAGGCCTGAACTCACCCGCCAGTGACGGATGCTTCGGAAGCGAGGTGGTCTGCGTGAATCCAGCCATCATATCAGGATGGAATACGGCCAGCATTGGGGGCGCAATAGGCCAGATATCGATGTACATGAGCCCAGGCACCTCCAATTCTGGGTGGTCTTTGGCAAGGAGGAGAGGCATATATTGCCCATGAACATCACTGGGATATTTGGCCATGGTTTTGCCGATATGGTGCAGATGTCCAAAAATCCACGAATGTGGCAGCATTGGCTGAGAGAATTGTAAGGGTATTGATCAACTGCCAATTCAGGGGACTTTACACACCACTTCATATTGTCTAGCGGCATTCCGGAATAGACGACGGACTTGCCAAACTCGATAGATAGACGCGATGACACCCGCCAAGACGAGCGTTACACATGCTCTACCCAGGGTGATACAAATTGTCATTTTCGCAGCTGGGGTCGGTTTGTCAAGGATGTCAAGAGAATGTGTGACCCTCCCAGAGATCAGATTGAGCCGTTGCACCTATACTGACCAGACTTATGCTGACCAGCTCGTATTCTTTCTTTTTGACATTTTCGATTAGACCAATCGGTGCTGCGAGAGTATTTGAGGCTGATTGGGCAAATGCTAAGCCTCTTCAAATGACGCATATAGCATATACCACTTACGGTCAGAGAGTTTGGAACTTTGAAAACAAACAAAGTTATAGTTTTAATACTATAAATGTACGTAAAATTCTGCACAATCTCCTTTGTTAGAACCTGTCCGGGTGATCTGCGATATCTGCGCACTAGTATAATCCTCCAGAACCCCCTTGCCATTTTACCCAACCTTGCCCCTCATTGTCTTTCACCCCATGTACAGAGGCCTTTGAGCAACTGAAGCGTTTAGTTCTCTGAAACATTAAACTTTCCGAGTTCCTGGGCAAATGTGCGGCAGATTGACTAAGCTAGGCAGCAGTCGGGTAGACTTTTAGAAATGTAATTGTCATACTGACGTAAGTAATCCATACCAAGCTTGATATGTAAACTACATCTTGACCCCTACCCGGTTTGGAATTCTTCCGGACGGCTTCAGTGATCCGCTTCAACCCGATGGCCTCGCTGCTTTTGAACAGGGGTTGAAGGTTCATATTGATCGCAAAAAGCTGATCTTCTAGAATTTTCCAGTGATATGGTTGATGTCCATGCCACTCCAAGATGGAGAAAGAAGTGACGGCGGAACAATCATGCATTGTATGCTTGCTCTCACAATAACAACACCTATAATAAGAACTAGACTGGCCCTGGGCTAGAATGCGGGGGGGGCCGTGAAACAATTGAAGGTTGTGGATTCCACTTGCAAGAAAACGGCTTGATCTTAGCTGCGGGGACGCTAGTCCTCCACTAGCGGACTAGCGCAAACCTAGATCTACCACTAGCAGACTAGCGCAAGCTTAGATCCACCAGTGTTATAATCACCGCTTTGGATTGAGCTTCCCAATAGGGAAAACATAATTTAATTTGGAGAATCTCCACTGCTTACTGGTGTATTCACGACTTGAGGTCCCCGGTACTGAAACCGATCTATGCTTCGAAGCTTCCCCCCATTCAAGACTATCATTCAAGCTATGCTCGTGATGGGAATGCCGGTCACCTTACGTGGCTTGCGAAGGCGCCATAGGAAGTCTGACTCGGTCACTTTCTCGAGCGCTTGGCCATAAGCACAACACAACTGACAGCTGTGTGAGCCCTGGACCAAGAAACACAGAGCTATGGGCCCAAAGCATTCAAGATCCGGCGGTGCTTCGAGTGTCTAATGATACAATCCAGAATACCCCGGCTGCACCAAAGTGTTGCTGAGGTTAATGATGTTGCCTAAGTGGTGGCTTTTCTGGCAAGTGAGGGGGCGGATAGATTACGGGTAGTGCAATCTCAACCAATGGAGGATTGATGTTCAACTGATATGATAAATTATCTTTGAACTTGAAAATGTCGATATAATTGCAAATAGAAATATAATAATCTTTGAGACTACGGGATAGTGGAAGTAATGATGTAGGAAATTGTAGCCTAGATGACTGTGTATTCATTGATTGATTTGTAATGACAGGAAGACTGAGAGCTCTTATGCAGATAGCTGTACAGTGGGCTGCGCATAGTAGAGGTACTTAGTATGAAGCCTTGAGAAGTGCGGTGAAATCTCGGCTGAGCTGGCGCTCAGGTAGGTAATGCAGATCTTGGGGAGGTTTTGGAAAACAGAGGCTGTTTTGTGAAGATGGTGCCGATGAGCTCAGAATGGACTTATCCCTCAAAGAAGCATGAAGTCTTTCCAGCTTGATTTCATCCGCGAACATTTCCATTCAAATTGCCATATGAATCCCCAATCTGGCTTACTTACACCCAGCTAGCAAGCAGTCTAAATCCACTCTCTGTTACCAAAGTGCGACAGAAAGGCACCACTATTTTCATGCGTGATGTCCTCGATGACCTTTCTCTGTTGCCTCACGCTCTCCGCCGGAGTGCTGGGTCCTTTGAACTCGGGGTTTGCTGTGACAACATCCTGCATCAAATTTGCGATTCGAGGCATCACTTCTGGCGGCGCTTCAAAATAATCACCGTCAGCCGTTGCCCATGCACGATAAAATTCCTCTCAAAGATGACTTACGTGGTACTTCCTGGGTATTAACCAAGCCAGGACTCAGGGCTAGTAATGTAACCCCCTCACGCTTCAGCTCGATGCTATATCGGACCACGACCATGTTCAGGGCGGCTTTCAATGCACTATAGGTCACGAAGAATCCGATTGTGCCTTGTCGCTGGGAGTCTAGATCGGCCAGCCCGGTCGTGATCACAACAATCTTCTTGATGCTGCTCTTCCGCACCAGCGGCAAGAAGGCATTGATCGCATACATCGCCCCGATGACATTAATTTCCAATGCCTTGACCATGTAATCATGCAACAGATCCTCCCGGCCACTGAACTCGGTGGGGGTCAGAAAGTCAGCGGCAGGGTTCTGGTGCACTCCATTTACAATCAGGTAATCCAGAGAGCCGCCGGTCAGTGCTGCGACATCGGTTGCTGCGGTTGTGAGGGATCTGTGGTCGCTCAAATCGGCCGCCAAAATTTTGACATTGCTGATCTCATCAGCAGCCAGCTTCGCCTCGACCGTCGTAGGTGCCCTGGCAAGGCCTATGACGGTATTTTCTGGGGAACTGCTCAGTTGTCGAAGCCATTCGTACTGCCAAAGCATGATTAGTGGTGATCAGGGTCGCGAAACACCGGAAATAACTTACCCCTAGGCCACGGGATGCCCCGACAACAACGTAGGAGGGCATGGTATCGATGAAGCCGTTTGATCGGGCTTGTTGATGTTTTCTGGGAAGCAAGGACAACGTAACACAGGATTGAAAGATGTGGAATTCCAGCAACTATTCGAGCAGACCCAACACGCCATATTTATAGCAGACAAACCTAGATATGGCTGGCTCCTTGCCCCGGCAGCTCTGCAGTGTGCTCGCAAATCAATCTTGATTTCAAATCATTGAAGTTATATCAGAAGTACCCGCCAATCTTCCATTTCGGGTATAGGACTGGCGGGACCAGTGGAAGATTGAGCTTTGATTTGTGATTCTTGTCACTGGCTTTCGGCTCGATTTTGGCCCGTCGGTGATGAGGTTGCGACTTCCGTGGTACCAACGGAGTTTTATCGTTGAAAGGAGGAATGGGTCTTCTGGTTTTTAATCGAGAATCTGATTATAGGCTACAAAGCCAGTTTGATGTGGATGGTCATCTTGTTTTGCCTTACTCGGCTGATTACTTGTTATGACATTTCCACATTATATGTACAGTAATGTTCGAAGTCAGATTTACTTGCACAGTCTTAGATATTAATTCCCGATCCCAAATTCCCAGAATAGACACTATATTTTACATGACGCGCGTGGGACCTCGTATTGTGTAATTTACACGAAACCGCTATACACATGGTAGCCCTGTGCCCCTCTTGGCTCCTCCTGCTGGCCTCGAAGATCCACTCGGGAAGATGTTCCGCTGACACAGCGGAAATAAGCCATGCCTCTTGAAGTTACCCATTAATCCTATGCCTATCCCGGGCTACATGTACAAAAAGGCGTGGAAACACCGTCCCACCCCAATGATAATCTTCTGGAAATGTTTCTCCGGGGCTAGGATGTGGAGACTACTCCTGCTCCCTTGATTATGGCAACTAACTACTGGCGGACCTTATAACTAAGTGGAAAGCATATTTTATCAGGAAAGCTTAAAAGGAATTATTCCTCCGTCGGTGTAAATGTTTGCCGGGCCCCACAACAGTTGCATAGATCCCTGGTTATGGCATTCTAGACATTATGCGCTAAACTGGAAGATCTGCTAATCCCTGCTGCAAGCCTAGCGATTATTAGAACGGAGGTGGCTCCCGATATCATCGTGAGCACTTGAGCCAACCGTAAGCGACAACCACTGCTGCACTTCGTAGTATAGAGGAGAGAGAACAATGCTATATATTTTCTCAATAGTAAACTATTGATTGCTCTCTACAGAAGCACCCATCCGCATCCTCGCCAGCGTATTCATTCTTCGATGTGAAAAACATCACCAGGTCTCCTATGCGGCCTTCAGGGCCTTTAAGCCAACTCCATTTGCTTATTAGTGCGGTAAAACTGAAGCTTTTGATTATCCCTGATGCAAGAGTCACGCACCCTGGGCCTGATGTTATGAAAGTGTTATATCCTAGTTTCCTCAGGATTCAGCGGATATGTATTCATGCTTCACATTCTGGCTCCGCATCCCTGTGCAGGGCCCATCGGTTTGTCTCGTAATGTTTATATGAGGGAAGGACCTGGCGAGACTGGTGGGTTGCTTATTCTATCTGCATATATTGCTGGGGTTCAATACCAGCTGGACAAAACGAATCATTGCCATGCTCGGCTAATGAGCTGTTATCAGTTGTGAGAGTAAGACACAAGATTAATGGAGGTCGGAGAGTATTCGCGTGTTTTTATTATGTTCATTGTTGTCAAACGAAGTACCAATAACACATTAACCTCGATTTTGACAAGTTTGGGTACATTTACGTTTTCAAGGCTAACCTCAAGTCAAAATAGAAATTGTAACAACCAGTAGGTAGGCTGTCCGGTTATTCAGAGTATATCTGGGCCAGTATAACATCCTTGCCTTGTATCTCCTCCACTGGGCATACTCGGTGTTGCATAAGGTGCCATGTTTCGACTGCAGAGACCTCGGGTCCTGCGCCAGCCGCAAAGGTGCTTTGGCAAGCGCAGACAGAACAAGAATGGAAAACTAGTTATATCCATTGGATGTCGCGGTGGAGTGGTCAGGGGTATCTGCAAGCTGAATTTGGTAATATTAGACCAGGCGTCGTCATGGATTCGCAGGCGGAAAGGTGGTTGGAAGAAGCTGATGAGTTTGGGTTCATTATGATATCGATTGGTATGTGGTGATTCGAGTGGTGATGAACGATGACTTTATGCTAACTTTGCGCAGTTAACGCTACTGAGTTCGATCCGTCGTCGCTCAAGCCATTAGCTTGTTGAGTAACAATGAAGACAGTAGAGGAAGACCAGACTCAACTCCTGCGAACAAAATAATACACAATCTTTTGGCCTTTAGAAGGCTTTTGTTGATTTGCATGTTGTCAAAAAAGTCTGGATATTGTTTATTCGCACTCATGCAGAGAACCGGAGATGGAAGTGCGCGTTTGTTGGCGGCCTACCAGCCTAAGGCCAGAGATGACCCTTTCTTTCATCAGTCCCTCTTTTGTTAGGCAGGCTCACCTTCTCTTCCATTGCCAGACATCGATTTATCGTTTTTCCTCCCGCTCCCCTGTCCCTTCAAAGCTCTATGTTGCCTCTTTTGCTTCCTCTTTAATCGCCATGAATTCCAATTCGGAGCGAATGTGACCCGAAGCCGACGACCAGGCTGCGGTCCTCAATCGCGCGCAACCCGAGCCGATCGAGCAAGTGGTACACATGATGCAACCCAACCAACCTGTCAACAATCCACCACAGTTTCGCTTAGTCCTTAAACCCGACGAGCTTGCACGTGAGATCTTCGAGAACCAGACTCGTCTCGTTATATTTCTCGATCGCCTCGAACAGGTCATAAGGCAACGGTGGTTGAAAAAGACGCCGAAGAAGAAACGGTGAGCCTTGATTAATGCATGGCCCAATATGCCCACCTACCATGCGCCCGACTTCCAGCACATGTTACAAAAGAATTTCCCAGCATTAGATGCGCATTTAAATGGCCGCATGACAATCTTGAGGACTTGACAACCCCGAGTCTATTGTTTATGCTTCTCAATTCAAGACCCCGAAATCCTCCCTCAATATTTGTGGTCGTTTTGTTGCGATGACTTCCCACACCTATATATACATAATTATACAATGATGTTCACTGGTCAGGACAATGCCGAAGAATATGGCGAGATATTCGAATGGGGGGAGCACCCGGAGGCGCTTGACTGGCTTCAGTCCGGCCGTGGTTTAAGCTCGGGTAACGGGCTCGATCCAGTTCCACGAACCGCATCCCACTGCGAAGTTTCCTTTCCGAACTGCGCGGCATATGGGTCGGCGCTTTAATCGCGCCTACGGCTGGGAAGGACATACGTTTTGTTTGGAGGGTGATTAAGCATTTGGCAGAATTGCAGATTTCATCACGTCCCTTTCGCGTGATATACTTTTCTCGTTGCTCTTTCTCCCTTCTCTATTTCTCATCACTCCCCTCTGACGATCTGAACCAGTCAAGGTCGCCGCGATGCCAGAGTGAGATAGATACTCATCCTTTAATACTATTATCAGAACTAGGCTAACATTTCTAGTACCAACCAAATCTTGTTCCCCGCAATGGCCTATGGCCCGACTGAGAACAACCCCCCGGCGGGACCCTGGGCTAGAGTCGCACTCCGCCTTCCTTGGCCTGTCTCCAAGCAAGATGACAAGATCCTCTCTCCGCTATTATGTCTTCTTTATCAGCAACCTTTCAAGAGGGAAATAAAACTTCGTGAAGGTATCGATTGGAGTGCAGAGACCTTTTACATGCGTATTGGTGAATCGCGAAACCATGTTGAAGCGATCTATATCTTCATGATCGGAGATATCTGCGACATTCGATGCGACCACTGCCTACGAGGCCGGGGTCCTTTCCCCCTCTGCGTCGTAAACAGACAACATGGTGCACCTAAGGACTGTGCCAATTGCTGGTGGGCATCTACCAACCGCAATCAACGATGCTCCTTTGCTATTAGAGGGACCGTCGCATACCAGCAGCAAGTCCTCCCCAACAGGGGAATCTCTAACATGTCACCTGCCATGCGTGAAGACTTTTGTCAGCTTTTGAACCACTACGGGAAGCACGGAATCTATTCACCCCACGTGTTAGATCTCTCATATTCAATCTTTTCTCTCTTCGTGCAATGCCTCGCTACCGTCGCCCTTTCTACATACCTGGGTTAGGGTATGCGTGCGAAAGCTATCTTTCCGGCGATCTGGCCTGCCTGCGCGTCGTTAGTGGCTGGTAGAGACCTAGCTAGCGACCTACTGCGGACCTCGTTGAGCTCCCGAAACCCGCCTTCCTATAACAAGTGGCAGAGAACCTGTCGGGCAATTGCCTAGATTATTAGCGTGACCGAGGTGAAGTTGCGCCGGTTTATAGAATGGGGTGGAATGGAATCAACGCGTCCTTCGGCCCTGCGAGCATGGTGCGATCCTTTGAGCTGTTACGCCTCCATTGGAACTTGACACGCATCGCCGCCATGCGTGGGGCCGCACAGGATAGTTATAGTGATACGGAATCCGACGACGACAGAACAACCGATACAGTGCGATCACCTCTCTGGCACTTGCCAGGTTCTCGCGTCCCCGGAAAACATACTCCACTCCGCAGATAATCCAAGATCGGGCTTATCGTCTGAATCAATCACCAAAGTAATAATGGATACAGCATTATTTCTTGCATCATATAAGTTCTCGAGTTTATCCATGCTGCATGTTCGCCACGCAGAGTGCCACCAGATTCCCGGGTACACCATTTGAGCCATGTCATATAGCTCATGGTACTCTAGATCTCTTTTCTCAGAGCCTCGTGATTTGTTGAATTGCCAAATGCAATTCTCCTTTCAATGTGTTCCTTAATTGATGCATACGGGGGTACGATCATTGCTGAGGCGTCTGGTTCTTGAATTTTTTTGGAATTGGCGTGGTTCTCAGACGAGACCTCTCAGAGTTAGCGATCATATCAAGGCATGGTTTTTCAGAGCATGGGATCGGAGGACATTGTTCCAAGGTTTACTTGCTTTTCTTTCTGTGTAAACCCGTCTTCAACGGCCACAACATTATTGCCTTTGCTTTACTTCACCTACTTTTTTACGCGTAAGTCCGTCCTCGACGGCCGCACTTTCATCGCAATGCTTTTCATGTATTTGCTACGCAGCAAGCATTCGTGCTTCCCTGCAGATCAGCCTAGGTCGGCTGACATTTCAGAGAGTTGGTAGACAGACTGTGCAATCATGGAGATTACATGTCGTTATATCGATGATGAACAGAAACTCTCATTCTATGTGTTTTGATGCTTTGTAATAGAAGGATGTTTGACCACAAGGAAAACGTGGTATATCTTCCTTGGTGTCTTTGAAGACCCCTAGAGATCCACAAGTTGACTAGGAAACTATTGGACCTTGCCTCTCGAGTCAACAGGCCAGATTTCCTCAATGACGCCCCCTCGATGGGCGTAATAGAAATCATGCAAGTTTACCGTAGGGTCAATGTGACTCGGTACCATCTCAACGCGATCGCCAACCGAAAGCGCTGGGGTACCCTCCTCCCAACTGAGTGAGCCATGCTCGTCACCAAGAACACCATAAGTGTACCTCGGGTCCTTGCACTCTGCCAAGCCACTATCCGTCGTCAACGATTTCAATCCACTGTCGATTGTGACCGACTGAGGGCCCTGTTTGCTCAGCACAGTTGACAGAATCGTAAGACTGTTGGAATAGAATGTGCCCACTGCATTTCGGTAATCTGTATCCATGAAAATGAACGATCCAGGCTGAAGCTCAGTCACACCCGGTACTGTGGCGCAGAATTCGGCCGTTCCAGTTCCTCCTGTAGTGACCACCTCAATGTTGAAGCCTGCCTTCCGTAGAACGTCCGCAGTGTTCGTGAGAGCCTCCATAGACTGCAGACATTGACTCTTGCGATCTTCTTTATCATGCAAATGCTGCAAATGACCCTCATACCCGTGGAGCCCGATCAGTTTCAAATGCTTCAGACCCTGCACATGTTGTGCTAGGGTCATAGCTGCGTCACCTGGCAGAACACCGGTGCGATGAAGCCCAACATCGAGATCAATCAAAACCGAAATTGGCTCGTCGATACCGGCTGCGGCCAAAGCCTTGTCAATAGCCGTTGCGCCAGCTTCGCTGTCAACAACTATCCTGATCTTGCGGTGTCTGCGGTACAGTTCTACCAGCCTTTGTACTTTTGCGGGGCCGATGATCTCGCAGGTGATAAACAGGTCGTCGAATCCGGCCGCGGCGATGACTTCAGCCTCGCTCACTTTGGCCACGCAGCCTCCCTTCGCCCCCGCTTTGACCATCTTGCCGGCTAGGATCGCGCTCTTTGTTGTTTTCAGATGAGGGCGGATGTCGAGGCCAGTTGGTAACAGCTTGTCCATCAGTTTTTTGATGTTGGCCTCGACAAGATCGAGGTCTGCAATCATGGATGGTGTGTCGAGGGTATCGACCCTGTCGCCGACTTTGGGGGAATACATGCTGAATTGGAAGTCGCGGATCTGGATGAGGTGGAAAGCCAGTTCTGTGCTGGTGATGGTCAGTGTCTGGGATTGAACCTTGAGAGATTTTGTAGGACATAAGGGGGTGTCGCCATTTATAAGTTGGGGGAGAGAACGCAAGGGGTAAAGATGCCCCCATGCTGTTCCATAATATACCCCCGCACTAAAGATTGCTTATCATCTGGGCAGGTGGGGGGTGTATCATTCGACCCTCATTTGTGCGGGGTACCTACATGTACGATGTTGCATTTGCAAACATGGAGCATTACAACGTTTCATGCAATCTCTACCACAGTCTCCCTGACCTCCAGGGCTAGAGGCCCGCATCAACCTTTTTTATCATGGTTTACGCCATACACTACCTACATGTAGGTACAAGACCACGGATCGACCCAGACTAGTCCCGATTAAATGTTCCCCTCTCAAGTCTTTACGAGATGTTACTGCCCAGATGAATCTTCGGCTTCTTTCTTCCCCCTGGATCCCTCCTAAATCTAGCAAGAATTAGTCTTGGCATATAGAGACAATTAGACCTCCGCAAAGCCAATAAATCAAGGCCCATCATAGCCCATTGAAGCCCATTAAGGGGGGCCTTGGCGCTTACAAACTGGCGTCTTGTAATCGCTGTATTCTGGCCTTCTGCTAATTTTATAGAGCTTAAATTTAAAAAAAAATATAGAATTAGAATAGCTATCTAAGTATGCATTTCAATTTTGAATAGAATCCGACTAATGGAGGTCGAGATATCGCGAAAAAGGTTAATATTAATGTTTTGATGTTAGATGTATATTTTGGGAGTTTGCGGAAGTACCATCACATTCTGAGTGAATCTTTGTAATTTAAAAACCATCTAAATAACGCGTTTTCTTACATTTTTAATCGTAATATATAGATTTAACTAATTGCTAATCATATATCAATTAAAATAAAAAAATATTACCCTGATATAAGGGCTAGAAACGGGGTCTAAACACAAGGTAATTAATTTTTCAAAATTTTGGGCCTAATGGGAGTGGGTTGGGCTTTGCGGAGGTCTAGCTCAGACAATACACTGTATCCCTCCCCTCCAACGTCATTGTATCTTACTCGATTGACGGGCCATACACCTGACGCCTGTATTATCTTTACGCCATATGAGGAAATGTTTGATGAACTCATTGATTCAAATTGATTCAACGTTGAACGACGTAGTTTCAGATTCGGCAATCCACGCTCCCATGGGCACCATTTATTTTTGAAAAGACGGATACTTCCTCCCTTTCTTCCGAAATGAGGATTGTTCTACATGGACAGATATTATCCAGTGAGTCTGCTAGTAGTAACACTAGGGCATCATACGAACTCCTAGAAAGCATGGTCGGAGTTAGCCTTACGGAGCCACAGAGCTTTTCGAGGGATAAAATATACTCTGCATTCGCTATCAGTAGTGGCTGGTCAAGCAAATTCTTCCCTCACGGAATCGAAGATGAGTTCTTTAGTTGCTAAAGTCACATTTTGGTGTTGCCGTTGAATGTTAAAACTGTTTCACCTCGACCACGAACATTCCTGTCGTATGTCTGACCCGGTGATCCCCAAGAAAAGCTCGCCTTCTTAGCTTTATTATTATCTTTCCCGTGTCGGAGCTCCTTCTCCCGCGCACGAACCCTTCGACTGTGTTCTTTGTTCTCCCGCCTTTTTGCTATTTGTTCTGCTGTTTTCGCCGAATTCTTCCCCATAAACAAGTTTTTCAACCAATCCATGATCATGTGAATGTATGTTTTCTACGTACAGCACGATAGGAAAACTGGAAACAAAACAGATTCCCGGTTGTTGGACGAGACCGGTATTGGCCTGACAAGAAGTGAGAATTAACCGATTCCCCATCAACAAGTATAACCAAGTTGCGTATCGATACGGATGTATTGGGAATGATTCATATTCTTCATGAGAAACTTACCACAAATTGGGCTGTGCTTTGTAGTCACTACATTTAACTTATCATCGCAACATTTGATTGCAACGAAGACCAAAAGCGTAGTGAGCTAACGTATACGAGCAGAGAAAATTGAGGGACATGTTAGGTTGGCGCACTTTCCCCTGTAATCCTCAAAGTCTCAATGCATTAGGGTCTAGACAAAGTCATCCTTCTAGTGGAATTACTAAGCCACTGATCCTTGAGTTCAAGACAAAATCAATCTGAGATCAAGATTGTACTCAAACTCACGTCTCTCGCGTTGTGTAAGAAGCCAGGCACTACAATTTTACGGAACTTTGGTGTCGCACATTGCGCAGTAAAGAGACCTAAGCTAGTCAACTTACTGCACTTTTGTTTCAGATTGACACTTAGTTGGTGACACAGTTTACAAAAGGTTGAATGGAGTTCGAAAAAGTGGTCAAAAGCGACAGACAAGTGATATAAGAGCTGTAAAGTGCAACTGTGCACAGTCTTCGTACATATCTTGGTTGAGTAATTTAACAGAGCTCTGATCAAACCACAGCTCTGCTTTCATACCCAGCGTTCAGCAAGTTTTACATCCGCCCATATCATTTCACAAGAACCCTAATGCCTTTACTTGAGGCTTTGGATCGAGGCACAAAGCGGTCTCTGGCCAGCTCCACATCAGTGTGATCAGTCTCATATAATTCAAAATCAAACCTCCGAAAAAGAGTGGCAATGCCGATGAAGAGCTCTGCATAGGCTAGTTGAAGCCCTACACAGGACCGAGCTCCACGCCCAAAAGCGACCATGTACCGTGAGAGAAGCCGGCCATCTGCAGCACGGGGGCTACCTAGCCAGCGGCATGGGTTGTAACTGTGACTGTCTGGGAATACAGACTCATCGTGGGACACACCATATATGTCCATACTGACAACGGCGCCAGGGGGAATGACATAGTCTCTGTATGGGATTGTGTCATTATCAGCGATGCGAGGAATTCGTTGAGATGTTCCATAGGCTAAGCGCAGGGCTTTTTTCCGTTCATTATTCGTCAGCAAAAAAATGCATAATGTTATGGAGATATGGAAAGACGCTCACATTCGTTTATACAAGCTGAAAGGAATGGCAACTGTTCCAGGGCCTCCCATGGAGGTAGAATGTCAGGATCAGGAATACCAACAGTCAATTCTTCCCTCAGGCGCTGATGTATGGATGGGTTGTTGACGATGTGAAATACCGAAATGGTCAGTGCTCGCATGGTAGTCTCAATACCTGCTCCCACAACACTGATTGCTTCGTGTTGCAGGCGAAGGGGCGTCACTTCCGAGCGAGGAACATCAGACTGAATAATCGACGTGAAGATAGTGTCCGGACGATGGCCCTTTACGTCTTTGTCATGTGCATTATCCAAGGCCTCTTCCACTTGGGTGAGCATTTCCTGTGATTCCATCCATTAACAAGGCATTAAAGGCCGAAGTGAAACCATACTCTTACTTTGTTGAAGTTGATAACATTTTTCATGCGTGGGTCCAACCATCCCACCAGCGAGTCAGGTAGTAACTGCATTGTCTTGACCATCCACGGAAACTGAGTGATCCAATGCACGCCCTCAAGCAAATCAATTAACGACACCACAAGCCCAGCCTTGAAATCAGGGTCTCTGATGAAGTTATACCGTCTTTCAAAACAATATTCAATGATGATATCAGTGGTCCAACAGCCCCACATCTCGTTGATAACTAAAACACGACCTGTGCCCTGGAACTCACGTTTCAGTCGAGAACAGAGCTCATCCATATGACCTCTGATCACCGGAATCCTGTCAGATATCTTGCGCTTGGAGAAGAACGGGTTCAAAGCGCCGCGACGAATGCGATGTAAAGAATGATCCGAGGTAGCAAAGGCAGAGCTGGGATTGTTGAAGCGATGCTCCAGATCTTTCAGCTTACTGGCAGGCCTCGACGATCCGTAGAACGTTTCGAAGAAGGGGGCATCTTGGATATGCAGCTCCCGTGGATTGATTCGGATGATAGGGCCTACGCACTATCTATTAGTAAATCCTCTCACATCATTGAAGGCCCCGAAGAGGAAGCAGTCATGTACCATATTTTTCATGCCATTCGCGGTACTTGAATACAAATTGGCCCCCTTCACCATACAGAAGCTCGTAGTATGCTTCTGTCCAATATGTCAACGCAGCAAGTTTTGGCCCAGGAAACTGTGCGAGAGGGCTCATGAAAAGACGATAAATCACTAGCCCTCCAGCGTAGGTGACGAGGATGCTCAGAGTAAGCCATGACACGACCCAGACATCCGTCTTGGTGTCAATGAAGTGCACGAGGTCTGAAAAGATACCCATGTTGTGTGCAAGTATAATAGAAACCTTTGCAGCGAATTCTTGAAGATGTTTGGCCGTTTCCAAGTGATGCATCTTTGATATTTCAATCCCTGTCGGGCGAATGACATATATCCTAACTCGCCGGTTGGTCACGCTAACTAAACCCCCGGTTACAGGTACCTAGCTTAGAATATCGCCGGACTGTTGATGCGCATCCCACACTAAGTATATCCCCTGCGTATCGGGCACTTCTTTTATGGCTCATGATATTGGTTATGAGTTCCAGTTGGGGGACAGCATAGCTCGTGCATTTCGCCGGGTTGCGCACGAGCGACTTTAAATTTTCACAACGATAGAAGATTACATTTGCTAGGATAGATCCACCCTCTCTACCCTACCCTCTCTACCCTATCGGAAATACTATGTCCTCACTTGACCAAAACACGAACCCCTTTAGTTCCGGCTTTAGCCACCGGAATGAAATAGTCGGCATCCATATCAACCGCATTCCTTTTAGTCTCGAAAAGTTCCAAATCGAGCCGACGAAAAACATGAGCCAAGGCCAAATACATCTCGGCATTAGCCAGGTTCATCCCAAGACACATGCGGGGTCCACTTCCGAAAGGCACGAGGTTTTTTGAAAGTCCTCGATGTTGGTCACTTTCTGCCCCACCGTCATCTTGTCCTAGCCATCTTCCTGGTCGGAATTCATCCGGATCTGGGAATATGTTGCAGTCGCGGTGCTGCAAATAGGATGTCATGCTGAATGGGACGCCTGGAGGGATAACATACTTTCCATACTTTATTGGGAAGTAAGGATCAATTCTCACAAGGCGCTGGGAGATACCAAACGACAAGCGGAGAGCTAAAACGAAAATTTGAAAAATTTAAAATTAGCCCAAGGGAAATGAATTTACTTTTAAACTTCCAAATCTCACCTTCTTGGACTACTGCGTGGAGATAAGGCAACTTTTCCAGTCGCGAGAGAGATAGCGGGGAGCCTACAGGGTCTGGCATCGCATCGCGAAGCTCAGCCCGTAGCCGCTGGTAAATCGCTCGATTGTTCAGAATATGGAAGGTCGCCATAGCCAGAGCGGTTTTGGTAGTCTCAATCCCAGCTCCGGTAAGACTAGCTGCTTCTTGCTGAAGGAGGTCGAGAGATTTCTCTTCATTTTGTAGAAACTTCGAATGGAGAAGTTCAGTGAATATTGTGCGGTGATTGTCCGACTTGGTCTTTGTGTCTTTATCCGCCATTAAGCGCTGGATCTGAACTCTAATCTCGCCGTGGAAATCAAAGACAGGCTTCATGTCTGGGTTGAGGATGGCAACGACAGAGGGTGGTAATGATTGCATGAGGGCCAGGAACCATGGGAAGTGACCAGAGAGATGAAGGCTTCGGGCAAGTTTGCGAATTGATGTGGTGAATGGTGTCTGAAAGTCGGGATAATCTAGGAAATTGTAGGACACCCCGAAGCTATAATAGTTGATAACATCGGATGTGAGAGCCGCATAAGCATCATCAAGAGATACTGGAAGATATTTTCCCGCATATTCCATTTCCAGACGTTTGCACATTTGGTCCACGCGTTCTTGTACATATGGAAGGTATTTGAATACTCGTTGACGACTGAAAAACGGAGAGACGGCTTGGCGACGTCGACGGTGATGGTCATGTTCAATCACGTCAAATGTGGACAGAGGAAGCCCAAAGCGATACTTCCAAGCCTTGGGCTTACTGTAACGTGATTTGTTCGAATAAAGGGTCTGATAGAATTCGGCGTCCGCAATGTGCACCTCCCAAGGATTGATGCGAATGATAGGGCCATATTGCTGATGCCACTTCTCTATTTCGAAGATGAATTGCCCTCCTTGAAAAACATCCTTATAAGTTTCATACCATCCAGTGAGAGCGGTCAACTTGGGTCCTGGAAATCGTGCGAGAGGACTTAACAACAGCCGGTATATACCAAGCGCAGTTGAGTAAACAACGACCGCTAAGACGACCACCACAGTTGGAGTGAAAGGATTCATGTTGTTATTCAATATCAAATGATAATAAGAAATATCGATGTGTTCTGGAATTGTATCTTCTATATTTTATGCTCTTCCTAGTAAATACTCGCGATCTGCTCGGGGACTAAGAACCTCCCTCGGGGGCATACAATCAAAAGTCGCCGCCTCAAATCCTTCACCCCAGTAATGCATAAACACTCCTCAATATCCACTTTGAAACAGCTCTAACAATATGGTCGTCCGCATTCTTTGTCTTCATGGAATGGGTGTCAATGGGGACATCTTCTCATTTCAAACAGGTAATACCGCCTTTCGATTTCCATTCATACCTAGGTAAGTATTAAGCTAAGCGGTTTTAGCTGGCTTGCAATCTCAACTCCCATCCAACTATGTATTCTTCTTCGCCAATGCTCCCGAGACTTGTGATCCTGCACCGGGAATGGGTGATTTCTTCTCCGGTCCCTACCGATGCTGGTACAACACTCCCACTACGAGCAAGGTGGCTGCAGCGCATCACTTCGTTCAAAATATCATCGAGCAAAATGGTCCTTTTGACGGGGTCATAGGCTTCAGTCAAGTAAGTCCTCTGGCGCAATTGGATGAGAGGCTGTTTGAAGATCTTGATCAACAACCGAATTTAGGGCGCAGCTGTAGCAGCCTCGATGATTCTCCATCATCAACTGGAGAGCCCAGAAGAACGATCCCTCTTCTCATTTGCCATATTCATTGGTTCACCGATCCCATTTTCCAAGTCCCTAGACCACGGAATCGACCTCCGCGGCTACTTCGGTCTCGAAACATTTCAAAAGTTCCACCAAGTCCGGCCAGGATGTCCAACCGTAATCCCTTCATATCTCGTCACAGACAAGACTTACTTGCGAGGAGAAACAGAGCTGGAGGGGAAGGCATTGTGCGGTCTTTCGGGCTCGTTCTATCAAATGTTTCACCCGACAGTTGATTCAGCTCGTATTTCTATTCCTGTTGCGCATGTTTATGGCTCTAACGATCCTTGGATCCGACATAGCATAGATCTTGTCGGACTTTGTGATAGTGAGAAGACGTATGTTGTTGAGCATGATGGGGCACATGAAATCCCTGGAGTTATTACAGATGAACTGTGCGATGTGGTGGAGAATACAGCCTATATGGCTGGATGCTATTAACCTGGTGTGGAGATACAGATTCTGTATATGGGAAATGGAATCAGTGACAAAGTAAATATATTCCTTGAAAGACCTTCCGTTCCCAGTCCCCATCCTTCCAGTAATCAGAGAGTCCCAAACGATGCCTTGACATGGTCTTGATGGACATTCAGAAAATCAAGAAAACTAACTGGTAGAATTCCCAATTCCGCGGAGAGTTTCTCTACATCAACCTTGCAGCTCTGTTCGTTGAAGTAAGTCTGAGCCCAAATGACGTGGCTTTCACGGGCCAGTCGATCGATTTCGGGTTTCTCCATATACTGCGCGTCCACGGGTCTTCCTGCTACTTCAGCCAGCGCAGCCGCAATCTCCGGGGGTGTGAGGGCCTCAGATGCAATATCGATCTCTCGTCCATGAAATTGTTCGGAGTTAGTCAGAGCGATGGCAGCGAACCGACCCACATCATCCGGGCTGATCAACATGGTTGGCGTGTTGGGTGTCAGAGCAGTGCGAAACACCCCGGTACTGAGCAGTTCTGGGAAGAAGAATGGCGCCAAAGGTTGGAGATAGTTGGACATGAAGGTGCAAGGGCGAAGGATGATCCAGTTATAAATACCCGACGCCCGGACTTGGTTGACGTTGGTCGCTTTACTTAGCCAATATTGCTTGGAGAATTCACAGCTATTCTCCCATCCTGGGAAACTTTCATGCTGGCCTGTCAGGGCAGTGGCACAATAGACGAGAGTGCGGACGGTGCTTCCTGGCTGGGTAGCGGCTTCGATGACATTTCTCGCATGCCGAGTCTCAGCCTCGGGGTCCGTCGGAGACGGAGAGACGTTGAGATAAATTCTTGTAACGCCACATAATGCCAAGCCTAGGCTGCTGGGGTTGTCGAAATCGCCTAGGGCCAATTCGACTTGGAGATTGCGCAATTCCTGCGCTGCAGGGGATGTGATTGATCGCACCAAAGCCCGCACTCGGACATTTAATTTTGATAATGCCCGTATGGTCGCTCTTCCTTGGGTACCCGTGGCCCCGGTGACAAGGATCAAGTCTTCCGACATGGTCAAAGGGAGGTGCAGATAATCTCTGGGGTCCTTGATGATGGCTCGCATACTGGCGTTCGACATCTTTACTTAAATAACCCAAAATGAAACTATACACCGTCGTCACGGTGACTATCAAGGGCCTTCGGGTCATATTCTGTATCACCTATCGGGCTGATTTCTATCTAATTTTCACTCTTCGTTCATGTTACCATCGTTACTATTGATTCTTCCCAAAATTCGAAGCAACCGAGACGTAATCTGTCTCACCTCCCCCACATGGTTATCATTCCTTTGCGATGGATTTGCTCGATCCCGCAAAATACTCATATCCTCTTCGATATCATGCAGCATCTCCCCCAACCGCATGGTAGCATGACGCAAAGCCTCGCGCGCGACAATTGTCATTTCATGACTATCTAGCTGCATATTGCCCAAATGTGCCGTTGCCTCAGTTATAACTACTGCAGGCTTGGTTTCCACTGACCTATCCCTACTTCCGTTGCGAGTGCTGGGTGGATTGTTGGATGTGTCTAAGCCACCCCCGTTAGCCCGCCACTAAGTTGAGTGGATCATGCCGGGCTGAGGATTCACATACCAATACCCACACCGTTAGGTTCCTGGTTCTCTCCCCAGCCTCCGAGGATAGACCCAACCGCTACCTCGTACAGCGTGAGTGTCTTTATCACGGCATCTATCATTGTTTGTAGCATCCGCGCGTCCAGATGCGTCTCTGTTGCGGGGCAGCCATGCAATAGTTCCCAGTGCTCGACCAAAGCTGTCCCGATGGAGAGGACTTCATCTAGAGACATTTGATGGGTGTCTAGTGAAGATATAGTCGAGATGTTTGGGAAGCAATTGAGGGTTTGGGCTGTCCGGTCGATACAGTTGCAAGGCTGCTGGGGTTGAAAGCGCTGCATAATTGGAGTGTTCCGAGCGAACAGTTGAAAGCTGTCCGCTTGTCTGAAAATTTCGTTCTTTAAAATTATTATAAGGGCGGGTTTGCATCGCACTACCTCGCACTACTGGGAATTGAAGGGTTTTGTACAATAGAAACTGACTTGGCAACGCCAACTAACTGACCATTACCTTGCCGATCAACAACAATTAATGCTTTAGGACACTTATGTGCTTCCGAGGAATATGCATGGCACGCATATATGCTCTGGGATTGCGGCAGACGTCAATTTGGATACACGCCACCATAAAGAGGTATCGTATGATGTAGTATTCGGTACAGGAGCCGGGGGCCAGGGGGGTTGACTAGAGGACCATAACAAAGAATGGCCCAAGACAAAAAAAGGGACCTCGAGTTTTGGTCGGGCACTTATTCATATCTCCTCGGGCCTTTTTTCCATATTATTCATCCATCGGGTACTTTCCAATTCTTCCAAGGTTATTCGCTGGGTACTTTTCTGTCCAATCAACGATGTTCGAAAGTACCCGACGCGCATATAACCGTGCCAAGCGCCCAACACACGGCGTATTTGGCCATATTTGGCTGTCACATGTAGGTTTGTTCTAGTGTCAAGAAAGGAGGGGATACTAGCTTGAATGTTTCAACAAGTCACAACTAGTTTGGCAAGATCCAGGCGAATCGGAATGTGTACATCAACGAAAACGTTGTGTCAAAGGGATTGATCCTTCCGGAAAATGCAGGTTTCACATCACCGCTTTCCTCGCCGCCTCCTACTTTGAATCCTACATATGTACTTTGCACACCGCCTCTCTCGCCGACTCTAGGTACTTGCACTTTCTATGTAGGCTGCTAACAAAAACAAGTTACTCCTTCACATCTTCAAAAATTGATACTCAATTCTACCTAGTTAACTACCCATTGGCAATTTCTACTTCTTTCATAGTTACATATTCATACATTTCGTTGTCAATTTAATCATCAACATAGCTGCTCTCTGATTCTGAAAGAATATGGAACTCTTGCGATCGAAATGTAGATTCTTTTAACTATATATGCCATAAAATATATAAAGCAGCAGAAGTTATGACAGAATTCCAATTAGGAACACTGAAGGCTGTACTGGGTTTCAGACATAGAGGGGGTTTTATCAATCTCCTATATTGATGTGCAGTAAGTAAACAAAATCATGTGGCATAATGGTCTTCTTTTTACGAGACCCTGTATAAAATCATAAAGTCATTCAGGTTCGTTCGTTTGGAGCATGAAAAATAAACATATCGTTACCAAACCAGCCACATCGAGATGGTAACAGGACAAGTTCCTATTATTCCGCCAATTCCACTCTTCCTTGTAAGGACTCTACACGGTGGTAAAGGTCTTCGGCGATCTGCTTCGCAGATCCTTGTATAACACCTCCTCCGGGCCCGACAAATCTCCTGATATCGACCAACGTAGCCAAGAGTTTCCCGATTCGACGCCGTAAGATCTGTCTCATAGCTCGTGATTTGGCCTCGCTTCCCACTCTAAACTTTCCCAGGAATAGATCACAGTTTGCCTCCGGAACGGGACAGGTAATATTTCGATCGAACGCGCCACGTATAGAGCGCTCAAAGCGAGCAGCAGACTGATGAGCCGATAAAGTCCTCGTTCCGCTGGGGGAAATGGGATTGGAGTTTATCGGCCATGCAGTTCGAAAAATGCGCTCCCTCTCGTGCGCGGAGATCGCTGCTCGGCGAAAGAGATCTTCGAAAAGGGAGACAACACATTCTGCAAGCAAGCTCAAGGCCATCAGGCTGGAAGGCCGTGAATAAAGACATCCTTCGTCTTCGGGTACATCTCTACCACATTTAAACAATTGCTCTTTGAGTAGGCGAGTGTCCCGCTCGGCTGTCATGACCACATCAATTGTTAGGAGCTTTTTGTCCGTGCCACGAGAATGTTCGAGCAAGGCGAGACGACGGAGAATAGTTAAGTAGCATTGACCCTGACATGGGCCATCGGACTCGGAAGCTGGTCGGGTAGTGGTGCGTGAACTGAGACTACCATTTCGATTGCTTGGCGTGGCGAGCGAGCCGATTTCTCGGTCGCGATCATTGCTGAGAGAGGTATGTCTGCTATGATCGTCGGGCTGTCTCCAATTCTGTGAAGAGCGCATTGAGGGGTTTTGAGGCCATGAAGAATTCGCTGGAATTGATGGTTCCGCAAATAGGTCTGATGATGAGAATATGGCCGAGCGAGAGATTGAGGATGAAGCGAAACTGGTAAAATCAGGGTCGCGAAGTCCAGCCGTATCCCCAGACGCTTGATCCCTCCTTGAATGGTGCCTAGCGGACTGGGAGTTGCCAGTACAATTGGCGGTGTCAGTTGTGTTTCTATTTAGAAGCTCTGGCAATTCTGACTGGGAATCCTGGAGGCTGAGGCGCCGTCCCATGGCTGCTTCTGGAGGACTTGATAAAGGTAAAAGGTCATTGAACGCATATGAAGTCGTTGTATTAGTGGCCGGAGCAATATTTTGCGTCATTGGCCAAGAGGCGCTTTCCAGGCCCAATTTCTTCCTCTTCAACTCATTCGGGTTCCGCCTAGGCGGAGCGGCAGTGGGTAACTGACGCGGTAAGAACGGAAGTTGACAGTCGATCGAGGATTGGATGTCCTCCATAAATGCATCCTGGTATATATTGCCCAAACCACCTCTCTGGGAGGCTATGCCGGGGCAGCTCACAGAGCTCGCCAGTCGATCAGTTGTGTCAGATGCGAATGGAGTATCATGCATAGAATCAGCCAAAGATAATGAAATCGTGGTGGTTGAATCGGGCCACTGGCTCATAACATCCTCTTCTTCCGTGGCTAGAGGCGCCGTGTCTTCTGTCTGGGCAGGTTGGGCATCCGAATCTCCACTCGGAAATTGAGCACCCCGAGACGAAGCATCTCGCTTTCTAGGTCTTCCCATGCGACGGAGTGGGCTATATACACAATGAAGTCCGTGCTTCACACAGCGGTCACACTCGGGCTTGTTTTGGCTGCATTTGATTTTCAAGGATTGGCAGGCGTCGCACGACGTGCGAAGTCGTGCCTGGGAAGACATGATTGGACCAGAATAACAGCATCGGGTGATTTATAATGACGCTCAGTCAAGTTTCATAGAGACCTCGGGAGATCACCAGGTCAATAATTTAGCGGGGTTGATGGTCTCCAGGCTGCGACCTTCAGAGCTCTGAAGACTGCTGACAAATATGTTCTGGGCCCCAACTCGGGAAGGTAACCCGATGTATCCGGTTGTGCTTTGTTCCTCAGTTTTACGTGCATGGGCTGTGAGACCAGGGGATCTAGAGACTACCGTAGAAGCAAAGGCGACAAATATGTTCTGGGCCCCTCTCGGGAAGGTAGCCCAATGTATCCGGTTGTGCTTTGTTCCTCAGTTTTACATGCATGGGCTGTGAGACCAGAGGATCTAGAGACTACCGTAGAAGCAAAGGCCTGAAAGAGTCTCTGTAGTGCGTGAGGAGAGAAAGGAACTATCTAGGAGAGACTGATAGATAAATGAGAGAAGTCACGTGGCATCAGTTTGTTTTCAAGCGCACTCCGTACAAATGTTACATATGTATGTTATATTAAGGCGCTAGCAAGTTACAGGAATTGATGTTACATGCACTAATGCAATCTGACGCACACACGGGAGACTCATTTGTCGAGCTGTTGCTAAAGACGGAGTATGCATTATGAACCGCCCCAACGGAGCGCGGGGGTAGGATTGTTCGACCGATAGATAATAGTAATGATACTACATGTACATACATACAAGGTACCTAGTTAGTAGGTAGTGATGATACAAGACAGTACGCACTATAATTTGTATTGCTTTTAACAACCCCCTAGCATAGGGTCGTATGGCGAAACAATCAATCCATGATTGTATACGTACTCGTCATCTTCAGGCCCCCAACGGTGAAAACGCTTTGATGTATGTGGAAGATAGCATATGCTATGCAGGCTTACTTGCATAGTGCAGATAGTAACTAGTTAGTTCTGACTTGGCACCGATAATGACAAGGATCGACAGCCACGCGGTTGCTCTAGGAGGATTTAGATCAATAGCACCCTCCTCTACTTCATCCCAGAGTATGAAAATGAGCGTTCTGCATTTTTATTCGTTCTTCTGCTACATACATATATTATCGCGTCGTTACACTCATCCATTTAATTAACCGACGACTTTACACAACCGGCCCCCCTTCTCCAACCTCCACTTTTCACTGCCCACGCCAAGTGGTGCCCAGAACAATCCTTCGGGGTCCCATCGATATTTCACTCCACTCAGAATATCCCAATGGGCCCCATAAAACTCGACTTGCCAGTCCTCCAATTGGAAATCGGCTTCGTTCATGTACGACCCAACTGCTGGCCCAACCCCAGCGTGTCTCTTTAGCGCCGGTCCAACCACCCGGGTCATCTCCTCCGCACGTGAAAGCCCATCCGCGCGAGGGGTAGAATAGTTCCACGCCGATTGTGCCAGGACCGTCAGAGCTGCATGACGCCACGCGGGAAGAACGGCATTGTTTGCTACAGGTTGCACAGGTGTAATTCCTTTTTGAGTTTGGTTAACGTTGAGAGCGACAAACCCAAGAAATGCATGCGTGTCTTCGGTGATTCGTCGAACGGTAGCCAGTAGAGAGTGCGGTCGCTCGTCAAGCTCCACACGCGGGATCAGCCGTCCTCCGAAGAGTTGACCCACCGGGTATGCACCCCAAGGCAAGGGTCCTTGGTATTTGCGGTAATGGTTGTAGAAGTTGGCCTCAGAGCTAACCTGCAATGTGTACCGTATATGCATGTCATCGAGCCGTGACTTCAGTGGGGCCAGCAATGTCTCCATCTCGGCAGCAGTCTGAATTCCCTCTATTGTGATAGGATGCACAAAAAAAGCGTCTTTTAAGATGGCGTAACCGGCTGTGGCCCCGCAGTCCAAGAGAGCTGGGAGTTCTTCTTGCCAGGCTGCAAAGGAGGCCCAGTAGGCATCATCATTGGCCTGATCTTGTCGGGATATGACCATACTGGCGCCTCCCACGGGTACCTCATCGGGAAATGCCCGGACGATGACAGATATGACAAATGCAAAAACACCCCCACCGCCCCCGCCAAGAGCCCAGTACAGCTCGGTGTGTTCAGTCGGCGAAGCGATTATGTGTCGCCCATCTGCTGTCACAACCTCCCATTCCAGTGCCTGATCTGCCGCCATTCCATATGATGAACTCAATGGACCATGTCCTCCGCCTTGGATGTAACCCCCAGCAATGCCAACACTCGGGCAGAACCCTGCTACGATGCGCAGCCCGTTCTCATGAGCAACCCTCACCGCATCCGATCCCATAATACCTGCACCAAGGCGAATTGCACTACCGTTGTGGTTTTGACTTTGATAATTTGGGATCACTTCAGACGAAGAAAGATGGTGAGTCCACAATGACAATGTCCCGCGTGCCGGCGCTGATTTCCCCATGTATTCATGTCCTGTATTTTTTATTACGATTCGGACATTGTGCTCACGGGCAAAGTCAAGGCTGGCGTGTACTTCATCCACCGAACTAATATTGACAGCCATCTGGACGTGTTCATTCACGTGGCATTGAATTTCGGATTCTTCAAAAGGATCACAGGGATTGTTGCCGGCGTTCTGAAAGAAAGCACTCATAACCGAAGTTGGAGAGTTGATGCTGCTATCCTTTAGCCCAATTTGGTCCGCAGGAAGGTCTGGGAACTCAACTGGATTCTAGGCCATTCCCACTCTCCTCGAATCTCCTCGCATTTTGTCGAATTATACTGAGGCTGGTGACATGGTGCCCCGATGGGAGTTGATGCGATGAGTCGCCCTTTGATAGTCGAGTTGAAGTCCGCCCATTGCTGTGGACTAGGCCAACAAGCATCTCCAGGGACACAGCGACAAACGTTTGATTTATGCTCAAATAGAGATATGGGGGACCAGCATCGGTCATATAGCAGAGTAGCCAAAACACCAATCAACACCGCGATTGATGACCAATGCTTGAGGTTTAACTGCTGCATAATGGCCTTCCCGAGGAAATCTCACCTTGAAACAAAGAAAAAACAGGCCCATTATCAATATTTCATGGTTCGTCATGGTACCAAAGCTGGTGACCTAGCTAGGTTTCTAATCAGAATTGGTCCAATCGGGTACTTTTCTGACCCCTATATAGTAAACCATCGGGTACTTTTCTTTCTCTCACAGCTTGAAGCTCAGTGGGTATTTAACAGAGATTCCTTGCTATTTCAACAATATTTTGCTATCCTCCCGGCTACTATTGATTGTGCATCGCTACATTCACTCAAAACCATGTCGGAGACAAACTCGAACCTGGTTACAGACACCAAAGAGGAAAGAACCGATACGCCCTCTGAGTCTCAAGATGAACTGGCACCGGTTAAGTACCCATCGGGACCAATTTTGGTCATAATTGTCATCGCATTGATGCTGAGCATGTTCCTGGTAAGTCCATAGCATACTCTTATGGATACTAATACCAAGCTAACTTTGGGATTTCAGGTCGCCCTTGATATGGCAAGTACCCGAATCATGAACAATCTCCAAGACACCCTGCTAACTCTAAGTCAAGAGTATTATCTCCACTGCGATCCCGAAGATCACGACCCAGTTCAAGAGCATGGAAGATATCGGATGGTACGGCAGTTCCTTCTTTTTGACACTTGCCGCTTTCCAATCCGCCTGGGGTCATGTATACAAGGGCTTCTCCCTGCGCGGCTCTTTTCTGGCGGCTATTGGCATATTCGAGATTGGAAGTTTGGTCTGCGCTTTGGCGCCCAACAGTATTGCGTTGATTGTCGGACGGGCCATCCAGGGCATAGGGGGAGCCGGTCTCACTGGCGGGTGCTACACCATTGCAGCTTTCATTGCGCCCCCAAAGAAAGTCCCCATACTCATTGGCTTGCTGGGGTCTACATTCAGTGTAGCGAGTATTGCAGGACCTCTGCTGGGAGGCGCCTTTTCGCAGCATGTCACATGGCGTTGGTGCTTCTACATTAACCTTCCCATCGGTGGCGTGGCTGCCGGGGTCTTGCTTTTCTTCTTCCGCACCCCTGACCAGGCCAAATCCGGAATGGGAAGGCCACTGAAGGAGAAACTGCAACAGTTCGACTTCATCGGTCTGGTAGTCTTGCTGGCAGGTTTGATCTGCTTTTTCCTGGCCCTACAGTGGGGAGGAGTCACGAAACCGTGGAGCGACGGCTCCGTCATCGCTTGTCTTGTTTTATGGGTTGTCCTGACCGGTGCTTTCCTCGGTATCGAGTGGTGGCAGCAAGACCGTGCGCTGATGGTTCCGCGACTATTGGCGAATAGGAATATCGGCGCCTGCTGTGCCTTTATCTTTTTGTGAGTTTTGCTCTCTTTTGCGTCACGATCAAGCCTCGAGAACAACATCTGACAAAATCAGCCTCAATGCCGCCAACTTCTCGTTGATCTATAATCTTCCAATCTATTTCCAGGCCATTAATGGAGACTCTCCTATGACCAGTGGGATCAAAAACATCCCAACCATTCTCTCAACATGTCAGTTCCGGTCTCCTTGCATTTATATTCAGTGGGACTTGAACTAATAGACAGAAAGCCATCGCAACTTTCTTATCATCTGCCATTGTCACTAAGGTCGGATACTACCAGCCATTCTTGCTAGCCGGCAGTATACTAGCCACTATCGGCGCGGGCTTGATCTACACCTTCGATCTGACATCCGGTCTGGGCCCTATTATCGGATATCAAATTCTGTACGGTACAGGCACCGGACTCTCAGTTCAGATCCCTGTTGTTGTAGCAGGAGCATTGAGCTCAACAGATGACCAGGCCATTACCATGGCGACTGTTCTATGTACGTCCAAATGTATTCAAGATACCAACGGTCAACCCACTGACCCGTTCATAGTCTTCCAGTTCATCTCGGCCGCTTACGGTGTCGGCTCCACGGATTCGATCATGAACAACCTACTTCTGAAAAATATACCCAAATATATGAAGGGCATCAATCCTGAGGAGGTCATCGCTGCCGGTTCAAGCGGGCTTGAAGAAGTCTTCTCGGGCTCAACGCTTCTTGGTGCGCGACGCTCCTACCTTGATGGTCTGCACGGCAGTTGGGCCATGGGAATTGCGCTCTTTGGCGTGACATTTTTGTGTGCCCTCATTCCGAAGCGGGGAGGCAAAGTCCCGCGGCCGGGTGAGCAAGGTGGAAAGGATAACCAGGGCAACTTTATTCCTATGGCCTAGTTGGTTTGAACTGGGCCTTGGTCTAAATTTGGTAGTGGAGTCTCTAAGCTTTTGAGTTTCGGGTTTCGGGAGATTTATACACTTCGGCTTGTGGAGACAAGAGTTATGCATACAATGTTGTAGATATGAGATATAGATTGTAAAATAAAAGAGATTAGGTACGGTGAGGACTGACTGCTCTTACCTAGTTATAGTTTTGATAATTCATAAGTCCATTCTAATAAGATATTTCTATAAGTATCTATATGTTTAAGACTAAATTGGAAGTTCTTCCCTTAGCCCTTCGTTATCACTTATAGTCTGGTATGCTTTCCTCTAGGCGGTTTACCTGTGGTAAGTCCTAAGCGGCTCCGTATCTTCGGGTGTTTAGCCGGACCGGATCATAAATGATAAGTCCTATATTGCGACCGATTCTAGCAGAGTTTACCTGTACTCTAAGGAAGATGAGATTATTGGTTATAAGGATGTGGAGGAGAGTGTCGCTTATACTAAGAATTTGGGCTACTCGGTTGATCTTGAGATGTTTGAGGGCTCGTCCCATATGGGCCATATGAGACTTTATCCAGAACAATATTGGAATAAGATTTCCAGCTCTTGGAAGCAGGCCATGGCGGAGAAATAATGTGCTGTGGGGACTGGATATATTGTGTTGTTGTGTGCATTTGTATTTATAGTTTACACCATGTTTAATAATTATATAGAGCCATTTCATTCACAGATTCATTGATATCACTTGCTACTAGTTCCAGAACAAGGATGATCTCCAGATTGGCCAAGCCTCGAGTCCGGGGGATCGTGGGGTGTCGATCGAACCCTGTGTGAAAGATGAACGTGCGATGAAATATGGATTCGATCTCAAGCCTTCAAAAGTGCCATCTGCTCCCGTAGAAAGCCCGCCTGCATTGCTGAAAGTGCCGGAAAGTCCTCTCCACTCAAGACGTCCAAATGACCCTTTCCAGGCGCAATATGCACCTTTTTCGGTTCAGGGAAAGTATCAAACAAAGCGAACTGCTCTTCCGGTGGTGAGATCATATCCAGCTCCGGCACCACCATCAACACAGGGGTTGGATCCATATATTTCATGATGCCATGCGGCTGCCACATAACGATCTTGTAATATGTTTGCAATGTGGTATGATTTTCGTGGTTAGGAGCCCCCCGCGACTTTGCATTAACCATGTAATCGAATTCCTCTTTGTCGGCACCAATGCCCATTCCTGCTGGGTTCTCCCCTGTCTCCGTAAGGACAGGTAGATACATAGCAGCATTGCCGGAAATTTGGGACTCTCGGTCCCGCATACTCTTCGCCAGCACGCGGGGGAACTTTTCCGGTGTTAATTCGAAATTGAGTAGAGGGCAAATTGAGATGCAGAGTTTAGCTCGTTTGTCGAGCGCTGCAGCGCAAAGCGCAATCGTTCCGGCGAATGACTGTCCCCAGAAAGCGATACTTTCTGGGTCCACGATAGAAACGCTCCGCATAAAGGTCATTGCATCCGAGTAATCTGACACCTGCATCATGGGGTCGACGTTGTTTCGAGGCTCGCCCTCACTCTCGCCCAGTGTGCGCGGATCGTAGATGAGGGCCGTGATACCTTCTGCTTGAAATCGCTCGGCAACCTCAGGCACGAACATCTCCTTCACGCAATTAAACTGAGGATGCAGGGTTAGAATATACAGCAAAGTGGAAATACTATCGAACGTACTCCAGGTGTCATTATTATTCCGGGGCCACGCTTGTCGGCAGGATAGAGCCTACCGACCAGTGTGAGCCCATCGAGGGTTTTGAAGCTGACATCTTCCACAATTGGCGCCATTTTTATATCTTTTCGTGTACAAAGCTCTCTCAGAATGGCAGACTGGCTCTGTTATGCTCTGCTCTGCTATGTGGATGTCTATCAATATAAGGGTTTAGAGTCGCCTTGACTTCTACATTGTCGCCGAACCGTCGGCTGCCGATACCACCTGCGGACAACCCAGCTAGTTCCACAAGGTCCTAGGACCTTCATGTACCTAATCAAATGGGACATAAAGCAATATTTTCTCGAGTTCTGATCCTCTACCGTGTTACTTTGCATAGGCCCGGATAACGCAAAAGACCCGAGAGGCGCAGGATAAGGTTTCGTTCCTGATACAGTTCACGCTATTAGCCGTGGACTTTTTATTATCCAGTACTATATCCATGGATTGGTTATCTTATGCGGGTCTAACCGGGTCAAGGATGAAATGCATCTTGCGTGCATTTCCTACACATGCGAGGCTCATTGGAACTCGCACATACGTCCCCCTCGAGTTTGACCTCTGCCAGTAGCTCAATATAAATCGTAGGAGAAAACAGTTCGAAGCCGGCAACTACTTGCTGTCTAATCTGTGACTACGCCCAATCGAAGGTCCTTAAAAGCTACCGGACCCGAGATACTAAATGCTGACAAGGTCACCATCAGCCGTTCACTAAATCACTTGTTCGAAAAGACACGGAGCGGCTACTTTCTGATGGCTTGCCAAACTATGGTATCTCTTCCCTATCGGCACATTTTTTCTCGCTCTTTTGGAGGACAAAAAAGGCAGGCCGTGAGATTGCGAGAATATACTACGTCGTAGATATATAACTAGGATAGTGGGATATCCAGTTTAAGTCTGTTCACAAAACAAAATCATTTGGGTTTACAATTTATTATTTCCAATTATGACAATCAACAACCCCAACAGGGAAGTTCCTTACAAGACCGTGGGCCACGATGAGCCATTGGCTCCCCCATACAATGCGAGAAAAGCATATCTGCAGGAGCCAGTTGCAATTGTGGGCATGGCTTGCCGTCTTCCTGGTGAAAGCAACACCCCAAAGGCGTTATGGAATTTCTTAATGAAGGGTGGTGTCGCGAAGAACACACCTCCTGAATCACGATTCAACATAGCGGGACACCACGATGGCTCTAAAATGCCAAAGACCATGCGATCACCAGGAGGCATGTTCCTTGAGAACATCGATCCACAGGAATTTGATGCTTCATTTTTCGGTATATCGCATGTGGATGCAACTGCCATGGACCCTCAGCAGAGGCAGTTACTGGAGGTTGTGTACGAATGTCTCGAGAACTCGGGGTTGCCTCTGGAGTCTTTGGATGGAGCCCCTGTCGGATGCTTTGTCGGCTCGTATTCTGTGGGCAAGTGGGATCCGTCAAAACCCCAATTTTCCGTTCCTAATATCTCATCTAGACTATGAGCACATGCAATCTCGTGACCCAGAAGATCGTGCTCCCACCGTTACCGTTGGTGTTGGACGGGCAATTCTCAGCAACCGTATTAGTCATTTTCTTAACATCAAGGGTCCCAGGTACGTTGAGACAGAGACCGGGATATCGAAATATTCTAACATAACAAAGTATGACTGTGGACACAGCCTGCTCGGGCAGCTTGGTGTCTGTGGACCTTGCGTGTCGTTATCTAACAACTGGTGAGATTGACGGGGCGATTGTGGCGGGGGCCAATATGTACCTGAGGTGAGAGATACACATTCACGATGCATTAAACATATAGACTGACATTGGAACCAAGTCCCGAGCACAACATGGATAGTAAGTGCGCAAAACAGCAAATACCATAGCTCCCAGCTAACATGTGAATACAGGCGGTGCAATGAAAGGAGCGTCCTCGCTCTCAGGTAAATGTCACACGTTTGATGAGAAGGCAGACGGCTATATCAAGGCTGAGGGTGTGAATGCTGTGATGTTGAAGCGCCTTTCCGATGCTATTCGCGATGGTAATCCCATCCGGGCTGTCATCCGAGGCAGTGCCACTAATAGCGATGGCCATACCGCGGGGATTGCGAGTCCGAGTGCCGAGGCGCAGTCAATGGCCATTCGAGCCGCCTACGCCAATGCCGGACTGTCTAGCTTCCACCACACTTCTTACATAGAGTGTCATGGAACTGGGACACAGGTGAATTCCCCCACGCCATGCCTTGTACTTGGGACCTGTTTGCTAACGTTGATGATTAGGCCGGCGACCCGACAGAGGTCAGTGGTGTCTCATCTGTGTTTACTCCTGGGCGCGACAGCGCGAGGCCCCTGTATATTGGGTCAATCAAGAGTAATATCGGCCATTCCGAACCTGCAGCGGGTATTTCTGGCCTGATTAAAGCGGTACTCTCTATTGAGAATGCTATGATTCCTGGCAATCCGACTTTCATTAATCCAAACCCGAAGAGTAAGTTTCATCTTATATCTATGTCATTCATCTGTTTTCTGTTTTGGTCCCTCTTTTACTGCTACCCTTTGGAGTTAGCACAACTAACTTTATGAACAGTCGATTTTATAGGACTTAATGTCCAAGCATCACGTATTGCTCGTCAGTGGCCCGATATGCCTTTCCGTCGGGCCAGTGTGAACTCTTTTGGGTATGGAGGCTCAAATGCCCACGTCGTTGTGGAAGAGACAGGCTCATTCACAAACATCAAGCATGTCTCGTCTTATCAAACGAAGGCAGATAATATGTTTGATGAGGATGACAATACACGGGCGACACGGCCCTTCCTCATTCCGCTCTCTGCAAACGACGACCAATCTCTCATGTCTTACTTTGATAGACTTCGAATACATCTCATGGATCTCAATGTTAAGGTTGAGATGTCTAGTTTGGCACACACCTTATCGGATTGCCGATCAAAGTTGTATCACCGGGGTTACATTGTCACTCAGTCGACGAATCTCGATGAAGCCGCGTTTGTTCATGGAAAGAAAACTGCGGAGCCTCCAAGAATTGGTTTTATTTTCACCGGCCAAGGTGCTCAATGGCCCCAAATGGGCAAAGATCTGGTTGAAACCTTCCCGTCTGCACGGCTCTTGCTGCGCCAACTCGACTTGGTTCTCCAACGTCTTCCAGATCCCCCAGCATGGAGTTTGTTAGGTGGGTGGTCTCGCTTATCCCTTTCTTCGCGGATCTCCCCCCGCACCCAGTCGCCCGGTTTTTCTTTTTCGGTTGAATCTAATGTGCGATAGATGAGCTTATCCAACCTCGGAGCGCTGAGACCCTGAGACAACCAGAGTTCTCGCAGCCACTGGTGACCGCACTGCAGCTTGTCATAGTTGAGATTCTCCAAAACTGGGGTGTATGTCCCCAAAGCGTTGTCGGCCACTCTTCTGGCGAGATTGCTGCAGCTTGTGTCGCAGGACTTATTTCTAAGGAAACTGCTATCATTGCTGCTTTCTATCGTGGCTATGCGGCGACAAGAGCACCAAAGCAGGATCTTGGAATGCTCGCTGCCGGTATCTCGGCTGCTGAGTTCCCAAACTACACTAGTGGTATTAAAGATGCTGTCTCGATTGCATGCTTCAATAGTCCGCAGAGTATCACCGTTTCGGGGACCATTCCAGCGTTGGAACTGCTCCGACTGAACCTTGTCAGAGACAACAAGTTTGCACGCCTGCTCCAAGTTAATCTCGCATACCACTCCAAGTATATGAAAGATATTGGCGATGACTATGATACCTTGCTATCGGCCCAGGTTGAAGCCCAATCTCCTGGGAACAAGGGAATTCGCATGTTCTCATCTGTCACCGGAGGTCTCCTTGAGGGGCCTGTATTCGTGAACTATTGGAAGGCAAATATGACCTCGCCAGTTTGCTTCGATCGAGCGGTCCAAGAAATGCTCTCTGTTGACTCGAGTCCCGATTTTCTGATTGAGATAGGGCCGTCTGGAGCCTTGGCTGGCCCAATATCCCAAATTATCAAGGCCCTCCCGAACGAAGCTGCAAGCGTCCAATATACCGCTGCCCTTTCTCGGGGACGCGATGCAATAAAAGCTACATTCGATGTTGCAGGAAAACTATTCATAGCCGGAGGTACCGTCAATCTCTCAAACGTCAATCAGCTAGGTGGCGAAGGTGAAGTTGCCCCAGCTGTGATTGTTGATCTGCCCAATTACGCCTGGAATTACTCAACCAAGTACTGGTATGAGAATGAAGCCAGCAAGGATTGGCGCTACCGCTTGTTCCCACACCATGTGCTCCTTGGTAGCAAGATCCTGGGTTCATCCTGGAATGAGCCTGCATTCAAGAAGACTTTGGAAGTAGAAAACCTGCCGTGGCTTCGGGACCACAGAGTAAGTAGCGCTATTATTACAGGACTGGGAGCTATAGGCTAATATTTATGAATTACAGATGGGGCCTGACATTGTCTTCCCTGCCGCTGGGTTTGTTTCAATGGCTATAGAGGCTATTCGCCAGAAGACAGAGGCATTGAATATTTTGGATGGAAAGCCAGGTCCCAAAGTACCAAGTTATCGACTCCGAAACTTGACATTCAATAGGGCTCTCGTGTTGGAAGAACGTAAGCCGTGCAAAGTCATGCTTACCCTTACCCCAAAATCTGGAAGCGGCACGGCCTGGCATGATTACAAGGTTTCTTGCCTGGTGGAGGGCGTATGGCGCGAGAATAGCGCTGGTCTGATTCAGGTTACCAACCAAGTTGAGCGTGGTACGATGAGTGCGCCATCTCCAACTACGCATAATAATAGCTAACAGTCCTCAAGTTGCTTCGGCTCATGATATTCGGAATCTGGAATATCCAGCGGATGGACGGTTATGGTACAAGGCCATGAACGACATCGGATATAATTTTGGTCCTGCATTCCAGAAACAGCTTCAGGTCGAATGCACCTCAGGCGAGCGAAATAGTCGATCCGTTGTTTCCCTGGAAGAGCCCGATACTAGCATCCTTCCGTCAGCCTTTGCTCTGCATCCAGCCTGCATTGATGGCTGTTTCCAGACATGTGCACCCTCGTTGTGGAATGGTAACCGCAGCGATGTCAATGCCGTTTTGATCCCGGCCATTATTGACGATATCATTGTCAACCAACGGCCTGAAATCTCCAAGACCGGCATAGCAGTCTCAAGCTCGGCGTACGTGGGTCTAGGTCGCCCCGATGAGACCAAAAGCTACTTGTCGAATTCGTCGGTCTATGCTAAAGAAACTGGACAACTTCTTTTCCAGGTCTCAGGACTCCGCTATCACAAGTTGGATGTTCGTGAGGAGATTTACTCAAGACATGCTTACAGCAAAGTGGTATGGAACCGGGATATCACCTCTCTCTCTGACTTCACAGATATATCAACGCTCTTAGGAATTGACAATGGCGATGAATCTCTCACTGATGTTCATCATATCGTGGATATGGCTTCTCACAAAAAGCCGCATCTGAGCGTTGCAGAAATAAATGTCAGGTCCAACGATCCAACTAGCATCTGGCTGGATGGAAGTCTGTCAGACAGTTCTTGTCGTCGATCCGCTCAGAACATTCAGGTCATGTTTGCAGATCCAGGAGCACTTTTGGACGCCCAGGAGACATATTCCTCTCACGAAAATGCTCATTTTGTTCTTACGGATCTTGCTAGCGAGGGATATATCCCCAACGGACAGACCACGTTTGACCTCGTCGTCCTCAAGGTGGTAGGTCACACCGCCATGGATTCCCTTGGTTACAAACCTGAACATAAATTGATACGTTTGCGTATTTAGAGTGGAACCGACGAGCACTACAGGCAAATTATCGACAACACCCGCAAGCTTCTTGCAGATGGCGGGCACTTGTTGGTTGTGGATTACGACGGGAATGGTAAGGCCTTTGACCTCCGGGCTTGGACCAGACTTTTCAAATTAATCATGACAATAGATGAGCACACTACGACCAGAAAGGGGCAAACGGCCACGTCTGTAGATACCAATGGCAATGACATTCCCCATGGGAACGGCGGAACCAGTGATAGCAACTCCGACGGATTTGAGATCCTTGATTCAACTGAAAGGCCCCGCACCCAACGACATTCATTGATGGATCGAAAAGATCTCACGTGTCTTGGTGCGAGGTTTTATCCTTCTATTGATGGCAACATCGGATCAATCGTTCTGGGTCGGGCAGAAGCCATTCGCGAGCCAGTTTCGGGGTCTGTTAGCCTGCTCCAATTTTCCAAGCCAGTTATCGCGAGTTTGAAGCTTCAAGCAAGCCTTGTCGCTGCTGGATGGAACGTTAGCCAGCATGAAGCACCTTTTGACGATATCGATCTGGAGTCGATCGGCATCGTGGTGGAGTTTGGTGATTCCATTCTGCCAACAATCACTGAACCCAACTGGGAAGCCCTTAAGGCAATTATTAGCTCTGGAATGAAGCTTTTGTGGGTAACTGAAGGGTCTCAGATGGAGGTTACTAATCCCAGCAAGGCCATGATTCATGGGTTGGGAAGAACTGTGCGAGCTGAGGATCCATCTGTCAGCCTTACCACGCTCGACGTGGAAGGTGTCTCCAATACAGCGACATTCAATGCTCTTGTTACTGTCCTCAAAAGGATTCAAAGTCCCCGAACAAAAGATCACATTGAAAGTGAATACGTCGAGAGGGGCGGTTATCTTCATGTCCCTCGAATCCTGCCAGACAATGTCATAAACAAAGCCGAGGCAGAAGTTGTTGATGGGCGACCCCCCGTACTCCAGTCCCTTCATTCTGCAGAGACAACGATCAGGCTTCAGTGCGAGCGAGTGGGCACAATTGATACCATTCAGTACAATGAGGTGGCCCCGACAGAGCTTCCTCTTGGGGAAAACTTGGTTGAGGTGGAGTTGTTCGCAGCGGGATTGAACTTCAAAGTGAGCGAAGCCTTTTATAATATCCATGTCGTGCCAACTAACCATTTCATACCAGGATGTGGCTATCACCATGGGGATCGTACCTGAGAACGAACATCTACTCGGCCTAGAAGGCGCCGGCCTCATCCGACGAGTCCATCCATCAGTCACCAAATTCAAGCCCGGAGAACGTGTGTTGGTCTTCAAAAAGGGTGCCTTTGCCAATCGCGTCATAGCAACGGTCGAGAGAACGTACCATATTCCAGACTGGATGTCATACGAGGTAAGTATACATCTTATCTACTGCCGAAACGCGGTTCTAATGTTGCCTATAGGAGGCTTCTACCCTGGCGAGCGTCTACCTCACCGCGATGTACAGTATCAAGGATCTCGCCAATACCCAAAAAGGCCATGTAAGCTTGATTCTCCGGGGTTATACATGAACCATTGTCTGACTGAATCTAGCGAGTCTTGATCCATTCCGCCACAGGGGGTCTGGGCCAAGCTTCAATTCAAATTTGCCACAATATTGGTGCAGAGGTTTATGCCACTGTAGGAAATGACGAGAAGAGAAAGTTTCTAGTGGACCGATATGGGATCCCAGAGGACCGAATCTTCAGTTCGCGCTCTACTGACTTTGCCAGTGAGTTGATGCATGCTACGCATGGTGCGGGTGTTGATGTAATTCTCAACTCCTTGACGGGTGAGCTAATGGAGGAATCGTGGCGGTGCATTGCCGCCGGGGGTACTATGGTCGAACTCGGTAAAAAGGACATGCTGGACAGAAACTACCTATCTATGGAACCTTTTGGTCGCAACGCATCTTATCGCTGCTTTGATATGTCCCACGCTCATGTTTCTGATACTCTTATTGCGAGGTGAGCTTGACAAATCTCAGGTCGGAAGACATGAGTTCAGTCGTGGTTTGCTAATTTTGTTTATATAGACTCCTCGACCAGACCATGGACCTCATCAAAAAGCGGCAGCTTACACCCATTGGTCCTATCACAACATTCTCATTTGCAGATATTCCTTCCGCATTCAGATATATGCGTGGGGGCAAACATATCGGAAAGATTGTCATTTCTGATGGACCGAACACAGATGTTCAGGTTGCGGTATGGCTCTTCATGAACCCTCTCCGGGCTTAGTACTAACCTCCACATTAGGCCCGTCCTGCGCAAAAGTTATTGGTCCTTCAAGAAGATGTGTCGTACTTGATTGTTGGTGGTCTTAAGGGCCTCTGCGGCACCATAGCCACACAGCTAGCCCGACATGGTGCTAAACACTTGGTTATTCTTTCTCGCAGTGGATGCGATGACGAAAGGTCCCAGGCGGTGTTGAAAAATCTCAAGGCTATTGGGTGTTCTTTCACTCTCGTTACCGGCGATGTGGCGAAGAAGGCCGATGTGACACGATGCTTTAAGGAGGCGCCCCTTCCTATCGGAGGAATCATCCAAGGAGCCATGGTTTTAAGGGTAAAACCCCCCTACCACTCTAATTCCTGCGCTTTTGTCAAACTAATCAATATAAAAGGACCGTGTCTTCACCTCGATGACCATCAGCGAGTATTACCAAGCAATTGAGGCCAAGTTGCAAGGTTCATGGAATCTACACGATGTTTCCATTGAGACAGGATCCATGATTAACTTCTTCACCATGCTTTCCAGTATTTCAGGTGTTGTTGGTCAGAAGGGACAGGCCAACTATGCCGCTGCCAATGTGTTCCTGGACAACTTCGCCCGGTACCGCCGCAAGCAGGGTCTGAAAGCTTGCTCTGTTGACCTGGGCGCCATTGACGACATCGGATACATGTCGGAGCACAAAGATCTACTGGTGGCCCTCGACACCGCAGCCTGGACGCCCATCAATGAGTCTCTTTTCAACAAAATTCTTCGCGTGGCTCTTCTGCAAGACATTGCGCCTTTGAATGCACACAGTAATGGTCAATTGATCACCAGCATTGCCGTCCCCCAGGAGGAAAACTCGCGCCTCCTAGCTGATGCACGATTTGCAGGTCTCTGTTTCAGAGACCAGACTAGTGGCTCTGGAGGCTCTGCTGCAGCTGACGAGACCAAAGAGCTGCAGGCGCTCCTTTTGCTGCTCAAGAATGGCGCTCCACAGGCGGCTCTTATGGGGGCCGCCATTGAGGCCGTCAATAAACAATTCATGGTCACACTGCGACTTAGTGCACCTATGGAGCCTGGCAAGCCGCTGAGCAGTTATGGGATGGACTCTTTGGCTGCAGTTGAATTCCGAAATTGGGCGCGATTGGAGCTACAGGTTGAACTGACAACACTGGAGATTGCCAACGCTAATTCACTTCATGCGTTATGTGACAAGATTGTGTCCAATATGAATAAGTCTTGAAAGGGCCTGTTTGTTGCGAGAGTTGGATCTTTTTGTTAGCTAGTTCGATTCAACGACAAATTTACATTGCGTAAAGTTTTGAAAGCCTATTTGACCATAATATCCTGTGCCTCTCTCTTAGTTTGAAGTGATCAGTATATGCAGAAATGCGTTCGATGACCGTCACATTTTGTCTATATCCTTTACATATCATGTTGGAGGTTTTGTGTCATGCCACCATGCGGTTGGGGGAGATGCTATATGATATCGAGGAGGATATGAGTATTATGCGGGATCCGGCGAATACGCAAGGGGATGGCCATGTCGGGGTGGGGGAAGTGAGACAGCTCGTGTCTCGGTTGCTTCGAATTCTGCGAAGAATCATGAGCAACGGTAGTAACCTGTGGACATGAACCAAGAGTAAAATCAGTAAAAAGAAGCAGTTTCCAAAGTGTCGCTTTTACAGGGATCTTAGGAGCCCGAGTGGTACAGCTTGAGTAGGGCTTTCAGGATCACAGAGCATAAGGGATAACAGAGGTCCGGAATAATTTTTATTATATTATCACTCGCTCGAAGAGTCGTCGAACCCAACTTGCACTTGACTATTGGTGTGACCAACATACCTTTTCTCAAAGTCTACTTTATAATCTGGTGAAGTTCTTACAGTTTAGTATCACGTGAGAATGGGTTGATCCCGACATGAAAGATTTAGAAGTATATCTTAGTACGACTTTATATAAGTATAGGTAGTTAGGCAAAGAGTCGAAACGCCTCAGGCCCACCGTGGACGGGCGATGTCGCAGTCTAGAACCAACATCATAGTTCTGCTGTTCGATGAATGATATTGCGCAATGAATACCTACAGAAAGTAAAGTAACCTAAATAAAAAAGGGGAGATTAGCTAGTAAACCAAAACTGGAACTGAAGCAAAGAATTGTAAAGTCTACCTAACTCCATTAGATCATAAACTTTCCATGATGTCTGCTAACATGGAATCCACGACGAGGATGACAATCTTCATCGTCAGTGCGTTATAAACATTCTCGCGTTGACTTCCCCCGTTATAGACGGCGACCACACTTGTAATGCCACAACGCACCCGCTAAGTGTTTACCATTATACGTGCCAGATAATGTGTCCACGGATACTCTAGTAGCTAACTGGAACGCGGTAGTTGCTCATTTGGCTTACGATTATATTAAAAAACTTATATCACCGGTGTCTACGACGGTGTATAGCGGCCAAGCTTCGCATGCCTGATCTTTAGGGTTGATGCCCGAATTATGAGTTTCTGTTCATCATCTAGTTATATATCGACATGTAAATTCCATGATTGCAGTCTGCCTTGAAAACTCCGCCATTTTTAAATAAAACCCACGAACCAAACGCCTCGGCAATGATCAAACCCCATGCATCAATTCAGGAACACATTAAAGGGAAAATTGTACTTGACAATTCAACGAATCACGAGGCCTGATAGACCTTAAAGCCGCCGAACTCCCAGTATGCAGTGTCGAAACTAGTCGCATTGTCCCGGACGAATTCGGTGCAGTTGCCAGGACAGCTACTTTGTTTCGTGTAGTACTTGCTCGCACCCGCCCAGTCACCACACAACGAGATATTGATGATGATAGTCTGGTTCTTGAAATGAGAACCCATGTCGCAATCCGTGCTGGGGAAGTCTGCGAATGCTTTGCCCCAGGTGGACGGGTCGGGACTTCCCGAGGTGATATCGGAGGGAATATTGGAGCGGACCCATTGCCACACACGAATACCGGCGTCACGGAGTTCCATCGCGTAAACCTGAACGGGGTGGGTATTAGCGAATTGATTTCGATGGGGAAACAGTTGGGAACACCATCACTTACACCGCCACCTTTGCTATTAAACTCGGGACCATAAGAACTCTCAGTACCTTTCACACCACAGCCCGCGTAGTCATTCGCCTCGTAGTAACAGTCCTTGTTGTCCACAGTGCCACTTTGTTTCCGTTTAACGCCCATGGAGCAGCCTTTCGCTGTGTGAAGCGTGGATTGAGACCCAAAGGTTCCAGCGTTGGCTGCTTCCACGACATCAATTTCTCCGTTCTCAGGCCAGTTGCCGTTGTCCGTGAGCCACAGAGCCGGCCACGTACCACACCCGTACGGGGTGTGAATAACGTCGAAAATGAAAAGTCCATCGGCATATGTATTGTTGGAAGTGACTCGCACAGATTTGCGCCCATTAGCAGCCTCCGATCCACTGTATGTCGTGTCAACCTTGAGCACCGCGGAGGTCTCCGTCGCGGATGTTAAATTAAGCCATGTGGATGCAGCTCGGTCGATGTACCTGGATTACACGTTAGTTTAGTTTTTTTGGCTTAAAGTTTGAAATGTAGGAGTCGCACTGGACAAATCCATGAGTTGGATCGGCATCAGTAAAATATTCGAAGTTGTCGAAAAAGGATGGCCCCGAGAAGTTATCTTTCAAGCTGTAGTTCAGTTTCGAGTAATCGGGGTACCGATTGGCTCGCACTCCTAGAACGGCACCAACGACAACGGCCACAATTACCACAATAATGCAAGCGGCTAGGAAAATCTTCTTCTTCAAGGACCATCCGCGCGGGTCCCATCTGGAGTATTGATCTGTGGCATCTCCGCTCCACTCTCCGTCATCAGGCGGGTGTACACTGCCCGCCGGTGTCTTATTTTGTAACACATGGCTCGACTGAAAGCGACCAGGGTCATCTTGAGCATAATAATCGTCGTGCATCTTCAAGGGCGGATATAACGTGTGCGCCAAGCAAGGACAAAACAACAATCACAACAATCACGCAGGGTTAAGCGAGTGAAGAACGTCAAATATGAAAGTAAAGACAGATTCAATGTAATGCACAACGAGAAGTGATAAAAAAGAAAAAGGGTCATCACCCTTCAACAAAATTCGCCTTGGAAGCAGGCCACGCGTTAGATAAGCAGGGCGATTGGCCGGGGGCCCGACCTCTGGAGTCGAGGGGGGCTACGTAGGGCCTCCACTTGCGATGACTCGAGATATCTCTGAGACACTGCAGATCATTACCCACTATGCATATTTATTTGGGTGATTTGTTGGCATTTACTTTGATACAAGCCTATCAGTGTGCCATGAGTTGATCAACTACTAAACACCTACTTTTTGTGTACATACATGGCTACGCGAAATTTTACCTACAATAAGAATCAAGTCTCACTTGCATATGAGAATGACGTAAACACGGTTGTTGTGCTGCACAACACATGTGCCGAGGCGTCGATCGCTAAAAATAGTAACAATTGCGCAAATCCATGTTCCAGGTACACAGCTACAAAGAAGATTGTGTTCGCTGACACGGCGGGCGAGAGAATCAATTTCGAAATAACAGAAATATAGTGAGAGAAGTTGCCCAGGCAACTGATTAGAGGTCATTTGGATATTTCGCCATATCTAGCGATCAAGTCTCTCATATCCTGAAGCATTCTATGAGTAATGTGAGCTGGTCTGATCGTTCAATTCCCAGCAAATTATGGGTTGCTGCGTACTGTTCTCGAAGATTTCGATCTTGGGGGAAGAGGGCCGAGACATGTGTGTTAAATCGCCTACATATCGAGTTGAGTTATCGGACACAGGACATCATGGTATATACGCACAGTTTATAGAGATCGATGCGACCTTGATAGTCCTCAACTGGAGATGATATGGGGAAGTGTGAATGATACCCTTGAACATACTTGAAACCAAACCGGTTGCAAACCGGTGCCCATTGTCCAAGTTCATCTATCAGGTTTAGTCCAAGGTTAGTAAACATGTTCTTTAAATCAAAATATACAACATACATTCATTGTGAGCGTAGAAAGAGCAGGCGTCAAAAACAATGGGACTTTCTGTGGTGGCATTCTTCCCGGTATTCCCATACCATAAATCACCATGCATGAGACATGGCTTGACAGATCGACCTTCGCTCTCCAGGGGTCGCAGCAAACGTGGGATTACCCTGTCAAATATGATAGGACTCAAAATGTCGATTTCTTCGCTGGGACCCTTGGCTAAAATTTCATGTGTGAGTGCATGTCGCAATCCTTTGGCAAAGAAGGTCTCCCAGCTGTCCGACCACTCAGTGTGCTGCGACAGGTTGCCGCTATAGGTAGTGACGTGGAATCCAAACTTCCCAGTCGGTGATCTGCTTTTCTTGTGTAGGGTTGCAAGGCATTCAGTGAACTTGTGCACGTCCGGCAACTCTTGATCAATATCCTTGAATTCACATAAGAAAAAGTGCATGTCGGGTGTTGTCTCATATGTACCCCAGCCGATTGGCTTCGGAACAGAATCAGGGATGAGATTATAAATTGCGGTCATAGACTCGAACTCGCCTTGAACCATCGCTCTACCTCTCTCCTCTATCACAACTTTCATAAAGAAACTCCGAGCCGACCCGTCCATCAACTCAACATCAATGCGCCCAGTTGTGGCCCGGAAGCTGAAGCCATGATGCTCAGTCGACACGACTTTGGCACCATGCGGAAGTTCTGGCACGGTCGTCATCATCAGGGCGCTTGTCTCACTGGTCAAAGAAAGGATCGTGGATACTCACTAGCAGCGACAGCGGGGTCAACTTTTGCACTAGGGTTCCCGACCCCCAAGTCTTGTGCTCCTTGGGAGCTCATAACTAGGGTAAAAGGGCGGGGTGTCTTTTTTCCAAGTCCCGCCGACGAATGTTGGAATTACAGCAGTGAACTCGAAAGTTGCATGGGGTTTCAAGACAAATCAGGCCAGTTGATTCCTGTCGGAGATTCCGTATTGTAAAATGTAGGGTCCAATCAATGGTATTTGACAGAAATCTGGCTGTATGACAACGTATGGACAAAATCAGATATATTGGAATCTCTAACTAACTAAAATGACAAAACCCGCGCTTTCAACAATCTGGGCGGACATAGATGACTAACTGTAATATGCACTTTTGTATGGTATGGGTGGTACCATGTGTCACATGATATTCAGGGTATTTTACCCTGTTTCCACCATGTATTCAATCTTAGTATTCGACAGTATTCAACTCTCTGTATTTCTGTATCGGCTCTCTACACAATTTATATGGAGCCTCGATTACATAACATAAATTACGAAAACATGTAGGATTAATAAATCCTCCGGTATGCCGGTGTTACTGCGCCGACAATTCCTTAGTGCCTTAGGCATCACTGGCCTGAGGCCGTAAAAACACAAGGCGCGATGTTGCTCCGACCAGGAAGGCCTTGTTACCTGTATGTTTGAGGACCCAGATTTTGCTCTTTGATTTCCCTCAACTCATCACTTTGTTGGGGGCAGAATCGCTCATTTGAGGTATTGCGAGTCTTTCTCCGGCGCCGTCATCACATACCCAGCCGCCGATGCTTCGCCCATCCAGAAAGGGTATCCACGAAATGATAATCGACGAAGCTATCTGAGAACTGTGAGCTGAGAACGAAGCAAAATTTTGCCAGTTCAGGGTCTTCCTTCTTAGCAGCCAAGCTCCACCATCACAGAGTCGACCGCAGCGAGGCAGCTTCATGTCAGAACAACGTCGCACATTGATACCACTTCCGCAGAAGGTATTTATTTTCTTCACTGAACCTCACAAATTGTTGTTTGGAAATATAATCGTGGCCACCACAGATGAAATACCGGGGGTTCCCTTCCTTTCATTATACCTTTCATAATAGGCAAGATATTAGGAGCCTGGGCTGCTGGTACTGGCCGCCTAAGTACGCTGTGGTATCTAAACCAGTTAAGGGATCCTCAGCTCACAGATATTGAGCACGAGGAGCCGGTCTATTACATTCCGTGCCTCATCTATCACGCTTCACAATTCCCCCTCACACAGCCCTGCGAGAAATCGAACCCGGAGCCAACAACACCCGTAGCGCAGTACCCAGTACACTTGACACGTACTTTTCTTCAGCACGCATAAATTCGGTGGAAATAATGACAGCTCCATACCAAGACCGACTAATGGGTTGTAAGCAGAAGCACGGTAGAGCAATTGATTTGCCCACCATGCCCAAGGCCTAGGAGAGATAGGTGAGTCTCATTCTGCTAATCCGAACATTGACTTTCTAACTGATGCCACTTGCTGGTCCTTCATATATACAGTCGCATTCGAGACAAAGATCCTCCTTTTCCTACACGTGAAATATTATATAGTGATCTTGCTCATCAAAATCCCCGTCCGAACTGCTGCTTTTCGCACAAACAACCAAGCAACCGATTTCTCCTATTCCTTCTCTCCACCTTCCTCTCTTCTTCATCTTTCTCTCATTTCCCCATCTCACTTCACTTTTCTTCCAATTCATTTTTCTTCAGTCTCACTTTCTTTCAACCAATTTTCCTTCCATTCCATCCACCTCACCCTATCATACCTATCTACTCAGTTTTATCCAACCCCTCAACCTGATCATCTCGGTACAATCTGCGCGAATTTAATACAAATTAGTTCTAGGACATGGCTAACTACAATACAGAGATGTCTTCCTCGGGATTGCCTCGCGGCCCGGTCGACGATGACCCTAAGGCCATAACAGGTGGACCTAAGCCTGTCCCGGACTCTGCCCAATGCATTCGGCAACGAGACGCACTAGTGGCTCTCAACGAAGTGATCAATAACCTGATCTTAGAGCAAAGCGTCATGCAAAATGAGATAATCCGCCAGCGTGCGATCCTCGCCCACCAAACTGCACGTCTCGACACCACCGAGGCCAATATTCAGGCCCTCCAACACGTGTGGGAGAACATGGCGGCCGCATTCGGAATCACCGCAAAGAAATGAACTGCTGGCCCATTGAGCCCATCCCTATCCAATGTCGAAGGGATCGCGCGTTGGGGCTCTGGTTTTAAGGGATTTGAATACTCGGAGAAACTATTGAAAGAATGATAACACATTGGGCGTTGGGTTTGATTTTACCTATTCACTATCAAAAGACTATTCAGTAAATGCGTCACTTCTTAGTCCTCCATGTATACAATCGGAACCAATAATAGATTCCCCTTTGCACTCATAAACTCAACAAGATCCCTATCTGAGATACTGCTGCTCTTCGGATAAACAGCCAAACATCCCATCTTCCCATCATTTTCCTCTGGATTGAGTTCTCTCTTCCATATTTCTCTTCTTTTCATATCTCTCATTTTTACATTTCTTCAAAGTCATCTTCCTCCATCTCCTTCACCTAACACCACAATATCTACTGAGTCTCAGCCTCCCAACCTAATCCTCTTGGTACAACCTGTAAGAATATGAACGCAAATAAATGATGAGATAAGGAAAACTGGTATATAGCAATATCTTTCCCATAGCCACCCCGCGATCCGGTCGACAATGAGTCTAAGGCCACCACAGGTGGACCTAAGCCGGCTGTCCCGGACCCTTCCCTGCGAGTTCAAGTTTTAGGGCGATGTCGTGGTGGCGGTAGGTATTCTTAGAGCTATAATAATACCGACACAACCTCCTTAATATCGTATTCTATCATTTGACATTATACCATTCAATATTAGACGAGAAGCTCAGATACAGCTATAACCACATCTGGATTAGGGTGTCATGTGATCAAGATTTCAAAGACCTTTATTGGGTTCTCGATATGGGGAAGCTCTTGTAACCTAATTATAGGATACGCTAGTCCAGATATAGATAGTGTGCAAACTATCTGGTTTATATCGAACTAGGGAATAAATGACACGAGTTTCATGATACTAGTATGGGAGGTATAGGAGTCTAGAAGCCTATATAACTAGAAGATTCGATGCAAAAGGAGTAAACATGGCAATCCTTTAACAGGCAATCTATCAACAATTAATTTCCTCCTTCACCGCAAAAATTGATTGGTTGTGAGAGTAGTATGCCTCAGCCTCACCAATTAAACCCCCCAACCCCCCTCTCTCTCTCAAGAACTCTGGCATTCAGATAGGCTATTTAGTCTCCAAAGTCACACTTGTATATTCCATTATGGCAGCCAGGGCCTCACTATCCCATGACGATTACACGGTCGGGTGGATCTGCGCTTTACCCCTAGAGATGGCAGCCGCAAAGCTAGTGTTGGACGCAATAAACCCGAGTTTACCTCGCCTATCGCCCGATCAAAATAACTATATTTTGGGAACCATCGGGGAACACAATTGTTGGGGCTGCTAACTATGGGGAGAGAGAGAGAGAAGAGGAATCATGATCTATTCAATCTATCTAGAGCAGGGGATTTATACCCTGCCAAACAAAGAAAGGCTCAGTCTGCAAACAAATGGAGGCATCAATGAGATGACTAGACAAAGGCATCAATGGGATGACCGACATAGTCCAACACAGCCCCCCAGACTGAGCATCAAGTCAAAAAACATTCTGGTTTGCATAGTAAAATCGTCAAATAAAATGCAGTTTTCAAAGTATCGTATTCCGTCAATTTCGTCAATTTGTAACCTTCAATTTGTAGGTTTCTTCAAACCTTCTTCACCAAGTAATCTCTCATCCTTTCGAAATCAACCTTTGACAGTGCTTTTGTCAATGCATCTGTAGGGTTTTCCTTGGTGTCGATGAGTCGTATCTCGATCAATCCTTGCTTCATCGCATGCTTGACGAATTGATATTTGACGTCCAGCCACTTGGTGCCCTTGTTGAATACGTCCTTCTTCAGGATTGAAACGGCGTTGTCGCTGTCGGTGCAAATCGGCACCTGGATTGACGTATTTTCCAGATTCAGCTGATGGAGTATCTTGACGAGATAGAGTGCTTCCCGCACTGCACCGTCAAGAGCAACGTATTCGGCGATGGTGCTTCCTGTGGCGACGACGTCTTGTTTCCGTGAGCTCCATGAAATTGGTGCGCCTGCGTAATAGAAGATATAGGCTTCGGTTGACTTTCCATCTTCACAATCGTTGTATGAAGAGTCGACAAAGCCGATCAAGCCTTTTCCAATTAGGCTCTCGTCGTCGTTGCCGTTTGTCTTGTTGGCGAGCTGAATTCCATAGTCGGGTGCTCCTTTCAGATAGCGTAAAAGCTGGGAGAGAGCATCAAGATCTTCCTTTCGTGGATTGGCAGTCCTTCTCTATAGTCGATTAACAGAGAAAGCAATGTCTGGTCTGGTTCTCATTGTCAACCATCCAACTTTGCCAACATCTTCTCCGAAAGCTGCTCTCTCGCTTTGTGAAATGGTCTCATTTTCATGTTCTTGGCGCTCTTCCTGGGTCATTCTTTGGTTGTCTTCTTGTGTGTCAGGTGCTGTTTCCTGGGTTGAAAGGGATGTTGCTTCCTTAGTTGAAAAAGGTGGTTTGTAGGAAGCTTTCATAGGAAGATAGGTGGCAGATACTCTTCCTAAGCTTGCTGTCTGTAGGAGATCTTCCACATAGGCAGCTTGATCAATGCAAATGCCGTTCTCTGATCTTGTCATGCTAGTTCCTAGGAATCTAGCAGGCTCGCCAATGACCTTGATCTTGAAACTGACATTTGTCTTGAACCACTCAATGCTCTCCTTTGTCGTGGAAGCGCATAGAGTATCGTCCACATATAGCAATAGCCATATATCTTTTTCTCTGTGGACGAAGATGCATCTTTCATCTGGTAGTTGTTCAAAACCAAGCTTTTGTAATTCCTTCTTGATCGTTTCATACCACAAGCATGCAGATTGACGAAGGCCGTACAGTGCTTGTAGAAGCATACACACCATGCCTGGATTCTCATTCTCGTATCCAGAGGGTGGTTTCATGAAAATGCTTCTGTCGTCGATCAAGGCATTGAGATAGGCTGTTGTGTAGTCGATTTGTTCCTAGCACAACTGACGAATGGCAAGCATTGTAAGAAACAATCTGGTGCTTTCCGGCCTAGCAACTGGAGCGTAGGTGTCGTCAAAGTCAAATCCTGGGCGTTGTCTGTTGCCGCAGATAACCCATCTTGCTCTCAGTTCTGTCACAAAGTCTTGTTTGTCACTCTTCTTATCGAATACCCACTTACCGGGTAAGATAGTGCTTCCTGCTGGTGGTATTTCGACATATTGGTAGGCTTTGGCGGCATCAAGCTTCATGATCTGGTTGTCTATAGCTTGTTTCCAAAGCTCCCATTTAGGTGATTTCTTTGCTTCGGTGAGGTTCCTTGGGATCTTGACTTGCCAAGATTTTAAACCTTGTGGAATGCTAATGGCAGCTTGGACGATTCCAATGGTAGATATAGCACTTCCTGGTGAATCTCTTGATCTTGGTGGAATGAGATTGCCTCGCTTGTCCCAATCCAGATTATCGTATCTTTGTGGTGTAACGCCGGTAGTTTGACGTCCCGATGCCCTGGTTCTTGCACGTGGTGGTGGGGTTGGTGACATTGCCAAAGGATTTAGGGAAGAAGATGTTCTATATCCTTCTGCTGGTGTTGTAGTGCTTGGTGATGGCGTCGGCATGAAACCGCCCGGTACTGGTGCTTTTTCGGCGGGTCTTGGGGTGGTATATGGCGTATGCAATTCTTGTTCTTCATCGTCAAGTTCAACCACTCTTGGTTCTGGGATCGTCAACTTTATCGTCTTCTGGGCAGTGATAACTGGTGAACCAGCTCCTGTTTCAAAGCTTTGTGTGGGACCATCAATGATCTCTCCACCAATGACGATCTCTCTCTCGTTATGGTGAGGAATGCCATGCTTTTGCTCCCAGAAAACAACGTCTCTATGTCTCGTCACTTTCTTAGTTTTGGGATCGTAAATACGATACACATGACCGTTATCCCCTTCATAACCAACAAGATGACCGATCCATGCTCTGGCCTCCATTTTCTGAGATTGAACCCTTCTTTCTTTGGGTATATGCACGTACGCCTTAGCATACCATGCTCTTAAAAAGGAGAGAGAGGCGTTTTCTGGAGTCCTTATGTTGAGGCCTTTCCGCTAAGTGATGATTGGTGCATCTTGCTGCTTTCCATCTGGGCCTTTCTTTCGTAGACGGTTGGTGATGTATGCAGCTGTGTTCAAAGCTTCTGGCCATAATTCTCGGGGAGCGCCGGCGTCAATCTTCATTGTCCTTGCTATTTGTAGCAAGTAATGGCCGGTGAATTCGGAAACGCCATTTTGTTCATGGGCATAGGGAACAGAGATAGTCACAATCATGTTATTCCCTCTCGCCTAGGTGGCGAATACTAGGAACTCTCTTCCTCCGTCGATTCTCCATTCAACCGTCCATTCACCAGCTCTCTGGTAAATGTTTTCTGCAAATTTCTGGAGGACGGGGGAAGCTTCTCCCTTAGTGGCAAGGCATAAAGCAAGTCGAAAGCGAGTGGCATCACATGTGATAACCATGGCATGGTTCCGGTCATTTTTGCCATTTTCAGCATTAAAACCTGGAGGGCTAACTGGCTGTAGATCGATATGGAACATGTATGCTGCTCTGGTTGCTCTCGCTTGGTTTGTTCTTGACACAATGCGCTTTGACTTGCCAAGGCCGCATGCTTCGCAGTCAAAATCGTCATATTGAATCTCACAGCCGAGGTCGTTTTGGTTGACTTTTGTTTTGTAACTTCCGGCATATCCTAGTCGACGGTGGGCTAGCTCAGCAGAGATGACTACAGCTCCAAATGTTGGAGATGCTAGCTGAATGAATGGCACTCGGTTGAAATCCTTAGTGAAACCAATGACAATATCATCCTTGTCGTGTAAGGACTTTGTCTTACTATGCCACCAAATGCCGAGTTCTTTTTCGGCTGTTCCAAGTGAGAAAAGGTTGTATTGACCGCCGCTTTTGTAGACACAATGAATGCTAAGTTGATAGCAAGCTGGCGTGGTCTGAATGGCACCTTTTTGTGTGGTATGT